AGCGGACGGAATCGCTGGCGAAAGGTAGTATTATAAATGCGAAAGTTTAGATGGATGTTTGTTAGAGTTTGTAGCTTAAACGGCTGTACCGATTTCAATGAAATTTGGTATAGATGTAGAGAATAGTCTGGAAGAACACATAGGCTATTCACTTTTATTTTTTTTAATTCCAGGCAGATGTAGTCGCGTGCGAAAGCTAGTAAATTAATATAACAGTGAATACTGTCATTGGAATTTTATGTTGTCAAACTTGTTATCCTAACAAATTTGTTTTTTTAGGATAGGATTATAGGATGTTATAAAATAAACATATTACAACAGCTGAAAAACTGCTGTGACTATAACCGTTGAAATAACTGTTACAATAGTTAATATCGCTAAAATTTTTGCAAGTCAAATTGTTACCTGCCAAGATTTAAATACTACAGAATTATTAAGGAAACAACTAAATGTCGTCAAGTGTATGCCTGGTTTTTATAAAAAATACCTTAATATCTTTGTCTTAAAATCTAAAATCTATTTGTTTGCTATATAAGGAAAATTGCTACAGTTAATAAATTGCATGTCACTTCCATTTAGATAACAAGAGCGGGCAACAGTTGTGCGATTGTCGATTGTTTCGCAATTCAACTGTTTAGTTGCAACTAACGAGTAGTGTACCTCCATATAATCATAGGAATCAAAGCGAGACAACAGTTGTGCGATATTTTAGTCAAAGTCCGCGCTCTAATAGAGCGTTATATTACAATGAGTTTGGATGGATGTTTGTTAGAGTTTGTAGCCTAAACTACTAAACGGATGTTGATAAAATTTGACATAGATGTAGAGGATAGTCTGGAAGAACACAGGCTACTTGCTTTTGTTTTTTTAATTCCACGCTGACAGAGTCGCGGGCGACAGCTACTTTTTTTGAATTGCTAGTTAAGTGGTCGCCCATTGGTTGAAATTAGCTAATTATTTATAACGAGCTGTTGCCCGAGACTTCGTCCGCGTGTTATTAGAAAACATACGAACTATATAAATAACAAAAAGCTACGTATCCCTCGGGAACCGGACACCTCGGGGATGAAACTTATCCCATGTGTACTCCAGACTTTGCTTTACATCTGTGCCAAATTTCAATAAGATATGTTGAACCGTTGCAGAATGATCGAGCAAACATTAAAAAACTAAATTAATGAATCCCACGGGAACCGTAACTTATCCCGGGATAAAAAGTAGCCTTTGTGTTCTTCCAGACTATGCTCTAAACCTGTGCCCAATTTCATGGAGATCCGTTCAGCCGTTTAGGCTACAAACGCTAACAAACATCCATCCATCCATCTAAACTTTCGCATTTATAATATTAGTAAGATGGATATTTTTTATGTATAGTCAGGGTATCTAACGGTTACCTTAAAAACTGATCTCTTGAACGTTTTATATGCAATGAGAAGCGGAGCTATAAGAAATCATCATCATCACCACACTAATTAAAGACCTTTTCTCTTTACCACCCTTTTCTTATAAGGGAAGGGGAAGTGGATTTGACGGAGGAGGAGATACATAGAAGGGGAAATATCCTCTTTATGTGCATCTCCTCTTCTCGGATAAGGGTAAGCAACACATCTACAATTGCGGATGTCTATGAGGAGCGGTCGCTCCGCCATTTTGGCGGATTCAGGTGGCCGCTTGCTCGTTTGCTGACTGAGAGGCTCGGAGACTACCATAAGGGTGACTAGGACAGTCAACTGCACTACACACATATCTTTCTTCACCGATAAATGCGTCACGATGTTTTCCTTCACCGTAACGTTGGATAAATGTACATATGAAAAATCCAAAATCAAAAGTACACGTCAGGATTCGAACCCAAGACCTGTAGTTTCCAATTCAAGTGCTTCAACAACTGAGCCACCGACGCTCTTAAAAACATAGCAAAACTGTTGACTAGACAGGGCAAAGAGAAATGAAAGAAATATATAATTTACTTTAACATTTAATAAAAAATCATTGAAAAAAATGTAAAAATCATGGCATTTGTACAAAATTGTTTAGAAATAAATGCTTCTTTATTGATAACAATCAAAGTATTTGTCATCTCTTTTGCACTATTAGAAAAAGAAAGAGACAAATTCACGTTTACTTTCAGTTATAGAGCGGACGTTACGAGCATTTTCTTTTGTTTGAATAGAAATCGAGTGTTTCCTGTTGGACCGTTCGGCCTACAGATATCGACGTTTAGAGATTTTTTCTATTGGTTCGATTATTTATAGAGACTTAATCGACCCATTGGGAATTATTTTATCGGGTTGAACGGTCCAACGGGAAACATCCTCAAAATCGTACATATGATTTTATTAGGATATTTGCTATCAAATTGTCATTTTACTTATTTTAAATAACATTTCATATATTGTAATAAACCAGTTTTAACGTAATTTAGATTTCAACAAAGATGATTCTTCATTTTAATATAAGCCAGAAATTAAAAAAACTTAAGAGCGGTTTAGTCTCGCTTTGATTATTAACTTATGTATTTAGTTGTGCGATTAAACAGTTGGATTGCGAAACGATCGACAATCGCACAGTTGGTAGTTTAGTTGAAGGTGCACTATAGTCTGTCTAAATAAGATAGATTAGTTTGATAAATGACGCATATGAAGTATCGAATGCAATTTGTATGAAGGCTGACGTGCTTAGACAGGTATCGTAGTGACGAAACACGCAGCGAATTATGAACTATCGATATTCGGTTTAAATAATTATCGAACTCGAATAAAATTATTATTTTCTTAATAACTAATTTAGAGGACAATTCTAGTATTGATTATAGTGTAGAGAATTTAGCAATGACAGAAATAATAGCGAAATCAAATTCGATTACGTACGGCTGTAGTAGTAATAAACATTTATTTACTCTCATTATTTGTTATGGTCATTATTAATTTGAGAAAACAGTGTTTTTTAATTCATAAGTTATAACTATAAATCTATCGATTCCAACTTCTATAAGAATAAAAATCGAAAATCGATAAGATTCATGACTGATTTTACACAACCCATCCCTACTAAATTTGAAGTGAATTGTCAAACTAATCTAATTTATTTAGACACACTATAAAGCGAGATTCGATTTAAATTTTCGTTTATGGCCACACAATACTTTCAATCCATGGCACATAAGACAAAACTTTCGTATAAATTCCCGGCTCCCCAACGAAGCCGCAAGCTCTTCCGAAAGAAGTTACCCCAACCACAGTATACATGCAGTGGATTTTTGAATTCTTCAATTGTAGAGGGCCTCCGCTGTCACCCTGTTAAATGCAAATCAAATCAGAAACAGATCAAAGTCAGAAATTTTGATAATACGGAATATTCATGTATTTTTTTTTTCTTTTTTTAAACTTTTCTACTTATTAGATAACCAAAAAGAATATTGACTTATAAATATTCAACCATTGAGCTAAAGAAAAAAAATGAAATAATATTACGATCAGTTTAGTGCGGTTAAAACGCGACCGGAGTTAGCTTGAGGCACGTGACGTCAATCGTCACATTTCATTCGTTTCATTCTTCGTTGATCACATTCGCTCAGATGTCACTTCTAAGTCATTGAAAATATTGCTCTTTTAGCGATTTCAGATGACCTTATTTATTATTTATCTGTGAGAAAATGGGCTTTCTTTTTTCGGCCGGAGTCGCGGGCGAAAGCTAGTATTGCATTAATTACCTGACACGTGTCTTTCGACTTTTCCTTGTCGCCGTAACATATCTGTGTGTTGCCATTGAAGCCGTTCAACATAAGTCTCGTCGGCGGGAACAGTATAGCGCATTCTAGTTCAGAGAATTTGTTCAATATCACCTGAAAAAAATGCAGTCGAGGTATTTAATTTCGTACCCACTGTTTTTTGAAGAACTTAATAAGGAGTAATAATTAAATATCTTTAATATTGAAGTTTTTATAATCATATATCTTTATTTCTTACTCTCTATATAATACATTTTACAAGAATATAAAAATTAAAATAAAATATATTATATAAAAAATAGAAGTTCACCGGCTGCGGAATCCGATGACTCAAGCAACCAGTCCTGCAGAGACAGGAACCTCCTCACTATTCGTGCGGTTTCTAAAAAACCGCCTTTTGAATCGGGCCCTTAATCCAACTGTCTAGCGAGAGCTTCTTGAGGTGTTGGTCGAAGCTCTTCGCTATCAGCCCGTGTACCGAAACGACTATCGGAATAATGGTAGTCGATTTCATACGCCACATGGCGGTAATCTCGTGAGCCAAATCCAAATATTTTAATAGTTTTTCGTTTTCGGCTTTCACGAGATTCTCGTCATGTGGGATAGTGACATCGACTAACATTACACAACTCTCAGACCGATCTATTATTACTATATCAGGTCTATTGGCAGCAATAGTCCTGTCCGTAATAATAGATCGGTCCCAGTAGATCGTGATACGGCTATTTTCCAGAACTGGTGTAGGCTGATATTGGTAATATGGTACTTCAATATCAGCCTACACCAGTTACCTATATTGAAGTCATCTTTATTATTTTGATAAAATGTTACTAATCTGACTTATATTATAAATGCGAAAGTTTAGATGGATGGATGTTAGAGTTTGTAGCCTATACTGCTGAACGGATTTGGATGAAATTTGGTGTCGACGTAGAGGATAGTCTGGAAGAACACATAGGCTACTCACGCGGTCGGAGTTGCGGGCGAAAACTAGTTATATTATAAATACGAAAGTTTAAAAGGATGATTATTACATATTGCCGCATATACTCCTGAACGGATCTCGATGAAATTTAGTACAGATATAGAGTATAGTCTGGAACACATAGATTACTTGTTTTTGTTTTTTTTCACGTGGACGGAGTCGCTAGCGAAAGCTAGTATCATACAGTAGATTTATTTAAATGGGTTTGTTATGAATTTAAATTGACTATAGTTTGACAAATCTGACAAGACGTCTGTAAATTATGTATCGGTTCAAAATATCAGCTAATTTAGTTGAGCTGTGGCTCAACTTTTATTATAACTAGCTGTTCCCGTACGACTTCATCCGCATAAAATTATGAAAATTGTAATTTTATTGTTTACATCTGTCAAATTATCAATTACTAATGTCAAAATGACATGACATGATGACTATGGCAATCTTACTTCCTTGATGTTGGCAGCAACTTATGGTCTCTTTCCCACATTAGGGTTTTTATCCAAAATATTTAACACCTAAGTTTAATAGAGTGAAAATATATCGCCTAAAGCGTGTAAGTATAGGACTTTTTATTAAAGAATTATTTAAAAATATGCTGTGATTGCTGACATACGCCACAAAGTGTATTTACGCTTTATTATATAAGTATAAAAGTGTAGATATAACTAAGTACAAATTGAGTTAATCTGTGATTCTGATTTTCTTATGACCATGTCTACTTCTAGCCAACCTTCTGCAGCACATCAGCACTGGAGCCCCTGTTCTGTGTGGCTCCCCAGCCTGACGCTAGGGCCTTCGCATCATCAGCACTCGTGTCTACATGCAGACAAGCTGGGACTACCCTGTCACTTAATATTATTCTGAAATTAAACAATCTGCTGAGACACCTTGTAGTCTTTTATGTTCTTTGGCTGAGCTATCAGACTCGGTGGGTGAGGGGAAATCTTCAAAACCCCCTTCCTTCTGTTTGTTCCCACTAAAACCCACATCCACCATCTATTGCAATAGAAGGTTCCGGTATATCTGTGGAACTCTCCGGAAAATCATTGACGGACCTAACGAAGGAAGTTAGCAGCATGGTGCTGAAGGCCTTATGCAAATATGTACTCTTTACAGTATTTTATTATCTTTTTTGCATTTATATGGTTTAACTATTTCTAAGGAACCAAATTCCCTATAAGAAATAGAAAAATCATCATCACCAGCTCACTATACGTCGCCACCGAGGGGCTCGGAGCCTACCCTAAGTTAGTGACTAGGCCATAGTCAACCTGCACTGCGGGTTGACTTCACACATATCTTTGAATTTCTTCGCCGATATGTGCAGGCATCATGTTTTCCTTCACCATAAGAAATTCGGGTAAATTATGTACATATGAAAATTCGAAAAATCGAAAATCACAAATGCGAAAGTTTAGATGGTGGGATGGATGTTTGTTAGAGTTTGTAGCCTAAACGGCTGAAGGGATCTCGATGAAATTTGTCACAGATGTAGAGGATAGTCTGGAAGAACACATAGGCTACTCACTTTTGTTTTAATTCCACGCGGACGGAGTCGCGGGCGAAAGCTCGTAAATAAATAAATGGAAGATTTTCTTACTCAGTTTCTGTCTCCAATAACGCGATATCATTATATCTTTTAGGTGCTTTGTATTCCGGGTGTTTTATAATATTTTTGATTTTATATCGTTGAGATGCGTCCACGTGTTGGGTTCTGCTCAAAATTCCAACTAAAGCATACGTCACTGGACCACTAGAAAATAGAAATATATATATAAATATACGAATATTATAAATGCGAAAGTTTAGATGGATGTTTGTAACAGTTAGTAGCATAAACTGCTAAACGGATTTCAATGAAATTTGGTATAGATGTAGAGTATAGTCTGGAACAACACACGGGCTACTTTGTTTTTTTTTTATTAATACTACGTAGACGGAGTCGCGGGCGGAAGCTAGTGTTGTAAATGCGAAAGTTCAGATAGATGTTTGTTAGAGTTTGTAGCCTAAACAACTCAACGGATTTCGTCTGGAAGAACACATAGGCTACTTGCATTAGTTTTTTTAATCCCGCGCAGACGGAGTTGCAGGCGAAAGTTAGTCATTTTAACAATTGAACACGAGGTGTCACTAAATCTGACACTTAATACCTTTCAGAGGAAGTTTTGAAAAAAAATTTGATCACTGCCTCGTCTGTATATTGTTTAGAAGTCTATGGTTTTTTACTAAATCGCGGGCAATAACTAATACCAGTAAAATCCTTACTATTGTCTGCTAGAGGTACAATGTCCCGCTGTCAATATAAACCGCTCGCTGATAACAGAACCACCACACTGCCATTGTATTGAATCCAAGTTACCGAAACCGAGAAGAGCCTAAAGAAAAAAAACGCTCATGTTGTATGCCAAACGAGCGGCCACCTGAATTCGCCGAGAAAGTGGCGCGATCGCTACCCAGACAATATGCATATGACGCCAAATTGTACCTATATTTTTAATTATCTTACTAATCTTACTAATATTATAAATGCGAAAGTTTAGATGGATGGATGGATGGATGGATGGATGGATAGATGGATGGATGGATAGATTTTTGTTAGCGTTTGTAGCCTAAACGGCTGAACGGATCTCCATGAAATTTGGCACAGGTTTAGAGCATAGTCTGGAAGAACACATAGGCTACTTTTTATCCCGGGAATAGTTACGGTTCCCGTGGGATTCATTAAGTTTATTAATACTTACTCGATAATTCTGCAACGGTTCAACATATCTTATTGAAATTTGTCACAGATATAAAACAAAGTCTGGAGTACACATGGGATAAGGTTCATGCCTGAGAAATGTCAGGTTCCCGAGGGATACGGAGCTTTTTGTTATTTATATAGTTCGTATGTTTTCTCATACTACAGCTAGTTTCCAATATTTTTCAATTCCACATAAACGAAATTGCGAAGAAAAGCTACTTTTACATAAACAAAAATTACACAGATGTTTATACGTCTATTTGTTGGAAAACCTTACCATATGTGGGAATTCCTTATCAGCAGCATCCACACCGCCCACCACCAGCTGATCTGTCCTGTGATTGCAGCGATACGTGCGGGCCTTCTCTCCTGATAGAGAGTTTCCTTTCACACAAGGATATACTAACTTCTCCTGATATTCCAAACATTCTGAAAGTAAACAGTAATCGTTATTTGAAATGACGTGATGGGTTGAAAGTGAAAAAGTGAAACTTTTTCGGTCCGTCGGGTGAAACCTTGACAATATGTTGGGTGAAACCATGACAATATGTTGGGTGAAAACTTGTCAGTCAGTCGGTTGAAACTTTCAGAGTAAGTCGGGTGAAACCTTGTTGGTAAGTGGGGTAAAACCTTGTCGGTCCATCAGCTGCACCTTTGTCAATTCATCGGGTGAAAATTTGACATTTCGTCGGGTGAAACCTTGTTGTAAGTGGGGTAATACCTTGTCAGTCATATGTAACTTTAAACTTCTTTTCTTACCACGTTTGGGTCGTTTTAGCTTCCCGCTGTTTGTGTGTCAGTTGGGTGAAACCTTGTCAGTCAGTTGGGTGAAACTCTCGTACTCTTCCATACATCTCTATCAGCCTGAACATCTGAACTTCATTCTCTAGCATATCCTTTGCAACACATACTGCTTTCTATACTTACTGTCCCACGCCTTTTGCCCAGTTCTAGGTGACGTCAGATTTGACGGGATCGCCTCACATTCTCCACCCCCCGCTAAAGAGGGATCATTGAAGACATAATCATATACAGGCGGTACGAACTCCGTCGTCACTTTTGGTCTGGAAAATATTAATTTAATAATTACGAGTATATTAATAGAGCGTCGGTGGCTCAGTGGTTTAAGCACTTGACTTGTAATCTACAGGTCTTGGGTTCGAATCCCGCCGCCATGTACCAATGTGATTTTCGATTTTTTCGAATTTTCATATGTACATAATATACCCGACGTTCTTACGGTGAAGGAAAACATCGTGATGCAACCTGCACATATCGGCGAAGAAATTCAAAGATATGTGTGAAGTCAACCAACCCGCACTTGGCCAGCGTGGTTGACTATGGCCTAGTCACCCTAACCTTAGGGTAGGCTCCGAGCCCCTCGGTGGGGACGTATAGTGAGCTGGTGATGTGATGTGATGTGAGTATATTAAATAGACGTCAGGCTTAAAAAATCATCATCATCATCAACACCACCTCACCGAGGGGCTCGTAGTCTACCCCAAATTAAGGGTGACTAGGCTATAGTCAACCACGCTGCTGCGAGTTGACTTCACACATAACTTTGAATTTCTTCGCTGAGTGCATCACGTTTCCTTCACCAGAACTTCGGGTAAATTATCTACATATGTATTTCAAAAATCACATTGGTTGGCGGGATTCGAACCCAAGAACTGTAGGTTACAAGTCAAGTGCCACCGCTCTGTAAAATATTAAAAGCTGTATATGTGCTGCGTTAAAGGTTAGCGTGGAATGGATTTACGAGTGTATGGAGAATACCAGAAAGTGCTAGAAGACAGAAGAAAGTAAGTATGTATTGTGTGAAAGAACTCAAGGGAGTGGATACAGATATGACGGCTGATAGAGATGTATGGAACATACTGTGCCGACCCTCTAGGGACAAAGGATTGATGATGAATGATTAGATTAATTAATCTTTTATTTCCACACAAAGTTTGAGAAATCAGATTAAGGGCCTGTCCTACCAAATTGTAAATTGTAACAATCCAACGTGTAAAATATGTGATGGAAATATCTGATTTTGTTCTCTTTACTGACAGTGACTTCATTGAGCTATCTGAGCCTCTATCAGCCAGTTGTGGGACAAACCCTAAATCTCGTGCCACTTTTAATAGATAAGAATTTTAATGCTATTGTGAATGTCCAAAGGGAAATAAGTTTAACTATCGATAGACGAAGCTTCAACTCAGTAGAAAACATACGTGAAAGCAATTCCGCGTTTCATCTGTTGAGTGTGGTGAGTGTGAGGGGAGATCCAAAGAAGGATTAGATGAGAAAGTGGATTTAACGGTGGAGGAAACGCACAAGAAGGAGAAATATCCTCTTTATGTGCGTCTCCTCCGTTGATTTAGGGTAGGCAACGCATCTGCAATTGCGGATGTCTATGGGCAGCGGTCTCTTCACTATTTTGGCGGATTTAGATGGCCGCTTCCTCGTCGCCATCTTCTTGTATAAAAAAGGTTTGTGAACTGAAGGATAAGACGTACTTTTTAGTGGAGGTGGTAAGTACAGGCGGAGCTGCTGTCGTCGCCGGCGCACCATCCAAACAACAAACAATTGAATCCATACCACGGAAAGAGCATATCTGAGAAAAACATACTAATATAATAAATGCGAAAGTTCAGATGTTTGTACGATTTTGTAGCCTAAACTGAACAGATCTCTATGTAATTTGGCATAGATGTAGAGTAGACTGGAAGAAAACATAGGGTAATATTAGACAACTTATTTAATTGTTACTGTCGCTTTTAACTCAGAGCAATACTTTTCGCCTGACTCAAGTTACGCGCCAATCTATCCATACTTCTAGTGACATTGACAGCTGTCAGCTAGGGACGTGCCGTTTATGCCGATAATCTAGAGTTGCGCCAATTCTATAGCACGGTACTAATTTTATTCCTGACAGTACTTAGACCGCACATACCTTTGATTAAACTATTGCACGACTGTTGGCTAAACCACACAGAAGGTCTACTCGATTTTTAGTTGTGCAACTAAACAATTGAAGGCTGCGAAACAATCGACAATCGCAGAACAATTTGCGATAGTTTGCGTGCGTGGTTTAAAATCACAAATTTACAGACTTGTGTACAAATGACAGTGAAGGAGCCGCGACATGAAGTCTATACCCATCCTTTTGGGTAGCAAGTTGTCTTACCTTCGGTGGAATTCTATTCTTTATATCTCTGATTGCAGATTGACATCTATCAAGCACCTTGCAAGTACCAGTTGCGCCATTTACCTTGCATACTTCACCTGAAAGAAGAATGAATCAGTATTAAGCCAGGAAAGGTACAAGTAGTTTATAAAATACCCTTGTGTTATGTTCGTAAGATACGGGTTTCTTACCACGATTGGATTGTTTTAGCTCCTGATATTTCGGCACAGTTGCATGCGCCATGTTCACGGGCTGACTGAAGTGATACGGTAGTGTGAAAAAAAAGAGAGTTACACGAAGCTATATCGGTCTACTTCTTTATTTGTGCCGAAATATCTGGAGCTAAAACAATTCAATCGTAGTAAGAAACCCGTATCTTACGAACATTATGTTTGTAAAAACCACGACAGTTTAAAGTTATATACCCTAGTTGTCTACCTTCTCCTGTCCCATTGGGTTGTCTGTAAGAAATTACAGCAATAAGGCTGCCCTTGCACATCTTGTCTTAGCTTTTAAGTATATGTTTATGTAACTTTTGTGCAACAGAATAAATAAATAACTTGATTTATTTACTAGCTATGCCCGTGCGACTTCATCCGCATAAAAATATAAATTCGTTTTTGTTTACATTTGTCAAATTATCAATTGCAAATGTCAAAATGACATGACATTATGACACACCATGGCAACCTTGCTTCCTTGATGTTGGTAACAACTTATGGTCTCTTTCCCACATTAGGGTATCCAAAATATTTACCCCCTAAGTAATATATAGTCTAAAGCGTGACGTAAGTGTAGGGCTTTTTATTAGAAAAAAAATAATTAATCAAAAGTATGCTGTAGTTGCTGGCATCTTAGGCAACAAAAAAGTCTGTGTATAATAGTATAGATATGCCCTAAGGCATGAGTGAACACTTTCTAACAGCGGTAGTGCCCGCTTTAACATCTTCGCACTTTCGGGTCGGCACACCCGGTGTACCACGACCACAAACACAGGCGTAAAATGGGAACATTTCCGCGTAGTCTGAAGACTGTACCGGATGCCCAATTAAAGTCCTTTTTCCCACCATCTTATACGAAAAGGATGGGAAGGGGGCGTAGATATAATGATGCAGGACGCATATGAAGAGAAAAATATCCTAGTTATGTGCGTCTTCTCCTCCGTTGATGAAGGGTAGACAACGCAAACGATATTGCGAATATTTATGGGCAGTCGCTTCGCCATTTTGGCGGATTCAGGTGTTGATAAAAAAAAATCAAAAACATTAGACTATAGTTTGTCTAAATAAGATAGATTAGTTTGATAAATGACGCATATGAAGTATCGAATTATTGTATGAAGTCAAATGCCGTACTTAGACAGGTATCGTAGTGACAAAACACGCAGAGAACAATTATGTACTATCGATATTCGGTTTAAATAATTATCGAACTCAACAAAAATTATTATTTTCTTATTAACTAATTTATAGAACAATTCTAGTACTGATAATAGTGTAGAGAATTTGGCAATGACAGAAACAATAGCGAAATCCAATTCGATTACGTACGGCTGTAGTAGTAATAAATATTTATTTACTGTCATTATTTGTTATGGTCGTTATTAATTTGAGAAAACAGTATTTTTTTATTAATTCGTAAGTTATAAATTGTCAAACTAATCTATCTTATTTAGACAAACTATAGTAAGTTTTAGTTGCCAACGGTTCGCTATTTTAACATCAGACTGGTTTGTCATTCGCCATCTATAAAAAGTAGACGAGAATATAAGGTTGTCTGTATAAAATCTGGTTTTGTTAATAATTTTACATCCCAAGGTCAGATTTCGGATTTAAATACCAACATTAATCACATAACGTATTATGTTTTATTACCTTTGATTTATTCAACCAAATAATCTATAATACTAATATCATAAATGCGAAACTTTAGATGTATGTTTGTTAGAGTTTGTAGCCTAAACTGCTGAACGGATTTCGAAGAAATCTGGTATAGATGTAAATGATAGTCTGGAAGAACACATAGGCTATTCACTTTTGTTTTTTTTTAATACCACGCAGACGGAGTCGCGAGCGAAAGCTAGTATTACATATTTAGTTGAATTTTGAAATAACCTCAAACTTTGAGGAAAACCTTAAGAATATTACGTCAGTTTGTTATTTTCCTCGACATTAATTAAGACATAGTTACTATATTTGAAGCTATACATTTTTTTATAATATAAGGTGGCAAACGAGCAAACGGCCTGAATCCACCGAAATGGAAAGCGACCGCTACCCATAAATATCCGCAATTGCAGACGCGTTGCCTACCCTTCATTGACAGTGGAGACGCATTTAAACAGATTTCCCCCTTCCTATGTGTCTCCTCCACCGTCAAATCCACTTTTCCTTCCCATCCTTTTCTGTTATGGAAAAAGTGGAAAGGGAAAGGTACTAAAATTAAGCCTCCGGCACCACACTTATCAGACTGTACGCGGAATTGCTTCCATTTCACGCCTGTTTTCTGTGTGGTCGTGGTATTACACCGGACGAGCCGGCCCATTCGTGCGAAGATGTTAAAGCGGGCACTACCACTGTCTAAACTACCTTTTAAACTATATTAGGATTTGACAATCGTATTCTTAGAGTTAACAGTTTGCCAAGTCTTTACTGAATTACGTCACGGAAGACAGAGCGTAATAAGGCACAATTTGGCAGCCAGGGCAAACACAAAACAGTGGTAGAACCCGCTTTAACATCTTCGCACTGTAGTGCTCGCCAGCAATACCACGACCACACAGAAGACAGGCGTCAAGTGGAAGTAATTCCGCATACAATCTAATGAGTGTGACGGCCTACTTTTGCTCCCTTTCACTTTCCACCCTATTTTAAGAAGAAAGGATAGGAAGGAAATGTGGATTGGACGGTGGAGGAAACGCATAGGAAGGGAAAATCGTGTTTATGCGTGTCTTCTCTGTCAAGGGTAACCAATCTGCAAATGCTGACGTCTATGGATAGTTCGATATTTCGGAGGATTCAAGTGACCGCTTCGTCGTTAGCCACCTTATGGTTAATTAAAAATTGTTAAAACCGCCTAAAATGCTAGAAAAAGGGCGCCCTAGCTCGCTTGTCTTACGTTCCCAGTATATTTCAGTAATGTTAACTTTATGCCGCTTTTATTTGTAAGTTCTTACTAATATTATAAATGCAATAATTTAGATGAATGGATGGATGTTAGAGTTTGTAGCCTAAACGGCTACATGGATGTATATGATTTGGTATAAATATAGAGGAAGAACGCATAGGCTACTTAATATCGTTTATTTCTATTCACGCGAATGGAATCGCGGGCGTAAGCTAGTTACTTTTAATTTTAGTGACAATGAAATGTCAAATGATGCTGTCTCTATTTACATAAATGATATGAGCGAGATAGCTTACCTTCGAACTGTCCATTTGTAAACGCGAATAAAAATAAAAAACCCACCGGAATTACCCGCTTCATTATCTAGCACAGAAACTAATAAAACAAAAGGAAAATCACATCAGATATAAGAAATAGAAACCGCAAACAGGTTTTGTATATTATTTTAGGTTATTAACCTAACTTGTTTTTTTTTTTAATTTGTTTAAATACGTGCGTTTGCAAACACAGCCACCGAGAGAATAACAAGAAGTTATCAATGCAATTATCCGACCAATGTCACCGATAGACTAAACATTTCGTTGTTCATTAACTTTCCTAGACTTCAAATTAAAATGACTCGTACTAATCTATCTATACTATTATAATAAAGCGTAAACACACACTCCTTTGTTTAATTCTTTTTTTAATAAAAAGCCCTACGCTTACGTCACGCTTTAGGCTATATATTTTCACGCCATTAAACTTAGGGGTAAATATTTTGGATAAAAACCCCAATGTGGGAAAAAGACCATAAGTTGCTGCCAACATCAAGAAAGCAAGATTGCCATGGTTTGTCATATAATGTCATTTTGACATTTGCTATTGAAAATTTGACACATGTAAACAATAAAATAAAATGTTCATAATGTCATACGGATGAAGCCGCACGGGAACAGCTAGTTTCATTATAACTTGTGTAAATATTTTTAATTAACACTAGGTGTTGACCGCGACTCGACTTAAATAACAAAAAAATGCTTTGTTACACACAGATAAATTAACTTTATAATGGTGAAATTTTAAAATCGACCCAGTAATTTCAATACATACAAAATACAAATCTATTTTCTTAAAAAGTTCAGATATTCCATTTGCAGTAAAATGTAGAAAATTTAATATCTTTATATTTGCACAAATAACTTTTATTATCATATTTTTAGATATTTTGATACAAATGATTTTAAAAAAATATGGACGATTGGCCATATCAACAATACTTATAATAAAGAAGGCCTAATTTTAATACCTTTTTCTTTCCACCCTTTTCTTAAGTGGGAAGGATGGGAAGGAAAAGTGGAATTGACGGTAAAGGAGACGCATAGGGGAAATGTCTTCTTTATGTGCGTCTCCTCCTCCGTCAATTAACGCATCTGCAATTGCGGATGTTTATGGGCAGTGGTCGCTTTCCATTTCGGTGGATTCAGGTGGCCGCTTGCTCGTTTGCCACCTAATGTTAAAAATAAAAATAAAAAAAATAATTGTTAATTACTTTAAAACTAACACAATGCAAAAGATATCGACCGTTCCATGGTGATGACTAGAAAGGTACTGAGCTACTGAGCTGAGCGAGGGGGCCATCATCGTAGGGTGATGGGAGGGGTTTAACATCTGACCCCTCCCTACACATGTCGAGCCCCTACCAAGGGGCTCCCCCAAGCCGGGTCGTGGATAAACTAACGTAGATGCCACGGCCCGGTTGGGCGAAGGAGAACACCGCGGGGTTTAGTGGGTAGTCCGGCCGGGAGTCCCACACGAAACCGTCCTTGCTACCTCCGCAGCATGGACGGTGAAGTGCGTAAATGCATTCCCCGCGACAACAAAAAAAAAACTGAGCTTCTGAGCGATTGACGGACTGTCGGACTGAGCGCTGTGCAACTCCTTGCTAGTGTTTTAAAAGACTACCCCCCCTTTTTTCCTTCCGTTTTAACTAAATTAGACCACATTATTATACACATTATTATTTAATAAAAGGCAAGTTTGTTTGACAAAACAATTTTAGACTGTCATTTGTTTTTTTAAGTCACGTCTAGTCTACAAACCGCGTTAATTCACAAACGTTCGGCAACATAACGACTGTTTGTAAGCAATCCATGTTTCATGCAGAATATATTAGAGAAAACATTTTCTGTCAATATGTACATCTCATACATAGCCGGTTTCTCAGCTACGTTTAACTATTCGTTAATGTTTTTTAATTCGATAAATTAATTAAATGCGTTTCCGAACGTAACTTTAGTTTTAAGCCATCGAATTCAAACCTAAAAATCGATAGGTAATAACCAAACAAGTGGAAACTTCAAACTCAGCCTTAATAATAGAGTTTTTGGTTTTATAAAATTAATTTGAGGTTAGCTTTTACCGTAAAAGGAAAAATATACATAGTCGTAGAGAGCTGCGCTGCGCTCGCTCGGCCTTTTTAAAACGTTGACTCCGTGTAACGCCGACAGGCGGCGCTGGCTTTACGTAGTACTCTTTACTGCTGCAATGTCGCTAGTGTTGTGATGATGGCGCTCTTATCGCCATAATGGCGCTAGTGTTGCATCGATTCCGACACATATGAAGTTTAAAAACTGTTAGGTTTTTAATTAAACCAAAAAGTAATTATATCAATATTTTAATAACTTCTTCAACATTTTTTTCTTATAATTAGATATACAATAAGGGATAGAATTTTATATCCGTCCAGCCTAACAGATATAAGATTCTATAGTACGACTTTTGACCCGGTCAAACCAAATGTTAGCTCACTAGCGCCATCATTTCAAAGTGCCGCATGATACTTTTAACACATTGAAAGGATGGGCTATAAAATATGGTATTTTGTGACTATTTTTAATTCGCCATTTCAACGCTGATTTTTATTTTATTCCATTTTCTATTACACTATAAGTTTTATTTATTTTGTGACAGAAATTATAACGATAACAGCGCCACCCAGAGCCAAAGTCGTACGCAAAATACTGTCCGAACGTCACAATTGCTTTTGCCTAAAATCACCACAGATTATATACAGTATTGCAGCTTCTGTCATTATTTAAACGTCATAGTTCGCGTCTAACCTATTACCGACCGTATCGTCATACAAATAAGGCTTGAAATCGCTTAGAAGGGTATTTTCCCTCCATTCTTCTGGAATTTCTAATACAACAATTGGTAGTGTTTTCTGAATTCTCTCCGATTTTATATCTTCATGATTTTGTTGCAACTGGAACACACGAAATTATTTATTTAATATTTTAGATTATTTATTTTTAAGTTGATAATAATGACTGTAGTTAAATTTACCTTAACATGGTCAGGTCCTCGTTTCCTCCTCAAGTAATTGAAACAGCAAGCCCTGAAGTGACGAGTGCCGCACGCCGCCGCGCACTCACTCCCACACGAATCACACGACAAGCCAGCAGCCAGTAAATTACCTGAGAAACAATCAGTTCCTTTACAGTCAGTCTTCTATAGACTTCAATCCCTGCCATAAACTGTTCTTATCGAATTTCAAAAATACATTTATACTGGCTTACGAATAGACGCACACTTTTTATGCGATTGTCGATTGTTTTTCAGTCTTCAACTTTTTAGTTGCACAACTAAAAATCGCTTAGTGTACCTCCATATAGGGATCAAAGCGAGACTATAGTGTGTCTAAATAATTTAGATTAGTTTGACAATTCATTTCATATTTAGTAGGGATGGGTTGTGTAATCAGTCATGAATCTTATCGATATTCGATTTTTAATCTTATAGAAGATGGAATCGATAGAATTATAGTTATAACTTATAAATATAAAAAAACACTGTTTTCTAAAATTAATAATGACCATAACAAACAATGAGAGTAAATAAATGTTTATTACTACTACAGCTGTACGTAATCCAATTGGATTTCGCTTTTTTTTCTGTCATCGCTAAATTCTCTACACTATAATCAATACTAAAATTGTCCTCTAAATTAGTTAATAAGAAAATAATAATTTTAGTCGAGTTCGATAATTATTTAAACCGAATATCGATAGTTCATAATTGTTCGCTGCGTGTTTGTTTCGTCACTACGATACCTGTCTATTAAGTACGGCATTTACCTTCATACAAATTGAATTCGATACTTCATATGCGTCATTTATCAAACTAACCTATCTTATTTAGACAAACTATAAACAGTTATGCGATAGTTTAGTTAAAGGTGTGCGCGCTCTAAAGAAAACAATGCGATGCAACCTGATATTGCACGGTAATTTTACAGTATAGGTGTTTGTGCTCGCTTAGGGTCGTTGGTGAATATTGGCTAAGGCGTAATCACTAACTAAAAGTACTACGGGCGTATTAACCAAGGCTTGGTTAGAACTTAAAGGCAACTAGGAGGTTGACTGAGTCTAGCCCTGACTATAAACAGTAAAGGCGTGTTGAACAAGGCGTAGTTACTAACTTAAAGGCAACTGGGAGGTTGACTGAGGCCAGCCTTGACTTCGAACAGTAAAGGCGTGTTAACTGAAACCTGTGGGTAGTGGAGTGCTGACTCTTACTAACTTAGAACATAAAGTTGACTAAGGCCTTTCCACTGATTTAATACAGGCTGGAACACCCATATTGAGGACCTAAAATAATGATGTACCTGTTCTGAAGTCCTCTGATGATGAAGCTTCCTTTTTTTGCCTTCTTGTATCGGCCTGCGACCACGCTACAAAACAATACTTATAAATAAACAAGCAAATGGCAACACAGGAGAGAAAAACTACAGATGCTTTGTAAGCCTTTTTAAAATTAGTTTTATTGCTGATACTTTATTATTTAAATTAGCAAATAGACATAAGACATAATAATTAAGAACCAAAGTCCAAAAAAGTTAAAAATCTGTATAAAATTAATATTTGCTTCTAATTACTACATAAGGCTGAAAATAATTATATTTCTAACTCACCTATAAGCATCAAAGAAACGATAGCTGTAATTTTACGCATTTTTATAGTTAAAACGGAACGTAATTCGCGCCAAATTTGACAGCTGCAAGATGGCTGCCGGACTGCGAACATCAGAATGAAAGCAAGACGCCATTCCAGCCTTTTTATATGGACCAAAGTTTACCTAAGTTGTAGGAGGGAAGACGTGAGTTAAATAAATAATTGTTGTTACTTATTTTCATGCATTTTTAGCTCCTTTGAAGTGGTTAATAGGTTTTTGCTGCCGTCTTTAGGTTATTTTCGAGTCTATACAATATTGACTTGTAATAGATTATTTAACTAAACAAATATTATGTACTTAGTCTTTAAATCGTGACTATGGGAGCCCCTTAGTGCAGAAGTTAATTGCTGTTCACAAGAAAAATACTTTTTAACTTTTGGGGAACAGATAATGATTTAAAATGATTTTAAACTGTGTTCCTGCAACTGCAGGAGCTGTTTTTACGAGAAGTTTCTCGTAAAAACTGCTCAGTTATAAAGACATAAACCTTACAAATATTATAAATGCGAAAATTTGGATGGATGGATGGATGGGTGTTTGTTAGAATTTGAAGCCTAAACGGCTGAATAGATATCGCTCGATAAAGTTTGGCATATACGTAGAGTATAGTCTGGAAGAACACATAGGTTACTCACTTTTTTTTACATCCACGCGGACGGAGTCTCGAGCGCAAGCTAGTATTCTATAACTTTAGTATTTAAGTATAAAAAAAATTACAAGTGAAATTAAATTATATCCCACTAGAACCCTACTTGTTACTTCTTACCGGACTTCCTTGTTTGTCTTTAACTACTACGGGGAAAAAAAATTATCGAATGACACCCCACACGTCAAAATTGGTTCGCTTGTTAAGGATTTTCCATATGAACACTACCCTTCTGTGAGTGGGGCAAACCGAGTAGTTTATCTGCGACATCCCTGGGAAAGTACGTGATGCCACGACCGGTGATTAGGGTTAAATACTTCGTGAGACAATTTTTATTACACTATTAATATGAAAAAGTATTAATAAAACGTTTTTTAATGACCACCCTTTAAGGAAATAACGGGAAATTATATGTTTGTATCAGTTTCATTACACGCAGACGAAGTGTGGCTTGTTCATATTCAAGGAAATTTTCGATTCAAAGTTTTCCAATAAAAATGTTAAAACTTCACCAGACCACGTCTCCTGTTTGAAATTAATTTATCGTAAAGATCAATGTACCGACAGAGAGATTTTATATATCTATACTAATATAATAAAAAGTATTTTTAAATTATTGTTTTTTTTTTAAATAACCCCCCACGCAGGTCTATTGCTAATTGACTTCACACATGTCTTTGAATTTCGTCACAGATATGTACCACATGATGTTTTATCAAATATCTATCTATACTATTATAATAAAGCGTAAACACACCCTTCTTTGTTGCCTAAGATGTCAGCAATTGACACTTTAATGAAAAGCCCGACTCTTACGCCACGCTTAAGGCTAATTATTTCACCCATTAAAATTTAGGGGTAAATATTTCGGATAAAAACTCTAATGTGGGAAAGAGACCATAAGTTGCTGCCAACATCAAGGAAGCAAGATTGCCAAGGCTTGTAATGTGATAATTTGACAAATGTAAACAATAAAATAAATTTTTCATAATTTCATGCGGATGAAGTCGCACGGGAACAGCTAGTTACTAAATAATTTCTTTTAATATCCTTAATCCCGTCTGATATTCAATCCTAAGTTAATAATATATCTTCAACTATATCTTCTTGTCTATACATAACTCAGACTACAACAGAGTACTTTATTTGCAGAGCTATCAGAGTGAAAGTGTGAATAAATAAAGGATCTTTATAATCTAAAACTGTATATTATTTCTAAATGGGATAAGAAATACTGTTGAAATATTTGGATAAAGTTATTGTAATACTAGCTTTTCTCGCGACTTCGTCGTTGTGAAATTAAAAAAATAAAAAGAAATATAGCTTTTATTACTAACAGATAAATTCCCTTTCTCAGTGACAAATTTTTTTAAATCGGCCCAGTAGTTTTTGAGTTATTTCAATACATACAAAAATAAAAATCTTTCTTCTTTATTATATTAGTTGTAATATGAATTTGTATTATCAAACAAGTTTCATTATATTTTCTATCTTTACACAAAATCTCACAGAGGGGCTCAAAGGGAGAGTTAGGGAAGTAGAGAAGATTTACTTTCTTTCAGTAAACTGTTCGATTCGTTCTTTTTGTGAGTATTTTTTATCTGTAAACAAAATCATGTTTTTAATCTGTTATCAAGTGGCATTGTCAATGTCAAGTACAATGTCAATCAAAAAGTCGCTTGTATGAAAATAAACAAATTAAAATACCTACGGAATAATTACGATAAAAATACATTATCATGTAACTTATTACCTCAACATTTAGTAAAAACTTGTCCTAAAATAAACTTGTGAGGTAAGCTTTTTATTTTATTTGTAATTAAAAAGTTTTATTGTAAATTCAAGACAAACAAATCTTCATCTTTTTAAGGTCGGAAGTGAAGGCCTTTGATGCTAGTCGTTAGCAAGTTTATATTATTTCATAATTATAGTTATACAAAATGGCTGAAACAGAACAAGTGATTAAATCTGAAATTATAGAAATATCAGATGATGAGAAACAAGAACCTAAAAAGTAGGTAAGGCTTACTTCCTAATAGTATATAAACATGTTAATATAAATAGTAATCTAATGGTATTGAAAAAGATAACAAACTTTTTCAAACAATTTTCCCATTATAAGACTACTAGCTTTTGTCCATAACTCCATCAGAATTAAAAAAAAAAAACTAAAGTGAGTAGTCTATGTGCTCTTCTAGACTATCCTCTACATCTATACCAAATTTCATCGAGATCCATTCAGCAGTTTAGGCTACAAACTGTAACAAACATCCATCTAAACTTTCGCATTTATAATATTAGTATGATATATGGTCAAGCAATAAGTAATAAATATCATGCTGGCCGCCAAGAAAGCCATAGAACATATTTTTTAATTAAGGAATGTAATTCGAATGCAGAGAAAAATGTGACGTGAGCGATGTAACCATATTTGTTTGTATTAAATGCCTTTTTATCAATTTATGTGAATAGTTTGTGTGTTTTTATCAAATAAAGAAGAATTTATCAATGGTACTAGTTTACATTTAATCAATATACAGACATTTTTGCATCAATTTAAACATTAAAATGTACCAATGTAAATTGTCGTAGGCATGTGTATTATACTTATTTATTTATTTATAATATAAGGTAGCAAACAAGCAAGCGGTCAGCTAAATCCACCAAAATGAAAAGCGACCGATGCCCATAAACATCCACAATTGCAGCGTTGCCTACCCTTCATTGACAGAGGAGATGCACATAAAGAGGAAATTTCCCTTTCTTATGTGTCACCTCCATGATCAAATCCACTTTTCATTCCCATCCTTTCTTCTTAAGAAAGGAAATGTTGAATAACACCTGCCTATTTATGAAACAAATATTGCTAGTATCTTATAAATATTTACTTATTGCCCTATGTCCCCAAAGTAGAGAAGAGGTTATCCACAGTGTACCAGCTTATTCTATCCTGGCTTCTGTGTTTGGTGAGGTCATAACAGCCTTCATGATATTATATTTGTGAATGATTTAAAAATCAAATTTAAGGAATTATTGAACTGACGAGAAATTACATTCCATTTGTATCTTTAGAGCAGGGATGTTGCGGATGTTGATTTTTTCACATCCGCGGATGCGAATGCGGATGCGGAGTTTTGAGGGCTCACATCCGCGGATGCAGATGCGGATGCGGATGTTAAGATAATATGTAAACCGTCATTATCATCATCATAATTTCAGCCTTTATTATTAATATTTATATTTTTATTGTAATTAATCAAACATTAGTATAATTATATTAAACACCTATTGGTAAATTAGTAATTAAAATTTAAAATAGGAGCATTGTACTTAATGAACAGGAGTATTGGTGCCTTTTCTGGTTCAAGGCGATTACGCAGAGGTTCATAAATTAAGCCCGGGCTACTAAATACTTGTTCGCTAGGAACACTGCCCGGCTACTTGCATGATATTCGCATCCGCATGAACATCCGCACTGATTAATGCGGATGCGGATGCAGATGCAGATGTCCAAATCTATGCGGAAGTTCCGCATTTGCGGATGCGGATGCGGATATTCGCAACATCCCTACTTTAGAGTGTGCAACTTTGACTAAACTATCCCACAACTGTGCGATTGTTTCGTAGCCAACTGTTTAGTTGCACAACTAACAATTGAGTAGTGTACCTCCATACAAGCTCATAGGAATCAAGAAAACAGTTGTGCGAGAGCTTAGTTTCAGTTGTCCACTGTGTTGCGTTTGTTAACAGTAGAACCTCGATAAGTTAAAGTGCAAGGGAAACACAAAATATTTTAAGTTATAGAGGTTTTAAGTTATCAAGGGTCTATGTTGTAGGTTTTGGACTCTGATGGGAAGGGAACATATTATTTTCTGAAGTTATAGAGGTTTTTAAGTTATCGAGGTTTGAGTTATCGAGGTTTTACTTTTATTATGTCATATTTACAGAAGAAAACGTAGAGAAACAATAAAAAAAGACCCAATACCATGTGACCAGTGTAACAAGAGCTTTCAGACGGGTTACGAGTTGAAAAAACATAAACGAACACATACTGGAGAGAGACCTTATATGTGTACCGCTTGTGGGAAAACTTACACCCAATTGGGGCATTTAAGGATACATGTTTTGTCCCATAATGGGATAAAAAACTTTACCTGTACACAATGTAGTGCAGCGTTTTATAGGAAAGCAGATTTAGATCGTCACGAGAGAGTACATAATGGTGTGAAACCACATCAGTGTGAAATTTGCTCGAAAAGTTTTACGCAGAAGAATAATATGGTTATGCATTTTAAAATGCACCTCGGGGATAAGCCTCATAAATGTTTAATTTGTCCAAAAAGTTTTATTACCAGAAGTAAATTGACTCAGCATTCGAAGAGACATCAGAGAGGAAAGATAAAAGATTGAATGAAATTGTTAAGGGAATTATACTAATATTGTAAACTAGTTTTTACAAGTATGGAATTAAGAAATATTTTAAGTAGATTGTGTTCTTCCGAACTCTAATCCATATCTGTGACTTTCTTAAAAAATTAGCAAAATATTTCTACAAAAAAAGTGTTTTGATTAATCTGTGAAAATACAAAATAAAGGATAAATATAAGCGCCTACTGTAATACAATAGCAAAATCTTTATGTTAAAATTGCTATTTTTTAATAAAAGGCGTTATTATTTCTTATACTGTTATATGTAACAAGATCTGGTGCTATTTTTAATATTAAAATTACCTATTTAAGTACAAAATATTTGTTTTATTTCCTACCGGAACTTCGAATAGAGGGAATATTATATCTCTATAATAAAAGTGATCGAATGTATGCCAGGTAGGTACCGCTCCATAGCGGATGGTAAAATAAAACAATACAGAAACCGCACAGCAATAGTTTGTTAATATAAACAGATTTTCAAGTTCAAACAATAGCCGTAAATATTTATTAAAACTTTTACAGTAATTTTATACATGTTTAGGTCATCAACAATTTGAACGCAGCTAGTTGAACATTATCCTAGATATTTCTAGCATCAAGTTGCTGCACCAACGAGGTCTATTCTTGATATTTGTAGGAATCGTTAATATAAGACCCTTATAGGACTCCACACTGGAAACCGATGAACGCCTGCAAAAAAATACGAGCAATGTACAGTCGTGGAATTTTGCGGTATTCCACTTACAGGATTGCCTATGTTTCAACGAGACAAACTCCGCCTCTTACAAATAACGTAATAAGGTAATAGTTGCGCAAACGCCGGGATATAAAGCATTATCCGTGTACCGACATTTAATAGCTGCACTCTATATGTTATTGTTATTGTTCCGCGTCTCATTATGTACAAATATTCAAAGGACTGAAATGTGGACACCGACAGATTCTCCGACTGTACATAATGTCGGGACCACGGCTATCGTACAAAAGATAATTTAAATGATGTCATAGTTCTGTTTTCTCTTTCTCTTTCCTGTTATATCTTACCTTTCACATATCAGTAAAACAATAGCTCCCGACCGCGACTCCGTACGCGTGGTATTAAAGAGTAGTCTATGTATTCCAGACTATCCTCTACATTTATGACAATCGAGATCCGTTCAGTTTAGGTTCACTCTAACAATCTAAACATTCACATTTTTTTTTAATATGAGAAGGGGTCAAACGAGTGGCGGGAACACAGAGGTAGTCAACCACGCCCATGGACATCCGCAACACCAGAGGAACTACAGATACGTTGCCTTTAAGGAAATGATAGGCTCGCTTCTTGAAGGACCCTAAGTCGTATTGGTTTGGAAATACCGCCGAGGACAGACCGTTCCACAACGCGGCTGTGCGGGGCAGAAAGTTCCGAGAAAACCGCATGGTTGTGGAATGCCAGCCATCAACATGGTGAGGATGGTACCTGGCGGTCTATCGTGTCCAAACAGCTCCTCGGAACACTCCCCTTGGTAAATACGGTATACATTTATATAAGTTAGATTATTTTTACTTACGATATCGCCACTTCGGTGTTTTTATTTTGGGTTTCATTGTTACTGGTCTTTTTTCTTTTTCCAAACAGCATACGTATCTTTTAAAACCATTATAAAAACAACTCTGAAAGGGTAAAACTGACAAGTTATATATTCCAGTTATACGTTACTGCTATATTGCAAGCCAGTTGGTATGCAGGAGTGGGCTTACATGACTAAATCGAACAACTGTTGTGCGATTGTCGATTATTTCGCAATTCAACTGTTTAGTTGCACAACTAACGAGTAGTGCACCTCCATACAAGCTCATAGGAATCAAAGCAAGACTAAACAGTTATGCGATAGTTTAGTCAACCGGCACTTTCTTAATGTAACAGTATTTGATTTTGCACTATAGTGTGTCTAAATAAGATAGATTAGTTTGACAATTCATTTGAAATTTTATAGGGATGGGTTGTGTATAATCAGTCATGAATCTTATCGATTTTCGATTTTTATTCTTATAGAAGTTGGAATCGATAGATTTATAGTTATAACTTATGAATTAAAAAAGAACACTGTTTTCTTAAGTTTATAATAACCTGCAGAAACATTACAAATAATGAGAGTAAATAAACGTTTATTACTACTACAGCCGTACGTAATCGAATTGGATTTCGCTATTATTTCTGTCATCGCTAAATTCTCTACACTATAATCAATACTAGAATTGTCCACTAAATTAGTCAGTAACAAAATAATAATTTTAGTTGAGTTCGATAATTATTTAAACCGATTATCGATAGTTCATAATTGTTCGCTGCGTGTTTCGTCACTACGATACCTGTCTATTAAGTACGGCATTTGCCTTCATACAAATTGAATTCGATACTTCATATGCGTCATTTATCAAACTAATCTATCTTATTTAGACAAACTATAAGAAAATATGCAATCAGCTACATAAATATGTAGACACTAGCTTTTGCCGTGCCATTAAGGCTATGTGCTCTTCCAGACTATCCTCTACATTTATGAAAATTCAAACAAAAAAATGGGACCCACCTGCAAGCATTACCTTTCGGATAAAAAAAAGAATTATCAAAATCGGTCCACTAGCGGCGGAGTTATGCCGTAACATACATAAAAAAAAACATATAGACGAATTGAGTACCTCCTTCTTTTGGAAAGTCGGTATAAAAGATCATGATGCGTAAATAGTTCAGACTATAAACTTTAACAAAAATCCTTATCTTACTAATATTATAAATGCGAAAGTTTAGATGGATGTTTGTTAGAGTTTGTAGCCTAAACGACTGAACGGATTTCGATGAAATTTGACATAGATGTAGAGGATAGTCTGGAAGAACATATAGGATACTTACATTTTTTTCCACGCGGACTTTAATATTAGTAATATGTACAAAACATTTTTACGTCTTCAGTTTCATAAATACATCTGTTAATAGCTTTATATGCTGTTAGCGTACATTAAGACAGTTTTGAAACCAAATTCGTGTATACGTTTTCATATATTTTTGCAGCTAACTGTACCTTGCAGTTCGTTTTGTAATTTAAAATGTTAGTTACCTTTATCTTTTTCTTATTTCTGATTTGATGTATCGCGTATTCACATTTATATAAATATCTACAAACACCGATCTCGTTAGTATAGGTTGTACATCTGCCACCTGTGTGAAAATTATAGGTTATGTTCCTTGCGATTTCGTTGGCGTGAAATTAAAAAATAATAAAAAAACATAGCCTATGTTACTCACCGATAAATTACTTATTTAATGGTTAAATAATTTTTTAAATAAGCCGAGTTGTTTTTACGTGAAATAATACATAAAAAATACAAATCTTTCCTCTTTAAATAAAGATAGATAAAGAAAAAAAACTCCAGAATATAGAGGTTAGGATCTCAATGTTTATCACAGATGATAAACACAATCTGGAGCACAGACTACTTTTGTTTTTTTAATTCCACGCGGATTAAATCACTTGCAAAAACAAAGAATAAAGAAAAAGCAGAGGTTATAAAAATTACCTTCATAATCCGCATCCTCTTCATAACAAACCACTAAATGCAGAGTAAATAACAACATTATTATAACTGTTTTCATTTTAAATATGTTAAAATATTAACAAATGAATTAGAATGCCGCAGAGACGCAAACGTTTTCAACTATATATGTAGATACTGCTGGATATGGTTTTCCCGAGAGATAAAAATATATATAGAGAACGCATAGTTGTAAATTCACTTGAGATATTTTTCAAATAATAATCACTAACACTATTGATAGATTATAAACCACGTTATAGTAACAGTAATTAGTAATTAGTAATTTAGTAATCCTATATATAATATATGTGTCATATAAATATTATAAATGCGGAAGTTTAGATGGATGGATGTTTGTTAGCGTTTGTAGCCTAAACTGCTGAACGGATTTCCACGAAATTTGGCACAGGTTTGGAGCATAATCTGAAAGAACACATAGGCTACTTTTTATCCCAGGAATAGTTACGGTTCCCGTGGGATTCATTAATTTGGTTTTTTAATATTTACTCGATTATTCTGCAACGGTTCAACATATCTTATTGAAATTTGGCACAGATATAAAACAAATTCTGGAGTACACATGGGATAAGGTTCATCCCCGAGAAATGTCCGGTTCCCGAGGGATACGTAGCTTTTTGTAATTTATATAGTTCGTATGTTTTCTAATACCACGCGGACGAACTCGCGGGCAACATCAAGTAATATTGTAAATGCGAAAGTTTAAATGGATGGATGTTTGTTAGAGTTTGCAGCCTAAACGGCTGAATGGATTTCGATGAAATTTGGTATAGACGTAGCGGATAGTCTGGAAAAACACATAGGCTACTCCCTTTTGTTTTTTTAGTTCAACGCGGACGGCTTCGCGTGCGAAATCTAGTGTCAATATAATTGTATTTAAATTAATTGCCCATAAAAGTCATTAAACAATATTGAAAAGTTTACATTTTATTTTGCGACACTGTTTTGTTTATTTTATAACAAAATATGAAGCGTAATATAATTTTGAAAAAATGTTTTATTACATGTCAATACAAGGACACAAAGTGGCACTAAACTTGACAACAAAAATGTGACCTTTCAAAGAAATTACCGGTGAAAAAAGTTGTTCATGTCTATTCTATATGTTTTCATTGTCTGGGATTTCCTCATCGTGTATCAAAGGTTATTAAAATTTACCAGGACTTTACTGGGATAATTCTTAAAGTCATTGCACAAGAGATGTCAATCGCAAACTTCGTTGGCGCGGAATTTAAAAAAATGCTATAGTTACAAGATTCCCAATCGTATCGTCTACCATCTAAAGTCCTGTCAAATCCACCCATCCTAGAGATCTGTCGCCATTTTGACAGCGCGAAATTGAAAAACGAAATAACCGAAAATTCCTTTAGAGTTACTTACCCTACCTTTAGAGTTTGCATCTTTGACTAAACAATCGCACAACTGTGCGATTGTCCATTGTTTCGCAATTCAACTGTTTAGTTGCAACTAACGAGTAGTGTACCTCCATACAAGCTCATAGGAATCAAAGCGGGACTGAACAGTTGTGATAGTTTTAGTCAAAGATGTGCGCTCTTAGCGAAATTAAATTTGTTTTAATATTCGGTCGTTAATAAAATCTTACCAATATAAAATATGCGAGAGTTTAGATGTTTGTTAGAGTTAACCTAAACTGCTGAACGGATCTCGATGTTTGTCAGGAATAAAATTAGTACCGTGCTATAGAATTGGCGCAACTCTAGATTATCGGCATAAACGTCACGTCCCTAGCTGACAGCTGTCAATGTCACTAGAAGTATGGATAGATTGGCGCGTTACTTGAGTTGACGAAAAGTATTGCTCTGAGTTAAAAGCGACAATATCAATTTAATAAGTTGTCTAATAATACATAGATAATCTAAAAGAACATTAGGCCAATTTTGTTTTTTTAATCCACGTGATTTGTGGGCGACAGCGTGAGTCTCCTCCTCCGTCGGATAGGGGTAGACAACGCAACCGCATGCGCATGTCTATGGGCAGTCGCTTCGCTATTTTTGCGGATTCAGGTGGCCGCTTGCTCGTTTACCACCTGTTATAAAAAGCGACACCGACCGCGTGGAATTCAGAAAAACAAAAATAAGTAGCGTTCTTCCAGACTGTTCTCTAATCCATGCTAAACATAGATATCTGTTTAGCAGTTTAGGTTACAAACTCTAACAAACATCCATCTAAACTTCGGTGGAAAGGCAGGCCACAAAGCTATTTGGTGACGAAGACTATAACTGAGCATGTCTTGAACACAGACGCAGAGTGGCTAGCCTGACAGTGTTTTACAGGTTGCATTTTGGTGAATGTGCGCAGGAATTCTACAAACTCATTCCCCCATCCCCTTTTTACCATCGGACATCTAGTACGGCTGGTCTCCACCCCTTCATAGTTGAAGTGCCGCGGGTTCGAACGAAGCGATTCGAGACATCGTTTCTCGTGCGCACAGCAAAGGAGTGGAATAAGTTGCCGGCGTCAGTGTTCCCGTCAAGTTATAACGTGGGTGTCTTTAAGAGCAGGGTGAATCGGTACTTACTAAACTAGCGCGTACCATCCTTCGACCACATCTTCACCTTGGTCTAGGTAGGATAGTGGTCAAGCGCTGGTTTTTGCAATTTAAAAAAAAAAACTTTCGCATTTATAATATTAAGATAGTATTGTGTTATCTGTAGTAATTAAGTAATGCAATATGTTTATAAATAGGTTATTATGCATATCATTATCACCAGCTCACTACGTCCCCACCGAGGGGCTCGGAGCCTACCCTAAATTAGGGTGACTAGGCCATAGTCAACCACGCTGCACTGCGGGTTGGTTGACTTCACACATATCTTTGAATTTCTTCGCCGATATGTGCAGGCATCACGTTGTTTTCCTTCACCGTAAGAACGTCGGGTAAATTATGTACATATGAAAATTCGAAAAATCGAAAATCACATTGGTACAGGATTCGAACCCAAGACCTGTAGATTACAAGTCAAATGCTTAAACCACTGAGCCACCGACGCTCTCTATTATGCATATATTTTCTACTAATTATAACTTAAAAAAATGTAACACATGTTAAACCATACTATGAGATACTTGACTCTTTTTCCACGCAATCGGAGTCGCGTTCAACAACTTTTACTATAAAAAGAACATTTTTTCAACCGGTTTTCAAACTTGTTTAGATGCAAAATAAAATTGACCTTGAATATTAAAATAGTATTTTAAATTATTAATAACCAACATTAAAGAATGTAAAAAAAATAACTAAAACATTAATACAATAAAGTTTTTGATATATCGTGATATACACGTAAAACCAGTTTTTCCCAGTCATGTAGACAACAAAGGTACAGGATGTTTCAAATGGCTAACACTAGGCTAGTAATTTAGTCGAGTAATAAGTAACTCAGTGACATGAAAAGGTGCAAAAAAACTTTGATTACAATTCTCCACTGTTAAAAATACAAAATTTTTTTTGAAGATTCAAAAAACAAAAGTCTGTAGCCAATGCGTTCTTCCGTATTTATACTCTATCCGTTTAGCAGTTTACGCTACCTCTAACAATCCATCTAATCAATACTAAATATAATAAAGCGTAAACACACACTACTTTGTGGCATAGGATGTCAGCAATCACAGCATATATTTGAATAATTCTTTCTTTAGTAAAAGCCCTTTACTTTCGACATGCATTAGACTGTACATTTTCACGCTATTAGTTAGTGGATAAATATTTTGGAAAATACGTTCATGTGGGAAAGTGACCATCAACTAGTAGCTGCTAACATTAAAGAAGCAGTGTTATGGCCGGCCCTCTCGGACGCCCTTGATTCGGAATGCTAAACAATGACGGAATTCGAAGCGATCTGAAAGCTCGGTGGCCTCCCAATCCGGTAATAATAACGAAGTAACGGCTCGTGCCGAGGCTCCTGAGGGAGCCCTCGAGCTTAGTTACTCACAAACGAGGTTTAGGCTAAGCGCCATCTGCGCTAGGCCACCTCAAGCCCGGTAAATCTGTAAATGCCTCTTCAAGGCAAACAGTGGCCATTCAGTCACAAAGAAAAATGTTATGGTAACGGTAATTTTGACACTTGCAACTGAGAATTTAACAAATGTAAATAATAAAGTGTTTATAATTTCTTGCGGATGAAGACGTACAGAAACAGCTAGTTTAATTATAATAGTATAAAATTGTTTTTGCATCAACCTGTATAACAGTTGATATTTAGTTTTTAAGTCAGATCGTCCGCATCCATGTTTCTTGTACGACGTTTCGCGGGCATGAGTTCAATCAATCTTTATATAAACATTGTTTATTGAATATTGTTAACGTAATATGGAAAAAGTGTGGTGTGTGATATTCTTGTTGATAAATGTAAAGTTTTTAGTCGCACAAGAAGGTATTATATTATATTATACGACAAGGAAAATAATCCCAATAAATGTACATTTTGAGGTTACGTTTATCTCTAACATTGACCTTTGACGTAGATTGTTTTTATTATTTTAATAGTTATTTATAGGTTATTATTTTGTTTCTTACAAATGACATAATACATTAATTTAGTAATAATCATTTAATTAAATATTTTAATGCATATTCCAACTTACAAGCTTTTGCCCGCGATTAAAAAAAACAAACATAATCTATGCGTTCTTCCAGATTATAAAGTCATTGCCCATTAAATGTCTCTCTGTATACTTAGATCTTTAAAACTACTCAACGAGTTTTGATTTAAAAAAAATGATGCAAGAGGAAGTTTTATAATAAACTAGCTTTTCTCGTGCGGCTTTTGTTTTTGACATTTGTAAAATCTCAATTTCAAATGTCAAAATATTATATACAGTTACCAATAATCTTGCTTCATGTAGCTTGTAGTTTATGGTCTCTTTCCTATATGAGGGTTTTTCCAATTTATTTACCTCCTAAGTTTAATAGTGCGGAAATATATAACCTAAAATGTGTCGTAAGACTTTTTATTAAAAAGATAAGATTACTTTCGTCTGATGAGTGTGGTGACGGAGGCCTAATTTTGGTCCCTTTCCACCTTTTTCTTAAAAGGAAAGGATGGGAAGGAAAAGTGGATTTAACGGTGGAGAAGACGCATAAGAAGGGGAAATGTCCTCTTTATGTGCGTCTCCGCCGTCAATTAAGGGTAGGCAACGCATCTGCAATTGCGGATTTTTATGGGCAACGGTCGCTTTCCATTTCGGTGGATTCGGCCGCTTGCGCGTTTGCCACCTTATATTATAAAAAAAATAGAAAGGGAAAGGAAAGGGGCTAAAATTTGCCTCCGACACCACACTCATCAGATTGTACGCGGAATTGCTTCCGCTTGACGCCTGTCTTCTGTGTGGTATCGCTGACAAGCCTTACAGTGTGAACAAGTTAGTGCGGGCTGTACCACTGACAAAAGTTTTCTTTTGTTTTTAGGGGAAGAATGCGAATTAGAGGAAGCGGAAGGTGTGTTCGGGGAATGCAAACCGACATATCTGTGCAGTTACACAGATCGACTAATCAATAAGGAAAATCAACAACCAACGGTATAACTGATTATTCCCAACCGTCAACCCGCTCTGTCCCCACGTAAGAACAAAAAGTTTTATCCGTCCCAACTTTTGCGACGAGGGGACGGTTGGAACTTATTTTATTTCATAACAAATGACAAACCTTAGCAATCTTGCTTTATTGATTGTTGGCAGCAACTTATTGTCTCTTTCCCACATTAGGTTTTTATCCAAAGTATTTAGCTAACGTTAATAGCGTGAAAATATAAAGCCTTAAGCGTGACGTAAGTGTAGATGTTAAAAAAAGAATTATTCGAAAATATACTGTAATTGCTGACATCTTAGGCAACAAAGTGTGTGTTTACGCTTTATTACAATAGTATAGATAGCGTGAGTTGTGAAGTGTCTCAAGTGAAGTGTCAACTCTGGTTCCTCTATACATAGTATATTATTTTAATCTGGAACTATTAATCTTATTCCAGGTTTGCTTCGCAAACACGACTGACACTTTTGTGTGTTGTCCAAAAACACTCTACCAAACAGGAATACTTGGAAGAACATTCTTCGATTCTATTAATGGTCGGCTGACGTACGGTGATATTGTAAGATCTTTTTACCTTTTCTTTCTTTTATATTATCTTTCTGTCCTTGTTCCACTCATGTAAACTTATGTGACAGAGCTTTAAGTTAGCACTGTAGGGCTCGCTCTGTGTACCACGACCACACAGAAGACAGGCGTCAATTGGGGGCAATTCCGCGTACAGTCTGTTGAGTGTGTCATCTCTCTGCCTTATCCTACTCCCGTAGCGGCGCACCGGGTTTTCCTCCTCCAAATAACTATCATCCGTCATCTCAGTCATCACTCCCGTCTTGATTATGTCACCTTTCACGCAATCATCCATCTCTTTTTATGTCTACCTCCACATTCATAGTGTGTGTGTTCAGTCTGTTGAGTGTGTCGGAGGCCTAATTATAGTCTCTTGAGAAATGATGTGGAGACAAGAAGGACATTATTCAGTCTCAATAAACTGAGTATAAGCAAATATTAGTACAAATTTTGGTTATACTCAGTTTATTTTTATACCGCGTTTATTTGTAAGGCTGTTTATGAGTCTACGTCCATTACGAGTAGGTAAAACATCTGCCATTGCTGATGTCTATGTCATGCCTTTCCGGCAGATTCAGGTGGTCGCTCATTTGGCACCTCATACTATAAAAACAAGATCTAGTCCTTCACATAACTTTATCGTATGTCATCTGTCACTGCCTTATGACGACACCTTTCACGTAATCCATCTCTTTCTAACTACCGGTGTACTCATTACTAACGTCTTGTTACATTCATCCATTCTCTACCACTTGGACTACCCTAGTGGTAGAGAAACGCTTTAATTATTTCATCTCATTAGTAAGAAATAAACTGTACTTCCAGGACTGTCGCTACACTGGCTCGTTCCCGCTCGTATGCTGCAAGCGGAAGCCAGTGGAGCCCGCCACACGGCTGTACAATCGTCTCGGAGAGGACTGTGATCGCAAACCTAATACGAAGACTGCCGAAGCTTGTAAAGGTAAATGCGAAAAAAATTGTAACTCTTATCTATACTATTATAATAAAGCGTAAACACACACTTCTTTGTTGCCTAAGATGTCAGCAATTACACCATATTTTTGAATAACTCTTTTTTTAATAAAAAGCCTTACACTTACGTCACGCTTTAGGCTATATATTCTCAGGACATTAAACTTAGGAGGTAAATATTTTTGATAAAAACCCTAATGTGGGAAAGAGACCATAAGTTGCTGCCAACATCAATAAAGCAAGATTGCTAAGGTTTGTCATGTCATGTCATTTTGACATTTGTTATTGAGAATTTGACAAATGTTAACAATGAAAATTTTTATAATTACACGCGGATGAAGCCGCACGGGAACAGCTAGTCTAACCATAAACACGAACAAATGGTTAAACTTATCTGGGAAACCAACCATTGGCGTATTTTTTCCAGCTTGCTACACATATCAGAGGCCTCGTAGTTCAAACATAGTCTGTCCTGAAGAAGCTGGTATAAGGATCGCAGGTGGAGAACCCGCGGAGATCGAACAGTTCCCGCACATGGTAAGTGTAGGGTTTACAATATTATAAGGTTTAAAACGAGCTAGCCACCTGATTACGCCAAAAGTAGCAAACTGCCCGTCAACACCATCTCACTATATGTGTCACGGAATAATTAATTGGCGTCGTTGACCACCTTGGTGTTCTCGCCGTTCGTCTGCCCCCTTTTATTATAAAAAAAATTTGATTACAAGTACTAGCTTTATAATATTAGTAGCTTTCGCCCGCGAATCCGTCGGTGTTGAATTTAAAAAAAGAGGTCAGTAGTCTCTGTATTCCAGACTATCCTCTACATGTATAAAATCATCGAGATCTGTTCAACAGTGTAGGTTAACTCTAACAGACCTCTAAACTTTCACTTCTTACTTATGCTATTATAAATGTGAAAATTTAAATAGATGTTTGTCTGTAAAACTGCTGAACGGATGTCGATAATTGTCATACATGTAGAGGATAGGAACACTTATAGTGTGTCTAAATAACTTAGATTAGTTTGACAATTCATTTCAAATTTAGTAGGGATGGGTTGTGTAAAATCAGTCATGAATTTTATCGATTTTCGATTTTTATTCTTATGGAAGTTGGAATTGATATATTTATAGTAATAACTTATGAATTAAAAAAAACACTGTTTTCTCAAATTAATAATGACCATAACAAATAATGAGAGTAAATAAACATTTATTACTACTACAGCCGTACGTAATCGAATTGGATTTCGCTATTATTTCTGTCATCGCTAAATTCTCTACACTATAATCAATACTACAATTGTAATATAAATTAGTTAATAAGTAAATAAAAATTTTAGTTGAGTTCGACAATTATTTAAACCGAATATCGATAGTTCATAATTGTTCGCTGCGTGTTTCGTCACTACGATACCTGTCTATTAAGTACGGCATTTGCCTTCATACAAATTGAATTCGATACTTCATACGCGTCATTTATTTAGACAAACTATAGGCTACTTATTTTGTTTTCATAATTCCCACATGGAGGGAGTTCGGGCAAAGGTAGTTTACGTTATTAGTAAGTTTAAGGGCCTGTCCCTCCACTGGCTGATAGACACTCAGATAGCTTAAAAATGACTGTCAGATAAGGTAACAAAATCCGATAGTTCCATCACATTTTACACGTTGGATTATTAGACAATTTGCAGTTTGGTGGGACAGGCTCCAAGGGTCTTGGCCTCCGACATGAGAGAGCGCCAGCGTCGTCTGTCCTGCGTTGTCGCCTGCCAGTCGATCGACTCTAGCTCGCGCAGGTCCAGCTCTAGCGTCATGCCGGTATCTGGGCCGACCGACGGATCGGCGGCCAATCGGCCCTAATTCAGATAATATTAAAAAAATCAAATATTTTGTAATCGTAGTGAAAGTTAACCTTTAACAGGTGGTGTTAGGAACTCGGATCGAACAGAAACCAAATCCATCATCAGCTGATATTGATTGGATAGGAGCAGGGACTTTGATAACAGAAACTTTCGTATTGACAGCAGCACATGTACTTTACTCCCCTGATAAGTAAGTTCATCATCATCACCAGCTCACTATACGTCCCCACTGAGGGGCTCGGAGCCTACCCTAAGTTAGTGACTAGGCCATAGCCAACCTGCACTGCGGGTTGACTTCACACATATCTTTGAATTTCTTCACAGATATGTTCAGCACTATGTTTTCCTTCGCCGTAATGTTGGGTTAATAATTTGTGAAAATTCGAAAATTCACATTGTTACATGATTCAAACCCAAGATCTGTAGATTACAAGTCAAGTTAAACCACTGAGCCACCGACGCTCCTAGATAAGTTTATTAACTAGATGTCACCAGAGACTCCGTCCGCGTGGAATTAATAAAAAAAAAATAACCTATATGTCCTTCCAAACTATCTATGGATTCAGCAATTAAAAGCGCACCTTTGACTAAACTATCACAAATGTTTGGGGTCTGTCCCACAACTGGCTGATAGATGCCCAGATAGCCTAAACAGGGAACAAACTCAGATATTTCCATCACATATTTTACATGTTGGGTTGTTATCAGACAATTAGCAATTTGGGCAAGCTCATATTCTCGCTTTGATTCCTATGAGCTTATGGAGGTACACTTCTCGTTAGTTGTGCAACTAAATAATTGTATAAATGTCGACATTCCGTACAGTCGCTCTCTGATTGGTTAAAACATGACGTGTTTATTGACTATTAGTTCACAATGTTGCCAATTGCCTGATCCTTGTAGGTCATCATCATCATCAACTTGCCCTTATCCCTTAAGGAGGGTTGGCACAGTATGTGCTGCTCCATACATCTCTATCAGCCATATCTGAATACACTCCTTTCTTAAGCATATCCTCTTTCACACAATCCTTCCATATTTTCTTCGGTCTTCCTTTGTATATATCTAAGCATTAATATATTGTAAATTTTCTTACAGTGGTAATATACAATATGCTTTATTGGGCACTTCAAATAAAACAGACCTTAGGGATGGCGTGTTAAGATACATTGTTCAAAGAATACGACACAAATTGTACACCAGCGGTTCACATAACCACGACATCGCGTTAGTCGAATTGGATTACAGGTGAGAAAAAATTTATTTTAATAAACCTGAAAATACTAGTAATTCTAATCTATATCTATACTATTATAATAAAACGTAAACACATACTTCTTTGTTGCAAGATGTCAGCAATTACACCATATTTTTGAATAATTCTTTTCTTAATAAAAAGCCCTACACTTACGTCACGCTTAAGGCTATATATTTTTAACGCCTTTAAACTTAAGGGGTAAATATTTTGGATAAAAATCCTAATGTGGGAAAGAGACCATAAGTTGCTGCCAACATCAAGGAAGAAAGATTGCTAAGGTTTGTCATGTCATGTCATTTTGACATTTGCTATTGATAATTTGACAAATGTAAACAATAAAATGAAATTTTCATAATTTCATGCGGATGAAGCCGCACGGGAACAGCTACTTGTACATACTTTGCCTATTTAATATTATACTTTAAGATACGAAATATAGACAACTAGCTGTTGCTTGCGACTTCACACGTGTAAAATTAAAAAATAGTACAATACACAGCCAATGTTACATTAATAATGTAGTTATTTGTGGTGAAAGAATTTTTGAAATCGCCCCAGTAGTTTTTGAGTTATTTCAATGCATACAAAAATACATATTATTCCTCTTTATAATATAATTTACTTATTAGGGTACCGTTATCGAAGTTCATACGGCCAGCGTGCTTGCCAGTGGATGGGATAGTACCTGACACAATCCCCACCCTGACGACAGTAGCGGGCTGGGGAAGGACAGGCCAGTATGCTAATGCTTCTCAAAAATTGATGCAAGTAAGTTCTTTAAAATGCCCCTTAGTTAACCTAAACGCACATATAGTGAATGTTATGTCTTACTAATATTATAAATGCGAAAGTTTAGATGGATGGATGTTTGTTAGAGTTTGTAGCCTAAATGTGTTATCGGATCTCTACGAAATTTGGCATAGATGTAGAGTATGGTCCGGAAGATCACATAAGCTACTTAGTTTGTTTTAATTCCACGCGGACGGAGTCGCGGGCGAAAGCTAGTGATCAAGTAGAGATTTGTAATTTTATGATGAAGCCGCAAAGAAATAGACCTTCATTGATATTCGTTCGCTTTACTTGCAGGGTGATATGAGAATACAAAGTACTAAAATATGCCGCAAGGGTCTGACATCACGTTTCCAAAGTTGGGATCCAAACATCATGTTCTGTGCCAAAGCAGAAACCGCTGACACTTGTTATGTAAGTAACACTTAAAACATGTAAAACCCGACCAACTAATGGCCGGTTTCCCAGCAACTTTTAACCGTTAGTGTTATTGGTTCAATAACATTAGTCAAAGTCAAGTTACGTAGTTCCGAAACGCATTTTCCGACGTAGGTAAACCTAACACTAATAAATCAGTAGGTAAACTTCAGAAACCCATCATAAATGTAATAAACGTCTATACACGATAATGTAAGAAAAACATTTACAAAAAGCACTTGCATACAAACACCTACAAACCTTTTTTTTTTATTTATTTTATTATCCTGCATTAAGCGATAGATGGCGCTAATTTCAAACTAATAATTGTTCTATGAACATTTTTACATGAATAGCGCCATCTATGGCTGAAGGCGAATGAGCGCAGATTTTTCAAGTTCAATCATCAGCTTACTCCACTAAACTCAGTATGTCTTCAGTGACCAGTTCATCAATACACTGCGACTTCACACATATAATTGAATTTCTTTACAGATATACGTAAACATCACGATTGTTATCTTCATTATTACGTCCAATTTTAAAAATTATAAACCTTACACAATGGTAATTTATATTTTATTTCACAGGGTGACAGCGGTGGTCCAGTAATGGCGCCTTTGAAAGAAAATTCAATGCTCTGTGGTTACTATGTGGTGGGGATAGTATCCTTCGGCACAGTGTGTGGTGTTAACTCCCCCGGGGCGTACACCAATGTCAAAAACCCAAGCTACTTGGAATGGATATCAAACATTGTTTGGCCACAAAGCGAGTGATGCGTAAAATCCGCAAGGCCAAAAACTAGTCCATTTAACCCATCAACCATCTATACTTATATAATAATAGGTGTTCCCGTGCGGCTTTATCCGCATGAAACTGTGAAAATTTCATTTTATTGTTCACATTTGTCAAATTATCAATAGCAAATGTCAAAATGACATGACATGACAAACCTTGACAGTCTTGCTTCCTTGATGTTGGCAACAACTTATGGTCTCTTTCCCACATTGGGTTTTTATCCAAAATATTTACCCCCTAAGTTTAATGGCGTGAAAATATATAGCCTAAAGCGTGATGCAAGTGTAGGGATTTTTATTAAAAATATAATTATTCAAAAATATGCTGTAATTACTGACATCTTAGGCAACAAAGAAGTGTGTTTACGCTTTATTATAATAGTATAGACTAGCTGTTGCTCGCGACTTCACCCGTGAAAAAACCTTTTTAACAATGAAAGAATTTTTAAAAATGCCCCAGTAGTTTTTGAGTTATGTCAATACATACAAAAATAAAAATCTTTCCTCTTTATAATATTACTATAGGTAATAAAAATATAGCCTATGTTACCCAGTGATAACGTAGCTTTCTAATGGCGAAATATTTTTTGAAATCGATCCAGTAGTTTTTGAGAACAATACATACAAAAAAATACAAATCTTTCCTTTTTATAATATTAGTATAGAAAACGTAATTACACAATTCTTTGTTATGTAAGATGTCACAGCATATTTTTTAATTACCATTTTTTTATAAAGCCTACTCTTATGACAGGCAGTACATAGAATGAGTTCAACCTACCCATGCCCCTAATGAGGCACAATATGTCACTCTCTTCCATACAACTCTCTTCGTCCCCTTCCATTCAATTTAAACTTTAAGATATATTATTGTTTAGTGACATGAACAAAGTGTAATAAATACAATTTTGGGATATATGTATAGTTTTATTTATTCTACTGAAAAACTACTGAGAATTATTAAGAACTAGCTGTTGCCCACGACATCGTCCGCGTGGTATTAGAAAACATACGAGCTATATAAATAACAAAAAACTACGTATCCCTCGGGAACCGGATATTTCTCGGGGATGAACCTTATCCCATGTGTACTCCAGACTTTGTTTTACATCTGTGCCAAATTTCAATACGATATGTTGAACCGTTGCAGAATGATCGCTTAAAAATTAAAAAAACTAAATTAATGAATCCCACGGGAACCGTAACTATTCCCGAGATAAAAAGTAGCTTATGTGTTCTTCCAGACTATGCTCTAAACCTGTGCTAAATTTCATAGAGATATGTTCAGCCGTTTAGGCTACAAACGCTAACAAACATCCATCCATTGTAACTTTCGCATTTATAATATTTATATGATGTAAGTACTGCTTACAATCTGATGTCGCATTTAAAATGGATTTCAATTTAAACCCCGAAACAATTGAACAGATTATTTCTAATCGTGTCACGGTTTTTTTTTCTTTTTTAATTTGAAATTAACCAATAGCGTTATTACATTAAATGTAAATCAAAGAGTATAATTTATGCATGAATTTTATTTTTTCTACCAAAATAATTTCAAGTTAAAGACAGCAACACTATTAAATGTCATGCAACTTTCGGCGCCAATTTTGAAATGCGAATAGAATTTCATAGAAAGTAATAAATTTGTCTTAACAAAATCGAAACAAAACTAGTAGTTTCGTAGTTCTTTTTTGTTTTGTAATTAATTCAATAAATTGAAACAGAACATGACTTAATTTACTTTATTCATTATATACAAATGTTTATTTTTATAACATATTAATTAAGTAATGACACATGAAGAGGACGAAACGCATTCATTTTTTTTAAATTAGTGGGTAAATTCATAATCGAAGTTGAACATTGATGTCAAAATGCCGGCGGCCTTAACCAGATAACGCTACTAAATTAAGAAGCGCACAGATAGTATGTTTATAATCGGATTGTTTATCTCTTTTTACTTTCGTCGTGTTATTCGATAATCGGGTCGCGAATGATGTCATACTAAAACCAAGCTTATTTTAAATGTGACGTAGTGTTACACCTATTTGCAAGCCGTGTCACGGACGTAGTAGTCGTGTGCTGGAAAAAATAACCTTTTTACATACGTTTAAGTGATTTTCAACAGAAAGGATCGAGGATAACATAATATAATGTCGTTCTATCAACACAAAACGGCAGGTAAGATTTATTTATATGAGTTACCAGTTTTAAAACTATATTTCCACGATATCAAAGCGTTTTCTCGATCTTATTTCAATATTCGACGATGAAAATTTCACTTTCTCTTGACAGGAATATCGATTTTCTTCACGTCCATTTATCGCATAGAAAGATTCTTAGAAATTAAAATACGTGCACTTAATATGTTGATACGTTTTTCATTTGTTTAAGAATAGATTTAAAAATAAAACAAAATCATTAACTTATTCTAAAAGAAAGAAATTCGAAAAGCAGAAAACAGCTGTTCGTAATGTCATGTCACGAGACGTTTTGTTCTTGCTTTGATGCTACGCGCATAGGTATATTTTTATGACTAAAAAGTGTAAGAAAAAATTATTTATTAATAACATTATTAAAAAAATACTAAAACGTTACACAAATAATGATATGTCCTTAAATTTGTATATAAAACTCAATTCCAGAGATTCTCAAACTTTTTCTTCTTAATTTTTTTTACTGGTTACGTCAACTTTCCCGCCTTCTATACCACCACCGGTACTCCTGACTGCCAAAACGTAATTAATTTTATGCCGTTAGGTTATTTTTGTTAAATCGTTATATTTAAACTAGCTGTTCCCGTGCAGCTTCATTCGCATGAAATTATGAAAATTTCATTTTATTCTTTACATTTGTCAAATTATCAATAGCAAATGTCAAAATGACATGACATGGCAAACCTTAGCTATCTTGCTTCCTTGATGTTGGCAGCAACTTATGGTCTGTTTCCCACATTAGGGTTTTTATCCAAAATATTTACCCCTAAGATTACTGGCGTGGAAATATATAGCCTAAAGCGTGACGTAAGTGTAGGACTTTTTATTAAAGAAAGAATTATTCAAAAATATGCTGAATTGTTGACACCTTAGGCAACAAAGAAGTGTGTGTTTACGATTTATTATAATAGTATAGAATAGAATATTAAACGTTCCTCTTGAATCTATCTATTAAAACTGCATCAAAATATATTGTGTAGTTTCAAATATCTACCCATATAGGGACAGACAGACGGCGCGATACGACTTTTAAATTACGTGGTGTTAATAAAGAAGCCGATAGAAGTGCCCCCTTATAGATAGAAGTACATTGGACTAAACTATTATTGTGCGATTGTCCATTGTTTCGCATCCAACTGTTTAGTTGCACAACTAGTGTCCACCTCCATATAAGCTTATAGGAATCAAAGCGGGACTAAACAGTTTTGCGATAGTTTTAAGATGCGCGTGTTTTAATGTTTACCACATCAGTAAACATGTCTGCGTTTACTCTGTCTACCGGCTTGACCTAGATATGCTGTGGTTAGTACATTCTTCTAACTGCATGTGATATTTCATTGTTGCACAAACGCGTATTTTTTAAGAACACTTAAGAAATAATCGGATTTCAGAATTTTTTTTTCACAACTGTTTTTTTAGACAGTTTAGACAAAGGTGTGCTCTTAGTATTTGTTACCGTAATTATTATAGAATAGCTTTCGCCTGCGACTCCGACCGCGTGGAATTAAAAAAATAAGAGTAGGCAACGCAATTGCGGATGTCTATGGGCAGTGGTCACTTTCCATTTCGGTGGATTCAGGTGGCCGCGTGCTCGTTTGCCACCTTTTATAAAAAAAAGTAAGTAGCCTATGTGTTCTTCCAGACTAACCTATACGTCTATGCCAAATGTCGAAATCCGTTCAGCAATTTAGGCTCCAAACTCTAACAAACATCCATCTAAACTGTATAATACTAGTAAGATAAGATATATAAAATTCAATAATAGTCTTTGGATACTCCAATCCGTACGGATTAAAATATTCGAAGTGAATAATGCGTTTATAATCTATGGACAAAGCCAATAAAAAATACAATAACTGAAAAATAAATTATGAATAAGACTATTAATAGTATATTAAACTTTTAGACCTTTCTCTGATCTATACTATTATAATAAAGCGTAAACACACACTTCTTTGTTGCCTAAGATGTCAGCAATCCCAGCATATTTTTGAATAATTCTTCTTTTAATAAAAAGCCCTACACATACGTCACGCTCTAGGCTATATATTTTCACGACATTACACTTATAGGTAAATATTTGGGATAAAAATCCTAATGTAGGAAAGAGACTATAAATTGCTGCCAATATCATGGAAGCAAGATTGCCAAAGTTTGTCATGTCATGTCATTTTGACATTTGCTATTAATAATTTGACAGAAGTAAACAATAAAATAAAATTTTCATAATTTCATGCGGTTGAAGTCGCACGGGAACAGCTATCAAATAAAACGGTTAACCTTGATATGAATGTAATTAACGTAAACGCTATCTTTTTCCAAGTGAAGTAATCACAAAGGCTTTGAAGATAAATTTATGTAATTATTCACATTGACTAATAAGCATGACTATAATGGGAAAGTTTAGATGGATGTTTGTTAGAGTTTGTAGCCTAAACGACTGAACGGATTTCGATGAAATTTGGCATAGATGTAGAGGATAGTCTGGGAGAACACATGGGATACTAGGGCGAAAACTAGTCAAGTAAATATGCGGTACAAGAATGCTTAGAATTAGCATGGAAAGGTGACTAGGAGTGACAGAAATGACAGAAGATACATAGCCGAAGAACGGTAAACACTTTCTGACAAGAGCGGGCGCACACACAATCGCATAACAGTTGTGCGATTGTCGATTGTTTCGCAATTCAACTGTTTAGTTTCAACTAACGAGTAGTGTACCTCCATACAAGCTCATAGGAATCAAATCGAGAGACAGTTGTGCGATAATTCGTCAAAGGTACGCACGCTCTGTACTATGGATGTTTGTATATAGTTAAATGTTTTTTACTTGAATCCTAATTGTTGATACTCACGTTGTCAGTAAAGTGTTCATGACCTCAATACATAATGTGTATATCACAATTCAAGTCAGTGCTACTCAAACTTCAGTTTAACTAGCGGGTAATTTAAAAAAAACTGTTAATCAACACGTCCTACTCTCAGTAATAATGTAATTTACTAATGGTGGTGGACTGTAGCCTAGTCACCCCGTATTAGGGTAGGCTCCGAGCCCCTCGGTGGGGACGTATAATGAGCTGGTGACCAAGTAGGTAGTTGGTGGCCAAGTAGTTTTTGAGTTACATACAGTTACATACATACAAAAATATAAAACTTTCCTCTTTATAATATCACTATAACATTATAAATGGGAAAGTTTAGATGGATGGATGTTTGTCAGAGTTTGTAGCCTAAACTGCTGAACGGATCTTGATGAAATTTGGCATAGATGTAGAGGATAGTCTGGAAGAACACATAGGCTACTCAGTTTTGTATTTTTTAATCTCACGCGAACGGAGTCGCGGGCGAAGACTAGTATTAGTTTTAAAATTGTTTAAAAACAAATTACCTGTTGCCCACTGATTTACTTTACCCAACTAAAGATTTATTTTCGCGCGTAATTTTTAACTACGTTTATTTTGTAACCTCTTATAATCTAAATTACTAAACCGATTTTAACAAATGCATTATCAATCGATTCGTATTCTTCCCCTGAGTGTTCAAGTATTAATATTTTTTCAATATTGCTGTTGCACGCGACATCGTCTACGCAATATTAAGATGAAAAGTAGCCTATAATATGCCCGTCTATGTTAGCTACCCTTCAATGAAAGTCCGGTCGAAATTGGTCCAGCCGATTCGGAGATTACCCGGACAAACGCGTCTTACGGACAAACAAATAAATGCGATTTTCGTTATCAGCAACGAAAATACATACATGTATAGAGTAGCTGTTCCCGTGCGGCTTCATCCGCATGAAATTATGAAAATTTTAGTTTATTGTTTACGTTTGTCAAATTATCAATAGCAAATGTCAAATGACATAACATGACAAACCTTAGCAATCTTGCATCCTTGATGTTGGCAGCAACTTATGGTCTCTTTCCCACATTAGGGCTTTTAACCAAAATATTTACCCCTAAGTTTAATGGCGTGAAAATATATAGCTAAAGCGTGATGTAAGTGTAAGGCTTTTTATTAAAAATACAATTCTTCAAAAATATGCTGTAATTGCTGACATCTTAGGCAACAAAGAAGTGAATGTTTACGCTTTATTACAATAGTATAGATTGTTTATTATAAGCCAATCTAACTGAAAAATGTATAACCTTCCAGGCTTCAACGCGCCGCCACCTCTCAACAACCAAATGCGTCTTTACCACGTCGACATGAACCCATACGGGCATCGAGTAATGCTCATTCTCGAAGCTAAAAAGGCTAAATACGAAGTCTACCAATTGGATCCATTGCATTTACCCGAATGGTTCAGAGAAAAGAACCCGAGATGTAAGTAATCCATGAGATTTTTATCAACCAACATAATTAATGGCAACACAGAGGGGTTACAGAGACCACGAACCATTAGTTTGATCCTAACACGTAGAAGAAGCTAGAAAGTATCAGGAATCCAATAGGCCGGCTCGCCCGGTGTGTACCACGACCACACAGAAAACAGGCGTGAAGTGGATGCAATTCCGCGTTTCGTCTGATGAGTGTGGTGCCGGAGGACTAATTTAACTAAAATTTCCCTTTCCAACCTTTTCTTAAGAGGAAAAGATGAGAAGGAAAAGTGGATTTGACGGTGGAGGAGACGCATAGGAAGGGGAAATGTCTTTTTGTGGGTCTCGTCCGTCAATGAAGGGTAGACAACGCATCTGCAATTGCGGATGTTTATGGGTAGCGGTTGATTTTGGTGGCCGGTTGCTCGTTTGCCACCTTCTGTTAACTTAATTATATCATTTACATAAATAATTTTAGTTTAAAAAACATTAAAATTAATCTTTACTAGTTAATTTTACAAAAACCATTGGTTTAATTAAAAAAAAATATAGCGTTGGTGGCTCAATGGTTTAAGCATTTGACTTGTAATCTACAGGTTTTGGGTTCGAATCCCGCCGTACCAATGTGATTTTCGATTTTTCATATGTATGTACATAATTTACCCGATGTTCTTACGGTGAAGGAAAACATCGTAAACCTGCACATATCGGCGAAGAAATTCAAAGTTATGTGTGAAGTCAACCCGCAGTGCAGGTTGACTATGGCCTAGTCACTAACTTAGGGTAGGCTCCGAGCCCCTCGGTGGGGACATATAGTGAGCAGGTGATGATGTTGATGATTGGTTTAATCTGTTAGGTTACAGATATATTCTTGTAATTTCTTTTTCAAAAAGACCAACAGCTATTCATTACAATGTCTTCTATAACAAAATTAAAGAATAAATTATTATTCTATTCCAGTGAAAATTCCCGTTCTAGAGATACCAACAGACCAAGGGGATAAATATTTATTTGAGAGCGTAGTTATATGTGACTATTTAGACGAGAGGTTTCCAAGGAACCCTCTGCATTCCAAAGACCCTTACATAAAGGCGCAAGATCGATTACTTATAGAAAGGTTTAATGAGGTAAGTTATCTATACTATTATAATAAAGCGTAAACACACTTCTTTGTTGCCTAAGATGTCAGCAATTACACCATATTTTCGAATAACTCTTTTTTTAATAAAACCCCCTACACTTACGTCACGCTTTAGGCTATATATTTTCACACAGTTAAACTTAGGGGTAAATATTTTGGATAAAATCCCTAATGTGGGAAAGAGACCATAAGTTGTTGCCAACATCAAGGAAGCAAGCTTGTCATGGTTTGACATGTCATGTCATTTCGACATTTGCAATTGATAATTTGACAAATGTAAAGAATAAAATGAAATTTTCATAATTATATGCGATTGAAGTCGCATGGGAATAGCTAGTATCAAATAAAGAGATTTAGGGTCTGTCCCACCATAAGTAAAATGCCTGATAACAAATCTAACGTGTAAAATGATGGAAATATCGGATTTTGTTACTTTATCTGATAGTGACGTCGTTAAGCTATCTGAGCCTATATCAGCCAGTGGTGGGATAGGCACGTAATATTACTAATATTGTAATGCAAAAATTTAGATGTACATATGTTAGATTAGTAACATTGTCTATCTTTTTAGGAACAGAAGAAATCTTATTAAATCTTCGTCTTTTTCAGCTCATTAAAGGAAGCTTAGAATGTTTTGACACAAACTTCGCATTCGGCAGCGAACAGATAATACAAACATTAGACGTATTTGAGAAAGAGTTGGCTGCAAGAGGTAAGAGAAACACTATTTTTATACTTATTTAACAGTGGTAGAGCCTTTAACATCTTCGTACAGACAGACAGGTGTGAAGTGGAAGCAATTCCGTGTACAATCTGATGAGTGTACTGGAGGACTAATTTTAACCCCTTTTCTACCATTTTTCTTATAAGAAAAGAATGGGAAGGGAAGTTGGATTTGACGGTGGAGACGCATAGGAAGGGGAAATGTCCTCTTTATGTGCGTCTCCGTCAATGAAGGGTAGGCAGCGCTGCAATTGCGGATGTTTGGGCAGCGGCTTTCCATTTCGGTGGATTCAGGCCGCTTGCTCGTTTGCTATATCGCCCGGCAAACATCTTGAACAATACATTTAGTTGCGCAGAAGTCGATTTTTAGGTCTTTTTGGCGGGGCAAGGGGGGATGCGCGCGCTCTCTCTTGCTATTGGTTAATCATTCGACCTTTGCGTCCCGCTTCTTTCCCCATGTTCCGTTTACTCCCGAATAAACTTATATCCAATTTTATTGGCCCAATTTCGCTGTTACTTATTTTCGGTAATAATTGTTTATAATTTTTTTCTATTGTTGTTATTCTTGAGCCTTATTTGTTTATTATTGTTAAGTTACTTTTTGTGTTAAATATGCCACGAAAAAGTAACACTATTCTAAAAAGACAAGCCAGTAAAATATGATGTATATTGTTTCATGAAACAAGAATCATCTAAAGAAATTGCACAAGCTGTTTATGCATGTCTGTCATGTTCTTAAAACTTAAAATTGAATTTTTTCATTCCTAATAAATACTAATACTCAAAATAGGTCAATTATTTTGTCTAAAAGTGTACGTGCGCGAAACTACGCCGCTTTTTGTTCAAGAAGTTTGCCGGCCGTTACACCTTATATAAAAATGTAGGTAGTAATTACTTCGGGGGCCAGCGGCCCGGCATGCTGGACTACATGATCTGGCCGTGGGTAGAGCGCCTCTACCTACTGCGCTGCGTCAACGAACACAAGTTCGATGAGAAAAGACCCATGTTCCCTAACTTTGTAAGTATAACTTAGTAACTTTGTATGTAATTTTTCTATTTCAGTGGATCCAGGTTACTTGCTCATTTGCCAGCTTATCTTTACTCTATACTATTATAATAAAGCGTAAACACACACTTCTTTGTTGCCTAAGATGTCAGCAATTACAGCATTTTGAATAATTTTTTATTTAATATAAACCCCTACACTTACGTCACGCATTAGGCTATATATTTTCACGCCATTAAACTTAGGGGGCAGATATTTCGGATATAAACCCTAATGTGGGAAAGAGACCATAAGTTACCGACATCAAGGAAGCAAGGTTGCCATAATTTGTAATTTGACAAATGTAAACAATAAAATAAAATTTTCACAATTTCAAGCGGATGAAGCCGCACGGGAACAGCTAGTGTTATATAAAAAAATACTAAAATTAACTTAACCCTATAATAATTAGGCAATCGTGTCCCACTTACAAAACTCCCGTCCCACCAATGGCTGATATCAGATAGTTTAAGTGACGTCAGTGATGAAGAAACAAAATCCGATATTTTCATCACATATTTTACACGTCAGATTGTTATCAAACAATGTATAAATTGTATTTTTTTTATTTACATTTGTACAATAGACAACGAAGGCACATTAAGAAGGAAGACAGTTTTTTCAAATTTTTTTACTCCCTAAGTTTACTAGTGTGAAAATATATCGTCTTAAGCAAGTGTAGGGATTTTTATTAAAAAAATAATTATTCAAAAATATACTGTGGTTGCTGACATCCTACACCACAAAGTATGTTTACGCTTCATTATATTACTAGCTATCGCCCGCGACTCAATCCGCGTGGAATTTATAAAAAGCAAGTAGCCTATGTGTTCTTCCAGACTATCCTCTACATCTATACCAAATTTCATCGAAATCCGCTCAGCAGTTTAGACTACAAACTCTAACAAACGTCCATCCATCTGAACTTTAACATTTATAACATTTGTATGACTAGCTTTCGCCCGCGACTCCGTCCGCGTCGAATTAAAAAAAAATAGCCTATGTGTTCTTCCAGACTATCCTCTACATCTATACCAAATTTCATCGAAATCCCTTCAGCCGTTTAGACTACAAACTCTAACAAACATCCATATAAACTTTCCCATTTATAATATTAGTAAGATTAGATCACAAAATTGCCAACTGTTATCCTTGTATGTCTCAAAATCTCTACGATTGTTGAATATTTAATATTCTAGGCGGATTGGGGAGACCAGATGCAGCTAGATGACGTCGTGAAGAAGCAGTCAAGGTCACCTTCAGAATACTTCGATTATTACAGAAACGCTAGAGCACATTCGATGGGATATTATCTTTAAATTTGTACAATCTCCATTGATTGTCATATACGTTCAATTTTAACTGAAGTCAAAATTTAAATAACATTCGTGTTACCTCCCCTGCCTTATCCTACTCCTGTAGACGCAACAGGTTTTCGTCCTCCAAATAATTCTGTCACTCCCTTGATCATGTCACCTTTAAAATCCATCTCTTTCTATGTCGACCTCTACTGGTGTACCTCCACAATCATATAGTTTGTCTAAATAAGATAGATTACTTTGAAAAATAACGCATATGAAGTATCGAATTCAATTTGTATTTTTTTTTTATAACACAAGGTGGCAAACGAGCAAGCGGCCACCTGAAACCGCCAAAATGGCTAAGCGGCCGCTGCCCATAGACATCCCCAATTGCAGATGCGTTACCTACCCTTATACGACGGAGGAGGAGACGCACATAAAGAGAATATTTCCCCTTCCTATGCATCTCCTCCACCGTTAAATCCACTTCCTCTTCTCACCCTCTCCTTAAAAGAAAAGGTTGGTAAAGAGAAAGGGACTTAAATTAGGCCTCGGCACCACACTCATCAGACGAAACACGGAATTGCTTCCATTTCACGCCTGTTCTGTGTGGTCGCGTATGAAGGCAAATGCCATACTTAGACAGGTATCGTAGTGACGAACAACAAAATAATTATCGAACTCAACTAAAATCATTATTTTTTTATTAACTGATTTAGAGGACAATTCTAGTATTGATTATAGTGTAGAGAATTTAGCGATGACAGAAAAAAAAGCGAAATCCAATTCGATTACGTACGGCTGTAGTAATAAACATTTATTTACTCTCATTATTTGTTATGGTCATTATTAATTTGAGAAAACAGTGTTTTTTAATTCATAAGTTATAACTATAAATCTATCGACACCAACTTCTATAAAAATAAAAATCGAAAATCGATAAGATTCATGACTGATTACACAACCCATCCCTACTAAATTTGTAATGAATTGTCAAACTAATCTAAATTATTTAGACAAACTATAACTAACGTTCGTGTAAATATTTTTATATCCAACGATATCCAAAACTTAGTACAGTATACAGTTAACTATAAGTTAACTGAAAAACTTTACTCAAACTAATTGAAAGTTTACTCTACACGCATTTAAAACTGTCCTCACTATAAACGTTCAGTATAAACTGAAAAGTCATACCGTTAACAAAACTGCCTGTAAATGTTTTCTGTCATTGGAACTTTAGTTAACACGCATTTATGACTGAAATAACTAGCTATTGTTAAGTAAAACTGAAAACTCACCAGTGGTAGAGCCCGCTTTAACATCTTCGCACGAATGGGTCGGCTCGCCCCAGGTAATACGACCACACAGAAAACAGACGTGAAGTTGGAGCAATTCCGCGTTTCGTCTGATGAGTGTAGTGCTGGAGGCCTGGTATTAGTCCCTTTCCCTTTCCACCCTTTTTTTAAGAGGAAAGGATGGGTAGGATAAGTGGATTTGACGGTGGAGACGCATATGAAGGGGAAATGTCCTCTTTATGTGCGTCTCCGTCAATGAAGGGTAGGCAGCGCTGCAATTGCGGATGTTTGTGCAGTGGTCGCTTTCCATTTCGGTGTATTCAGGCCGCTTGCTCGTTTGCCAACTTATATTATAACAAGAAACTGTGCCGTTCAATTATTTAAGTCTATACATTTTTAAAACTGTACTCGCTATAAACGTTCAGTATAAACTGAAAAGTCATACCGTTAACAAAACTGCTTGTAAATGTTTTCTGTCATTTGAACTTTAGTTAACACGCATTTATGACTGAAAACTCATACTGTACAAAGAAATTAAAGTTATACTTACACTTGTGATTATTCGATTGTTTAGTTAAAACTGTACTATATGTGGCTTAAATTATATAGTTTTTTCTATAGACATTTAGACAATTGTAACGTTTACAATTCAGTGGTGAAAATGTTAGTCATAGATAAATCCTCTAAACAACCCAAAATAGTAATGGTCGTATCAGGACGTAGACCGATATGGCTTCGTGTAACTTTTTTCACACTACCACACCACTTCAGTCAGTGAAAATGGCGCATGCAACTGTGTCGAAATATCGGGAGCTAAAACAATCCAATCGTGGTAAGAAACCCGTATCTTACGAACATTATATTTGTAAAAACCAGGACAGTTTAAAGTTATATAACCCAAAATTGTTAAATTGATATCAAAACTTCAAATTCCATAATTGTAGCTAACCCTACTATCTAGTAGGCAGCCTAGGATGATCTAGATGTCTAGGCTAGTCTAGTTCACTTAGGAACTTAAACGTCCAACCAACTCTTAAGTAACATTTTCAGTCAGAATTACGCTTTCGTATTGTATAAGTTATTTAAAATATGTTTTTTTTTATGGTTTTGTTAAAGTCCAGCAAATATAGTCTTTGTATAGAAATGTATCAGCCAATCAGCTGCGAGTATTGTCGACAGTGGCGCCAATTGACAGATAACAAACTAAATATAAGACTATATAATCTATATAGTTATATTATATCTATACGTATATATACTAAATATGTATTGGTTTATATAGGTTAATTTTGAAAACATAGATCTGTGTTATTTATAGCATGTTTATTGCACAAAATAATTGTATATTCGCGGAAATCCGCGATGTTTCTAAACAGATTTGCCTCGTTCCTTGCAAACTTATATCAAAATTAGTTAAGAATGAGCGCAAACGACAGGATATAAAAAAATAATTACCCAGTTACTAATCAACCTTCGTATAGACATTTATGCATTCGTTATTGTTCCGTACAATGCGTACAAAACATTCTCAAGACAAGCTTTTAACTTGTCCACCGTCAGATTCCCTGATTGTACTAACTTACTTCTATAAAATTGGCTATAAGCCGTAGAAATTGTGCCTATTTGATTTCCGCCATTTTAGCACTGACAGTTGCAGTTAATAGCGGTGTTGCAATAAAAAAAATCGGATAGCTGGAATACTGGAATACTGAATCTGTAAATACATATGCCCGTAAAATGCTATTTTAACTAGTATAGTAAAAACACAATGCGTTAATACACATATATGAAATAAGATCTGTCTCTGTTAAGTTTAGAGCACATAACTGTTTTTCGCTTTGATTCCTATGACCTTATATGGAGGTGAATACTTGCAACTAAACAGTTGAATCGATAATCGCACAACTGTTACGCGATATTTTAGTCAAAGATGTCCGCTGTTACACTTAATTTGCACGTAACTGTGACAAATATACTACTGGCTAGATACTGGCATGGAAGTTATTGTTCACACAGCTGGCACGTGCTAGTATGTCTACTTGCTGTAGGAAGGAAATAGAAGCTATCATTTCCAAGTAATTTGTATAAAAACATCTTTTTTTTTTTTTTCAAATAAATAGCAATGATAATCTTTTTCAAAAATTTTAATATGGTTATATTATTTACTTCTTATATAAATACATTATATTTACATGATTAATTTAGTGTTTTGGTAGTTACCGATTGTTATTTTTCTAGGTTATAACAGTTATCGGTTACATAAGTCACTTGAAGGAACTCAACTTCGCATTTAAATAAAACATTACAATGTATTAAATGTTTTTTAAATAGATATATAACCTGTAATTATCTAACCCGGAGAAAGAGACAAAAATGCCTCCAGAGTTGGGCAAATTTCCGCAGTGTTGTCATTTAAAAAAAATTGACATTTCGAAAATCAACTCTCGATTAGACGTCAAATGACACACATCTATAGATTATTTATCTATGGTTTTATTTATTTAATATTTACTTTTATATTAATCAATAATCTTTCCAATAGATTTTTGTCTAACTGTAATTTTTTTTAGACAGTGTAATGACTTTATTTATATAAAAAAATAGAATTTAAGTTACGATAACTATTGTAGTGTGCTTAATCTTAAATATATATTTCTGTACTTTGTAATATTACTAAAATATTTTGTAATATATGCTTAATTATGAACGAAGAGAATAGATTTATGAAATCTATTTAACACTAGTACTTACAATATTTTTGGTTGTTGCTGTAAATAATAATTTGCATTTGCAAACATATTACGTTTATGCTTTTATACTCATTTTAAAAAAGGCGCGAAATTGAATGACAGGTGTATTTTTCCTTGTATTGATGTAATGAAATCGGCCAGTTGTATACAAATAAAGATTTGAAGAACAACGTTTTTTTTATTCAACCTAATTTACCTACTTGTAAAAAGACGAACGCCATTAAAATTAAAAAAATTAACCCACTGCATAACCGTCCGAGGTTGCTAAAAAGTACAATTTTAGTAAATAAATGTTTAAACCATACCAAACGGCTCTTCGTATCAGTTAAATAAACTTATCAGCTAAATTTGACTAACAATTTGCAATTGTTAGTTAATTTTACTTTGCATAATGCAAACATAGAATGTAAATAATGAAACGGAACGTAAACTGTACGTTCGGAAACTGCCACATATCAATGCAATGTGTCATTTTATGACACCTGTCAAGCTGATAACACTTGTATATATTTCAGAACACAATCACTTCTCGCTATGTTTCAAATCTTTTAGTAAATTAAATTAAATCTTCTAGTTCTCCCTATTCTATCAACTCTTAAAATGCCTCTCATCCGTTCAGCAAGTTTTAATCTTTTCGTTGAGATAGTAATTCGAATTGGCCTTCTTTCTTTATTCTGGTAAGTACCATATGCTATTTGTTTATATTATTTTCACGTTTATTTACGGTATGTAAGTCGAATTAAAACTAACACAATTATAGAATTATCAATTCAAAATCGATTCGTGTAATATTTATTGGCTTTTAATCTTAAAATTTCATGCAAATATTTTTCGTAATTTTTTTTATTTTCTTAAACGTTACAAATTGTTAATCTGTATTTTTTTGGATAACACAACCAATAAAATATCACGTTTGAGCGGACTATAATGTAGTCAATTTAAGATGTCTGTATTCTTGAATTTATTCTTTAAAATTCCTTACCTTGAAGATATTGTACATTGTTTGTACCGTAACAAATGAAGGATAAAATTTTATTCACAATTACATAGTTTTGTTATCTATAAATGTTAATTCTAAAACACAATAGACTAATTTGCATAGATATTAAACATGGGTAGATCGGCTCACCAAACAAATAGGAACACACACTAAAGAAAGTAACCTGATAGGAATTAATTCTCCATGGATTTGTGAGCTGGTCGGTCCAATGGGAAACTCCCTATACTTTTTTTAACTTCACCATCACCAGCTCACTACACATCCCTACCGAGGGGCTCGGAGTTCTCCCTAATAAGAGGTGTCTAGGCCATAGTCAACCACGCTGGCCAAGTGCGGGTTGATTGACTTCACATATATCTTTGAATTTCTTCGCCGATATGTGCCTCACAATGTTTTCCTTCACCGTAAGAACGTCGGGTAAATTTTGTACATATGAATATTCGAACACAAGACCTGTACAAGTCAAGTGCTTAAACCACTGAGCCACCAATGCTCTTTTTTTTTACTTATAGTCTATTAAAGTTTTGTAAATGTTAATGCAACTAACTGTACTTTGTTAATAAAAAAATGAAAAACATTTAAAATTACATTTCAATAATTTGCAAAATTTTAAGAATAACTACCGGCTGTGACTCAAACCGCGCGGGAAAAAATACAAAAGTAAATAGTCTATATGTTCCAGACTATCCTCTACATCTATGACAATGATTAAATCCATTGTGCAATTTAGTCTAACTCTAACGTCCATCTAAACTTTCGCATTTATAATACAGTTGTAACGGAACTCCGCTTCCGCATCCGCAAGTGCGGAACTTCCGCAAGAAATATTAACTCCGCTTCCTTTTCCATTATTTCTTATACGGATTTATAACGGCGGTTAATTTACATCTTGAGCGCGAGTGTGGCGATTATGTATCTTTTATTCAGCCCATGCGGGCGTACTAGGTCAACTAACTATAATTGTTATACATTACATTTGCATAATAAACTGTATCTTGTAATTATATAAAAATATGTATTTTGAATTAACATAGTTTTATTATTTATTTCTTTAATAAATTAATATTTTATTATTGACCTCCGCTTCTACACAAGTTCCCTTCGCATCCGCATCCGCATCCGCTTCCGTAAAAATGTCCTCCGTTACAACCCTAATTTATAATATTAAAATTAGAATGCTTAATCAATAAAAATGTTACACCTTCAGCTATATGGAAACGATGCCACCGTTTGTCAGAGTAATATTACCATCAGAGTTGGAGAATGACTGCAAATATCCGAGAAGAGAGTCATATGTACCTGGTGGTGCCCTTTGGGCTATAGTCCTGTCTGTACCTTGTCTCCTATCTCTGCTCGCGTGGGGAGCATGCAATGATTGTAATGATGCTTTCGAAGTAAGTATTAAACTATTTTTTATACGTAAATTAAACTGTTTAAACTTTGATGTTATCTGTACTAATGCTAGCTGTTGTCTGTGACTTTGTTCGGAATAAAATTTTACTTATTCCGTGGTTTTCTATACTGTGTTTTCCTTTTATTGTCAAATTTCTGTGTCTATTGAGTAGTTCTAAAAAGTAACAAGCATTTATTTATAAACTTTCGCGTTTATACTATACTAGCTGTTCCCGTGCGGTTTCATCCGCATGAAATAATGAAAATTTTATTTTATTGTTTACATTTGTCAAATTATCAATGGCAAATGTCAAAATGACATGACATGACAAACCTTGGCAATCTTGGTTCCTTGATGTTGGCAGCAACTTATGGTCTCTTTCCCACAATAGGGTTTTTATCCAAAATATTTACCCCCTAAGTTCAATAGCTTGAGAATATATAGCATAAAGCGTGACGTAAGTGTAAGGCTTTTTTTTAAAGAAATAATTATTCAAAAATATCGCTGACATCTTAGGCAACAAATAAGTGTGTGTTTACGCTTTATTATAATAGTAGAGACTAGTATAATAAAGCGTAAACACACACTTTGTTACATAGGATTTCAGCAACCACAGCATATTATTTAAAAAAAAATTATAATAAAAACCCCAACACTTTCAACACACGTTATATACTTCCACATTATGAATCACAGGAGGTAAATTAAAAAAAACAGCATGAAAAAGACAAAAAGTACAAGCCAATAGCAGTAAAAAATCAAAGTAACCATTACAATCTTCAGCCTATTCTTGTTGTCATTTGGTTATTTAAATATAATACCTAATTGGTTATGTGCAAGGTGGTGTTTGTCTCATTCCAAGGAACAATGCAATTATTCTGTAAGTTGAACACCGCGAAGGAACTTGACTGTACTTTCAAACATATCTGTTTGATTGTGTATTTGATATAGAGATGTGGTAAATATATGTACTTGTTAAAATGTCATTTTAATTGACATATATGTAGTTAGATTATTTACACATGTTTTCATACTAATATTATAAATGTGAAAGTTTAGATGGATGTTTGTTAAAGTTAGTAGACTGAACTGCGGAACGGAATTTGATGAAATTTGGTATAGATGTAGATGATAGTCTGTAAGAATTCATGGGCTATTCACTTTTTTTTTAATTCCCCGAGAAGAAGGAGGAGAAAGCTAGTATTTAACATTACAAAGATATTACAAAATTTAAATGGGCTAGGCAGAGGTATAAAGGAATTTTGAAATTAGAGTTCATCCAATTTTTTTCATTCGGACAGGCGTTTTTTTAACGTTCTCGCTTTTACAAAGGCCTTAAAATCACTTTAACGAATATTTCGTTCGTCCAGTGCTGTAAATGCAACATGGCGCCATTAAAAGTGTCGCGTTTTAAAATCGCTGCCGTAACAGTTATATGGAGAAGCATTTGACCTATTTCAATGCTTTATAACGCTCGTTATAAAAACGTTCATACCTAAAAAAATTATGGGCGTTTTTATAACGTCCGTTTTTCAGCCAATCTCACTCTTACCCCGTTAGTATGCGACTTACGGAATTTTCAATATAATTTAGGGTTTTCTTTATAGTACCAAGGAAAAATATCGTATAAGTCGATTGTTCCAGATTCTTCTCGCGTGGTCTCTCGCTCTTGGCATCAATGGAGTACTAACTGATACTATGAAACTGATAGTTGGTGAGTTTTGGATTTTTTTTTATTGTGTCTGAATTTTTTTTGTTGTGACTGAATGGCCACTGTTTGCATTGAAGAGGGATTTACAGATTCACCAGACTCGAAGTGGCCAAGCGCAAGGCGCTCAGCCTAAACCTCGTTATAATTACCGGATTGGGAGGCCACCGAGCTCTTAGATTGCTTCGGTGGACGCTCCATGAAGTGACTAGGCACAAGGGCCCCCGAGAGGAAACCTCGGCTTAGGCTGTCACTCAATACCCGTTTAGCCCCCGAGAAGGGAAGAGTTTTAGATATTACGTTAAGTACAAAGTGATTTTTTCGAAAGTGTACCATTGCGAATTTCTGCGACTGTACAGAACGAAGAAATGTTTGTCAAATTTGAATTAGACTCGCTTACTGTTGATTAATCGATCTAAAGGTACAGTCGGGGAAACTGGCGGTGTTCCTTATTAGCTACAATCGTTTAAAGATTTTGAAACACGTGGAACAATAACCAATACTCGTACAACGCAGCTTATAAATGTTTCTGTACGAAAAAATGTCTGTTAGTGATACATGGTTAGTTTTTTTCTTTCGGTTGCTTACTGCTTATTTGTAAAAAGGCGGATTTTTCGTTGCAATAAAGGCAAGTTTCCCTAAAGTGGAACACTGTGGAATTCCAGTACATACAAATCTTAAGTTCTAACAATTGTGTAAAAAAACATGATTTTTTGCGATTTTTTTTTGTTTTCGATAGTTATCTCTTTATAGGTCGTCCTCGTCCAGATTTCTTCTATCGTTGTTTCCCTGATGGTGTGGAGACATCAGATTTACAGTGCACCGGAGACCCTGTGGATATAATGGAGGGCAGGAAATCTTTTCCTAGCGGGCATAGTAGCTGTAAGTGTTACTGTACATAACTAGCTATTCCCGTGCGACTTCATCCGCATTTAATTTATTTTATTGTTTACATTTGTCAAATTCTTAATTACAAATATTCAAATGCACAAATGACGAAGGCCTTTGACATTGCATAACAATTATCGTTACTATGGTAACCTTGCTTCCTCGATGTTGGCAGCATGTAGTTTATGATCTTTTTCACACATGAAGGTTTTTTTCAATTTTACCTTCCAGGTTTAATAGCGTGAAAATATATAGCTTAAAGTGTGTTGTCAGTGTAGGGCTTTTAGTAAAGAAATAATTATTCAAAAATATGCTGTGATTGCTGACATCCTACGCCACAAAGTGTGTTTACGCTTTATTATATCTGTATAGAAAACGTTTCTTATGAAAATATTTGGTTGGTAGTATCGTTCTGTTCTCTGGGTACGTGTGCGCTGTGGGTGTGTGGGCGGCTGGGCGCGCTGCGCGGCCGCAGGGGCTCCGCCGCGCGCGCCCTTGCCTGCCTCGCGCCGCTAGTGATCGCGTTATGTGTCGCACTGTCCCGTTCCTGCGACTACCATCATCACTGGCAAGGTAACCTTTCAACTAACTTCGATTATCAATCTACCCTCACTTCGTTGGGTTTTGACTTTTTTACCTTATTGATTTTTTTTTGTATTTGCCTAAACTACTGAACATATTTTGATGAAGCAGATGTCATTAGATTCGTCTTCTTCCTTAGAGTGTCATAGGATATATACATCTGTACTGTTAAGAACAAAATTAGTACCGTGCTATAGAATTGACACAACTCAAGATTATCGGCATAAACGTCACGTCCCTAGCTGACAGCTGACAGCTGTCAATGTCACTACAAGTATGTATTTTGGCGCGCAACCTGGGTTTGGACGAGAAGTGTTGCTCTGAGTTTAAAGCGAGGGTATCAATTGAATAAGTTGTCTAAAAGTACCAACTTATGTCCTTACGGAGTTATTCAAAGTCTACCCTAAGGGTGACTAGGACAGTCAACTGCACTTCACACATATCTTTGGATTTCTTGTGCAGGCAGGTAATCTCAGGTAATAGAGATAAATGGACAGAGACAGAGTAAATGTGCCGACACTATACAGATTGGTGGTATTTTGCTCCATCCATAAATTTTCCGTTGAAATATATCCTATGTCACTTTATGATAATGTAACTATCTAATGGCGAATTTATGCAAAAGTCTAGACCTTAAAACAACGTTTTTAGACGAATTTTAATGTTAATTTTCACAAATTGGTCCTTTGAGTTGTATTTTACAAATCGAACTAAATCCATTTGTAACGTAGATGCTATCTAGAGTATTCCATTGCGATACTTTATTGTGTAAGGTGTCATACGATCTGACGGGTATGTTCATTATCTCCCGTACCTTTGCTACTCCCATACGGTTGGCGGAGGTTTTCATTCTCCAAATAACTCTATCATCCGTTATCTCAGTCACTCCCTTCTTGACGTTCACGCAATCCATCTCTTCCTATGTCTACCTCTACCGGTGTACTCATAACTAACGTTCTCCTTGTTACATGCATCCCTCCTCATAAAAGCATACCATGCTAACCTTTTACTCCTTATTTTTTTTTATAATATAAGATGGCAAACGAGCAAGCGGCCTGAATCCACCGAAATGGAATGCGACCGCTGCACATAAACATCCGCTCCACAATTGCAGATGCGCTGCCTACCTTTAATTGACGGTGGAGGAGACGCACATAAAAAGGACATTTCCCCGTCCCATGCGTCTCCTCCACCGTCAATACCACTTTTCTTTCCCATCCTTTCCTCTTAAGAAAAGGGTAGAAAGGGAAATGGACTAAAATTAGGCCTCCGGCACCACACTCATCACACGAAGCGCGGAATTGCTTCCACTTCACGCCTGTCTGTGTGGTCGTGGTATTGCTGGGAGCGTGCCGGCCCTGCAGAACGAACTCTCAGACTTCCTCTCCACTCATTTCGTATCTTATCAATTCGTGTTACCAAATATTTGAACAATCGGGTATATTGTTAATTAAATTCCAGATATCCTCGTGGGATCTACGTTGGGTTTTACAGTAGCTAGCTTCTGCTACCGGCAATATTATAATCCATTAAGCTCCGAGCTATCGGGTGTCCCATACGTAGTGTCAGATGCCAACCTAGTCAGGTTCAACGGCAAACCCGACAGTCCGTCTAAAGATCTTAAAGATATAGAATCGACGCCATTATTGAATGGTAAGAAAGAGGATAAATGGATATGAAAGGATTATAAAAAACAGAACGACAAACTTGTCTGACCCGGTGAGAACGACTGTGTGAAAATGTGGCAGTTGGTTTTGTGAACTTAAAGTCCAGGAAGCGTCATATTATGAACAATCAGGAAATAGTAACAGCAAGAGGCAATGTCACCTCTTCATAATTTCTATAAAAGAGTATCTAATTTTTTTTTCGTAATGGGTGAAATTCGAAAAAAAATGGTAATTTTTTGCTCTCTCTTAACTCTAAAAGCAGAGGCGCCTCTGTTAATATCAAAAAAATGCTATAAAATACGTGTACAAAACTGTTTAAGGCATAAATGTATGAGAAAAGGCGCTAAAGGTGTCCAAATTTCTTTCGACAAGACCCTGTATGGGAAGATATCCTTGTTGATGTTAAAATCTACATAGGCGTAAAAAATTACGCAAAACAAGGGATTTTGCGGCGTTTTGTAACATAACTTTAACCCCTACCGGGTCAGATAAGTTAGTTAAGTTATGTAAACGTATATTGACGTAAAAAAACAGGAATATAATTTTAAAAAATCTTCAATATTTTTACAAAGAAAAAACTATAATAAAAAAGGCATAATATATGAACAATGTAACTTTTAAGGGAGAATCTAAAAAGTAAAAAAACATACATTTTTTAAGAAAAATTAGAAAAGCATAGCTTATATTATAAATATTTAGAATTAGATAAAAAAAATGTTTTATTATTGTTTTAGTGAAAAAAAATAAAGTACCATATTTTTATCAAACACAAAACTGTTAAAATCAATAAAGGGACCGGAAATAATCAGTCGTAATAATGTAAATTATATTTAAAACAATATTAAGAACCCTCATCTACTTAAAAACCAAAAAAATGCTAAAAAGATTTTTTTCAATTTTACGTTGACTTAGTCTGTAGCATTCAATGTGTTAATCACTGGTCTGTATAAATGGATAGGCGTTTCATTTCGATTTCGCGTCTCTTAATGTTGAGAGTTAATTCAATCTATAATTAATCCTAGTCGCTATCAGCGCCGAAATGGCGAAAATCAAAAAAGACAGAAATCATTTTTTAACCTGTCCATTTATAGATATCATTGGTATTTATGCTTAAAACCATAGATAAGAGTTAATAAGTTTTGATTGAATTGATTTTTAAGAAAAAAAGGCCTTCAAAGGCCTTTTTTGATAATTCCTCATCCATAGGCTATTCACGGCTTTAGGGCAATAGTACTTAATTGTAGTTACTGTTTTATTATGAGTTTTAAACACGATCTGGAAGCATATATTCCTATGAAATGTGATATGGTGTTACCATTCTTTTATATTTTTTCTATTAATTTTTTGTCCATTTTTTTAATTTTTTTTAAAAGATGACAAAGTTGACAGAGAAGTAAGGGCAAGGTTTTTGTGTACTACTGTTAAGGTAGCAATGACAGAAATCTAGGCAGTCTTCGCTATTACGATTACTGTACTTTGTCAACTTATGATAAAAATATTTAAATACATAGAATATAATGAAATGTATAAAAGATTATATTTTTGTTCATAATTAAACATTTGAATACAATATACCAATGAATTTCTAAAAAAAAATAAAAAAATAACATATATAGTACACGTAAGATATTTATTTTTGACTAGAAAAATAGTAATATGGTGATTTAAGTATAAAAAAATAATGATTTTTTTTTAACCAGTGTTTTTTTTAATAATAGATACTGTTTTTTGTATTTTTTTCCTGTTCAGTCGTATAACGACGAATTTAATATAGGTTTTTTTTTGACTAAATAACTTTTTTACGCTGCAAAATGTTGAAAATGCTATTGTTACAAAATTTACCGACGTATTTGTTAAGTCGAATTCAATATAATTGAGAAAAAATCCTATCTAAACTATTTTATCTTTATAACTCTGTAGACTAAAAAATAGACATGTTTTGTATTAATTTCAATACTGAAATGTACCAAAATAAAATGACATTTCCAGTAAAATATCTATATGTTCAATTGAATTCAATTTTAAAAATTTTTTTGAAAAAAAAAAAAACACTATTTCATGTATCTTTTTTTCAACCAATATTTTTACATTCTGAGATTTACTCTAGTCTGGTTTTAACGTGAAAATATTTCTAGTTTAAGCGAGATTTTAAGATAATTTTGTATGAAAAAATCTGAGATTTTTTTGTAATTTTTTTTCTGTCATATACATTCCCGTTAATAAACAAGAAATGTTTAGTGTTTTTATGTAGAGATGTTATTTATATTTAATATTCTATTAAAGGAATTGTCTTCATTTCGATCGTTTTATTTTGAAACCCATAACATTTACAAAATTAACCTGACGTTACGGTGAAGAAAAAAAATCGTGATGCACATATCGGTGACGAAATTGTGTGACGTCAGAGTGCAGTTAACTGTCCTAGTCACCCTTAGGGTAGACTCCCTTCAGTGAGGACGTATACCTGGTGTTGATGATAATCCGTAAAATAAAAAAATGTAAATACAAAAAAAATCATTTATTTTCATAAATACTCTCACAAACTTATCTGTCCCAAAAAAAATCTTAAGCAAAAATTAACACATGTCAAGTAAGCAGTCTCTAGTGCTACCAGCCCAGGGCGCCCTGGGCGAGATAACTAGGGTGTCCCCTTTATTTACTAATATTAACAGGGAAGAGAACAGGCTTTTAAAAAACGTTATTTGCAATTTTAGTACACTTTTCTGTCTAGCGCCCTGGGCAGTTGCCATATCCTGACACTTAGGGCTCGCGCACACCTTTGACTAAACTATCGCGGAATTGTTTAGTCTCGCTTTGATTCCTATGGTGCGTTACTCGATTTTTAGGTTCAACTAAACTGTTGAAGGCTGCAAAACAATCGACAATCGCACAACAGATATGCGATTGTTTTGTCAAAGGCGCACGCACGATCTTAACCTAAATTTTAAATTTGGAATTCTGTGTTTTCTCGTCGTAAGAAGTTATTACATTGGGCCAGATAAGTTTGCAGCACTATGTTTAATGGCACAAAATTATATTAAACAAAAAAATAACTGCTCCTTCATACATAAATCTTATTAAAAATTAAACTTAGATATTAACATATTAAAAAATGTCGAAACAGTTTTGATCCAGCAAATATTAGACTGTTTAATTTAAAAAATTTGGAATTTTTTTCATTAATCAAAAATATAATAACTATAAAATGGGGCAAAAAAAATCTGGCAGAATTCATAAAACAAAAAAATCATTACAAAAAATAAAAAAAAATATACCATTAATTTTTTTTATAAAGAATTTTTCCACAAGCCTCTGAAATTTTGGATCTAAGTATAAAAAAATGTCCAAATATGTCTTCCAACATTGCAAAAAGGGTATAAAAGGATATTTTTCAGTTGAAATTATAATTTTTTAAAACAAGCAACAAGTTTGAATAAATTTAAACAGAAGGCAATTTTAACTCCTAAATCATAAAAAAATCTTACCAAATTATTCTTTGGGCATAATCAAAATCTTTCCAATATATTTCTTTAGTGAAAAATACATAAAAAGTCACTATATTCATCATCAAATACCAGAAAAACTCCATCAAAACAATTTTATACGACGGACGAATAAATCTTAACCTCAAAATTATATACGGAACCAAAAAATATCTTATTTCAATCATTTTTTGTAACGCTAAAACTGCAAATGTACATACACAATATGGTATTAGAAAAGATATACAATTTTGATCTTTTAAATTGTCATATAGACTATAAATCAAGAATATATAAACAGGTATTGTAGAGTATATTGCGAAGGAATATTTTCCGAACCATCTATTCCATATATAAAAGGTGTAATGCCTATTATCTGCGAGTAAATAAGGATGCACTAAAGTGTTATAATGAACAATTAAAGCAATTAATAAACCAAATAAAAACACTAATAGCTTATTATAGTATAACATTTTTAAAGTTGATTTTAACTTCCCTAAAACATATGGTAAACCAAAAACACCATAAAACAGTAAAAAATAGAATATTTGAGGCACATGAATGACCGCTTGATGTGCAGTTTTATCGCCCAGAACTATACCATTATTAATAATAACGAAAATTATAAATAATAATAATAAAATAAATTGTGTTCCGATGAAGAAAAAATCCGATAATGTTAATAGTTTAAAAAATGTACTCATATAAGTAAATAAATGATATTTCACAGCTATATAAAAATCATTTAAATTGTAATACCTTTTCAATTTAGTTCTATCAGTTTCTTGAGCCAATAGAGAATTCTTTCGTAATGTTAGCATATTCAAAAATATATTACCGTACACACGTGAACTTTTAATAAAAACATCAATATTTCTATGTAGAAAAATCATAAAAATCCATGCTATATTAGTCTGTCTCATCAAAACACAGGACAAACCGAACGTAAGTATTAAAAATTTATTACTGTTTCCGATACAAAAGCGAGTATATGCCAATAAAAACATCATAGACAAAGTATCTGTATAGTAAACATGTGAAAAAAAGTACAAAGGAGGTAGAATAGTTAAATTAACCGCTTGCAGTAATATTTTCAAAGGATTACTTGAATTACCATAAATATGCTGCAATAATGACGAAAATAATAACAAATTTATACAAGAAGCAATCAAATTCACATATCTTAGATTATAAGTGGTACAAGAAAATGGTGAGATAACAGTTGATATTAAATACAAGCCTGGTAATGTTGTTATTTTTGGATCCCAGTATGTAAAGTTTTCTTCACAGTAGAGCATTCCTTGAGGTAAATGGTATAATTCATCAATTACTATAGGTATTGTTGTAAAAACTTTATCGAATATTAATTTTGAAGCTGCATAATAACTCATTAAGAGTATACCGAGGAGTGTGTAGTATTTTAAATATTCCATTTTTGATTATTTGATCTGAAAAGAAAACTTTTTTTGAGAACTTGTGACAAAAGTTTTGATTTTACGTCATTTGTCCCATGAATGTTCATGAATGTAAGATTGCAAAATCATTTATGTATAATCTAATAAGAATGATTGCCAATAATGCATGATTAGATTTTATAAGCTTCTTCAATAATACTTTACAATAACTAACATTGTTAATAATACAGTTTCTTCTTATCGTTCGCTGTTTTCTTAATTGTATGCTTATCAAAGGATGAATTTACAAAAATCGCTATTAATAAGCTAAAAAGGTACAAACAAATAAATGTTAGTATGGGATAATTTACTTACTTAATTTCCGTATTACAATATTTCCTTTACTCGATCTGAATTTCCTAATGGATTGTTCTCAAGCAATACTTCATGGCAATTACTTTTATTATACATACAATTACTTAATTTCCGGTGTTTTTGTAAATACTTTTACCGGTTAAAATTTACAATTGACATAACAAGAATGGCGGCATTTTTGACATTGACACTATATCCTTTTTTTATAGTTTTTGGCTTTGCTACGAAACTTTTAAGCCAACATAGACAAGTTACAATTAACATTCAATCAATTGCAAATTAAAATTAAATCTTGACGTACATCAATAGCACCTTAATTGCTTTGATTTTAAGATACCTTGTAATCGTTTATTAAAATTAAAATTATGTATTAAAACCATAGTTATTTACAGAGGTCAGTAATTGAAATAAATTACCAAATCCGAAAACTGCACATCCCTAGTTTGACATTTTTAACGGACAAAAAGTTTAAAACTTTACAAATCGAACTTCGAGAAAATTACTTTTTAATATTAGAATTAGATTAAAGGAACTATGTCAGGCGATAAATTCGACAAGGCTAATAGCTTAATTGCTAAACTAAAAGCTCATGGTACTGAGAGTGATTCGTGTAATTTAAAAGAAGTGTACGAGTCATACAAAAGTATTTTAACAGAATTGCCTGCTAAAGACAGAGGTTCTTTTTCGTTGAATGTCTTATGTATACTATGCAGGTATTTATTCATTAAAATAATACTTAAGTTTCATATGACTTATTTTTGATGAAACATAAAAGAGTTTCAACAAACCAATCTTGGATTTACGGAAACCATAGCTTCTATAAAAACAAAGTTTTTATATTTTTTATAATTTTCGTATCATCATCAACTTGCGCTTATCCCTTATAGAGGGTCGGCACAGTATGTGCTGCTCCATACATCTCTATCAGCCGTCATATCTGAATCCACTCCATTCTTAAACATATCCTCTTTCACATAATCCATCCATACTTTCTTCAGTCTTCCTCTTCCTTTGTAGCCATCCACATTCATTCTTAACACTTTCTGGTTTATGTCCCCATCGTCTCGTTGCATAACATGTCCTATTTTGAATCTTTGTATGAAATGAAATAACTCAAAAACTACTGGACCGCTTTCAAGATTTATTTCACCATTAAAGCTACATTATCAGTAACATAAGCTATATTTTTTATAATGGCTAGTTTTTAGTACAGTCTTAACAGATTTTTTCATTTACTAATGCTTTTAACTATACTAAATTTGCAAGCTTTAATGACAGGAATCGAGTCATATTTAGAAGTTACTTTTAAGACTATTGAGCTGTTACTATTTATATTTGTTATAGGAACATCGAGAAAGTACCAATATGGAGGGAGAAGATCTGCAAGACACAGTTGCTGGAATTATCAGTGTGTTGTGTGCGACAAACTCGGCCACTAGATAAGACAGACCAAGTGAAGATTTTAGCTTGTGTTTATCATATACACAGATACCTTGTGAGACAGGTAACTATTAACTAGCGGTCAAAATACTTGAATAGACTGTGTTCTTCTAAATTATGTTCTACTACCTTGCTCTCGAGACCCCAACTGCGCGGAATTAAAAGAAATCAAAAGTAAGTAGCCTATGGGACCTTACGGATTTTACATCTATGCCATATTTCACCAAGATGTAACAGTTTTGGCTACAAACTCCAACAATCATCCATACATCTAAACTTTCGCAATTATAGTAGTAGTAAGATTATCATCTCATCAGAGATTGACCGTCGGTGTCTCAGTGGTTTAAGTACTTGACTTGTAATATACAGGTCTTGGGTTCGAATCCCGCAGTGTACCAATTTTTGGATTTCTGTATGTATTGAAATAACTCAAAAACTACTGGGTCGATTTCAAAAATTCTTGCACCAATAAAAAGCTATGTTATGCATGGCCGGCTCTCCCCCAGCAATACCACGACCATATAGAAAATAGGCGAAAAGTGGAAGCAATTCCGCGTTTCGTCTGATGAGTGTGGTGCCGGCCTAATTATAGTCCCTTCTATCCTTTTCTAAGTATGGGAAGGGAAAGTGGATTTGACGGTGGAGTAGACGCATAGGAAGGGGAAATGTCCCCTTTATGTGCGGCTCCTCCGTCAATGAAGAGTAGGCAGCACATCTGCAATTGCGGATGTTTATGGGCAGCGGTCGCTTTCCATTTCGGTGGATTCAGGTGGCCGGTTCCTCGTTTGCCACATTATATTATAAAAAAAATAAAAATGTAACAAACATGTAAATTATTTTCAGGACACAATATTACAAGCAGCGTTATTGTTAAAACTGTCCTACATGCCTTTCGAAGTTACCGAAGAATTGCTCCAAAGAGACCATTACAAAGTATACTGGAGTATTCTAGCAGATAGAATATTTTATATAGAAAAATTGAAATCATCAAGAAATATCAATGATTTATTAAAAAAATTAAACGAAGATATTAAAATGTTAATAAAAATATACAATCCAGTACAGTTCTGTTCGAATATTTTAACGTTTGTTATAAAAAAATTACATTTTTTATACAGTGATGTGAAAACGGAAGAATTGATGGCGGTTTATAGAAATATTTTTGATTGCATTACAACCAAAGATAATATAAAGCTGTTTAAAAGTATTACAAATGAAGAAGCAATAGATATATATATAAAATTGAATGATTGTCTATATGTTATAATTGATAATGATTCGAAAGTTAATTTCAAAGGCTCCGATTTAGAGTTTCTTGTGAGAAAAATAATATCATTATTAATACATTGTTCAGATATATTTCATTGCTTGCAAATGATTTATTTGAACTGCTTCTGCTGTATTTTCAAGTATAAAAATGATTCAGATTATATAAATTCAGTATTAGAAGGTTTCCAAAATAATTGTGAGACAGCGGAAAAGTTGGGATATAAAAAAATTATGTATGCCACTTACCCTTATATATCACAATTATTACGACTTTTCATTGATTATTTTATTAATATTAATAACGAAATGGATTTTAGTAATACAATACAGAATTGTTTGAAAATTATTATATATTTAACCGAGAAATTATATATAACCCAACAAATATCTAAATGTGATAACTGCAGTGTTAAAACTGGATTACATGATGCATTACGTTTAACATTTTTAGCCAAAAATATAATAAATATATCTATAGAAAAAAATCTAGATATAAAAATGATATTTCAAAATTATTTTGATATAGTTTTAAAACAATATGCAATATTAAATCAATTGAAAAAATTGAACTGTTCAAATTACGAGAGATGTTTGAAGAAATTACAAGCCGATGTACATAATACTGCTATATATTTGAATAAAGCGAAATTCTATGAATATTCAATAAAAATGTTCAATATATATGTTAAAACTGAGTTATTTAATGTGAAAAGTGCTGAATTTACGAATATATCGAGAGCATTTTATAATAAAAGCATAAGTGAATTAGACTGTATGCTGTTTGATGAAGCTATCAAGGGAGCATATCTGAGTTTGGTATTCTCCGGAGATGGGTTACATGAAAAATATATGAGTCTAGTAATGGATATCAAAGCGAAAGCGTTGAAAAATGATGGTAATGAAGCTATACAAATTTTAACGGTTTTATCTGTTTGTAAAGATTTATCGGAGAAGAAAGATTATGTAAATCTGAAGCCTTTTTTCTCCAAGTTGAAGTTCAGGTGAGTTTTGATATTTTGAATCCATCCGCGTTGTCATAAGATAGAGTAGTTTGATTATCGCATATGTAGTATCGAATTAAATTTGTATGAAGGCAAAGCCGTACTTAATAGACAGGTATCGTAGTGACGAAACACGTAGCGAATTACGAACTATCGATATTCGGTTTAAATAATTATCGAACTTAACTAAAATTATTATTTACTTGTTAACTAATTTCTAGTATTGATTATAGTGTAGAGAATTTCACGATGATAATAAAAATAAGAAAACAGTGTTTTTTTTAATTCATAAGTTATAACTATGAATCTATCGGTTCCAAGTGCTATAAGAATGAAAATCGAAAAGATTTATGACTGATTTTACACAACCCATCCCTACTAAATTATTTAGACACACTATAGTTAAAAACCCAAAAGTAGCCTATGTTCTTCCAGATTACCGATTCGTTTAGCAGTTTAGGTTAACTCTAACAAACATCAAAACTTTGCCATTTATAATATTAGTAAGATTTCAAATGATTCAATTTGTTAATCTATACTAATATAATAGAGAGGAAAGATTTGTATTTTTGTATGTATTGAAATAACTCAAAAACTACTGGGACAATTTCAAAAATTCTTTCACTATTAAAAAGCTATGTTATCAGTGAGTAACATAGGCAATATTTTTACATATATATTTTAATTGCATGCGAGTGAAGTCGCGAGCAATATACTAATATAATTTTCTATTATTTATATTTAGATATATTATTTTTTTTCAGTGTTTTATTGAAACATGAATTTTCAATGTACGTCAAACTATGGCCGTCTATAGTACCCATAGCCGGTGTTTGGATGTCTTTGAATGAATTAACTAAAAATCTACATACATCGTGGTTGAAAGGTAAGGGTCCGTTCACACGGTAGCTTAATCTGTTCCCTTGTTCATACGAACACTATATAAATATATTTTATCTATACTGTAAATTATAAAGAGAAAATATTTTTGTTTTTGTATATATTGAAATAACTCAAAAACTACTGGGGCAATTCTTTTTCAACAATAGAAAGCTATGTTGTCGCTGAGTATTATATTTCACGTATACGAAGTCGCGAGCAACACCTAGTTCTTTACTATTATAAATTATTAAGTAATGTAAATCAAATGTTAAAATTACAACAGAGGCCTTTCCCTAACAATTATAATTACCAGCAATTTAACTTTGCGATTGGCTTGTAGTTTTTGTCCCTTTCCCATATGACCTTTTTCTACCAATCTATACACTCCCTAAATTAATTAGCGTGAAAATAAATAGACTACTAGCTTCCACCCGCGTCTCCTTCCGCGTGGAATTAAAAACAAACGAAATCAACTAGCCTATGTGTTCTTCCAGACTTCGCTCTATATCTATACCAAATTTCATCGAGATCCATTAAGTTTAGGCTACAAACTCTAACAAACATCCATCTAAACTTTCATATTTATAATATTACTAGCTGTTCCCATGCGACTTCATCCGCATAAAATTATAAAAATTTCAATTTATTGTTCACATTCGTCAAATTTTCAATTGCAAATGTCAAAATGGCATGACATGACAAAACTAGGTAATCTTGCTACCTTGATATTGGCAGCAACTTATGGTCTCTTTCCCACATTAGGGTTTTTATCCAAAATTTTTACCCCCTAAGTTCAATGGCGTGAAAATATATAGCCTAAAGCGTGACGTAAGTGCAGGCTTTTTATTAAAGAAAGAATTATTCAAAAATATGCTGTAATTGTTGACATCTTAGGCAACAAAGAAGTGTGTGTTTACGCTTTATTATAATAGTACAGATATAGCTTATAAGTGTAGGGAATTTTATTAAGAAAGTAATATTAAAAAATATGCTGTTATTTCTTATATTCTGCATAACATTGTGTTTACGTTTTATTATTTTAGAACAGATTAATTTAATGGTGTCTCTTAATTCGTATTTCCTATGTATTTCAGGTGAAAATGAAGAGGATTTATTATGTATTTTATACGAAATAATGATGGAAACTCCGAACGCAGTTCGAACAATACATTCTGATTATTATAAGAATATTGTCGCTGAAATGTTACAAAGAATTCAACAGAAACCGGTAAGTAACAATTGTTAAAACACAAAGCTACAAACTTACATGCAAAGATAAAACAAGATATATCCTTAATTGACTAATATAAAGCGGGAAACCTTTTATCTATGTATTGAAATAACTTAAAAACTGTTATTATTGTTACGAATATAAGGGATAGAGTTAAAACGTCAAATTTTCTGCCTTAATTTATTGACGACTCACAGTTATAGCGAATTACAACACTCCACGACACACAAAATACAGAATCACTGACACAGAGCACACAGAACACCATTTTTCGCTCAGGACTACTTTTTCCCAGTACACTTCCCCAGTACCCCGAATTTCGATCTTCTTGTCGTTATTCATTTGTCATTTTATTCCAGAACTTTCTCGATAGTCCGAATTACATAAATTTCAGAATGGAACATTCTGGAAGCCGTTTCGAATATTCGAGACATCTTTTCGAGAACGTCATTTTCGCTGCTCGCGGCGATCGAACATTCTGGAAACAGCTCGATTATTCATACTCATCAATAGATGACGTCGCGAAAGTATTATATTTTACCATTATTAGGCTTATGTTTTTTTTTTTGTTTATAGACAAAGAAAATAGAAGAAAGAATAATACAAGCTAATTTACTATTTTTAAAAAGTGAATACGATATTTCTGAAGCAACAGAGAAATATGGATGGAAACAAATTGATGCGGTAAGTTGAAAATACATGTTGAAAGTTTGGATGTATGGATGTTAGAGTAGCTTAGACTGCTGAACGGATCTCTATCATTGTCATAGATGTAGAGGATAATATGGAAAACATAAACTACTTACTTTTGTTTTTTTAATTACACGCGGACGACGTCGCGAGCGAAAGCAAGTCTATACTATTATAAAGAGGAAAGATTTGTATTTTTGTTCGCATTAGTATAACTTAAAAACTACTGGGATGATTTAAAATTTTTTCACCATTAAAAAGCTACGTTATCAGTGAGTAATATAGGTTATGTTTTTTAATTATTTTCATATGAAACAAGCTTGAAAACACATCCTATGTTACTCACAGAAAAATTACCTTTCTAGTCCCTAGTTTCTAGTTCTAGTTCTAGTCCCAGTAGTTTTTGAGTTATTCCAATACATACAAAAATAAAAATCTTTCGCCTTTATAATATTAGTATAGATAAAAATAGCTATTAATTTTTTCAGACTTCAAATCCTGAACAAATAAAAAATTTACGAACTCTGCCGCAAGAACAGCCTGCTTTGAAACACGCTGTAGAAGCAGTTGAACTATGGACGGAGATATTACCTAAATTAAATACAGGTAAGACTAGAAAATAACATAAAAGTTATTTATTTACTAGCTGTTGCCCGCGACTTCGTCCGCGTGGTATTAGAAAACATACGAACTATATAAATAACAAAAAACTACGTATCCCTCGGGAACCGGACATCTCGGGGATGAACCTCGTATACTCCCATGTATACTCCAGACTTTATTATATATCTGTGCCAAATTTCAATAAGATATGTTGAACTTGCAGAATGATCGAGTAAACATTAAAAAACTAAATTAATGAATCCCACGGGAACCGTAACTATTCCCGGGATAAAAAGTAGCCTATGTGTTCTTCCAGACTATGCTCTAAACCTGTGTCAAATTTCATGGAGATCTGTTCAGCTGTTTAGGCTATAAACGCTAACATCCATCCATCCATCGTAACTTTCGCATTTATAATATTTATATGATTAAGTAGAACAATTATTTTTAAACATTACAGAGTTTCACATTTTATTGTAACTGGAATGTAAACATTTATCATTTTCACGTTTTTGAGGTGTTTTTAGCTTGTATGTATGTTCAAAATATAGCCTATGTTACTTAGAGATAATGTAGCTTTTAAATGGTCAAAAAAAATTGAAATTGTCCCAGTAGTTTTTGAGTTATTTCAATACATACAAGAATACAAATCTTTCCTTTTTAAGTATAGAAGAGGTGTAATTTTTTTAAGTTCCGCGCGGACAAGTCCGGGTTAAAAGCTACGTCTGTGGTTATCAAGATCTGTTAATCCGTTTTTGAGATACGTAGAAACAAACATACATACGAACTTACGCATTTATACTAGTAATATGTACAGTAAACCTCCTATAACGCGGTTGTTGGTTCAGCATTATAATACATTTTTCAAAAAGCCAGCCGTAAATCGCCTTATAGGGGGTCTTTTTTTAACTGTTGTCGATATTCGCGTTATAGAGGGTGATTACCGTGTTATAAGAATTCGCCATATAGGGAACTCATTTTATAAATCGTTATAGAGGATAATATCCGTTATAAGAATATATATAATATGTTATAAGAATTCGTCTTATAGCGGGTTCTTTACAAATTGTTATTAATTATCGCGTTATATGGAATTCCGCGTTATGAAAACTCGCGTTATAGGAGTTTACTGTATGTTAATTTATCTTCCAGCTAATCCGACTCTTCAGCATTCGTTAAGGATAGCTGAAGTGTTTGTTCAGCAGCTGCTGTACACGCAACGTGTACAGCAGGGCTTACAGCTGGCCCACGTCTGCTGCGAGCTGGCCCGGCGCCTCGGGGACAAGTGAGTGGCCACAACACTGACTGACTACACTTAGATCTCACTTAACCCTTGCTTGATGATTTATGCATCGGTATTATCTTCCTTACACAAACTATTTGGGAAAAACATTTTCTTACTATGTTTATTTCCTTAATCTATGTTTAATTTGTTATTCAAAAAGAAAAAAATCATGAATTTAAGGGTTAAGTCAAACTAAATTATTTTTGCATGTTTTTTGACGCTTATACCTATGTTTTATGTTAGTTTAGTTAAAAATTAATCATTCTTATTCTAGGTTGCAGAAGTTTCCATTTATTTTATCGTTAACTATTGCTCGCGACTTCGCCCGTTATAAATTTAAAATAATATAGCCTACGTTACTCAGTGATATTGTAGCTTTTTAATGGTTAAGGAATTTTTGAAAGACCAGTAGTTTTTGAGTTTTTGCAATACAAAAATCAAAAAATTAGAAAGTACAAATCTGTCCTCATTATAATCTATACTAATACTATAAAGTGGAGAGATTTGTATTTTTGTTTGTATTGAAATAACTCAAAAACTACTGGGGCGATTTTAAAAATTCTGTCACCGTTATAAAGCTACTTTATCACTGAGTAACGTAAGCTATTATATATTTTTTATTATTTTTTAACTTCACGCGGACGAAGTCGCAAGCAACAGATAGTATTAAGTATAGATAAGTTTTAAATTCTATCAAACATCAAAATACATTTCTTCCATAGGAAATAAAATTCCTCGACTATAATAACGTTTTCTTCTTAGGAAAGCCTACATCTGTAATGTAGGAGTTATTTTACAATATGTGAACAAGCCCTTAGACAGAGTTGAACAAATGGTGACAAACGCTATTAAATATTGGCAAGAATTGATATCATCCAAGCAACACCTGGAGGCGATGCTAGTGTTCGCATGTGATTTAGCTGTGAGTGTGTTTATAAGTGTTTTTGGTCTAAAAATTATTGTTTCTTGTGTTTATAATAGCTTTAGCCCGCGACTCCATACGCGTAGGATAAAAAAAAACTAAATAGTCTGTTGCCCAGACTATCTACATGTATGACAATCATCGAGATCCGTTCAGTTTAGGTTAACTCTAACAAAACAAGTTTCGTATTTACAATATTAGTAAAATAACCGGCTTAAATTTGTAGCCTAAACTGTTGAACGGATCTCGATTCTTGTCACTCATGTAGATAGTCTGGAACACATAGGATACTTTTAATTTTTTATAATTCGTCGCAGATGGAGTCGCGGGCGAAAGCTAATAGGATAAAAAGCGATTATCACTGTACTGAATCATATACATATTTAAAACTATTGTTTCACGTACTAAACTCCCTTGTGACACTTATGGCCGGTTTTTAAGGACTCAGTCGTTATATCCGATTATGTCGACAAATTCAAAGGGTTATTGTTCCACGTACTAAACTTGTGTCACTTATGGCCGGTTTTTAATCGGTTTCTTTAATTATAATATTCTTTTAGATGTATTACGATCGCTGTGGTTCTTGTACAAGTGATAAATTGCTGCAGTTCGTACAAGCTCGGATATTAGAAGAGGAAGTTAATTGTAAGTTTTATATGTAAAATAACATTATTTATTAACGAACAGACAAACCAAACAGATTGACACTTATGGCCGTTTTAGGCGCTCTCACTGGAGAGTCGGTTAAAACTATAGTCTTTATCTAAACTAATATTATAAAGAGGAAACATTTGTATTTTTGTATGTATTGATATAACTCAAAAACTACTGGGTCGATTTTAAAAATTCTTGCAGCATTAGAAAGGTAATTTATCAAAGAGTAAGATAGGCTATTTTTTAATTAGAAGTCGCAGGCAACAGCTAGTATAAAACTAGCTGTTGCTCGCGACTTCGCCCAAGTTAAATAAAAAAAAGTATTAAAAAGCATAGCCTATGATAACGTAACTCTTATGGTGCAAGAATTTTTGAAATCGTCCCAGTAGTTTTTGAGTTTCAATTTTCTCAAAAATACAAATCTTTCCTCTTTATATTAATATTAGCTTTCGCACGCGACCCCGTCCTCGAGGAATAGAAAAACGCAAGTAGCTTATGTGTTCTTTCAGACTATCCTGTACATCTATACCAAATTTCATCGAAATCCGTTCAGTAGTTTAGGCTACAAACTCTAACAAACATCCATCTTAACTTTCGCATTTATAATATTTCGTCTTATTCCCTTATAATTTGTGTACAGTAGACTTAGCTGTAGGAAGACTGCTGGAGGCTCACGCGCAGATTTCTGACACTCCTGACACACTGACGAGAGTGTCAGCTCCTCTCAGACATTATGTCACTGTCACTAATAATGGTAAGTAGCTTGTGTAGTTATAATTTTAACTTTCGTTTGAATAATAGAGCCTTGAAACTTCAAATTCCATTAAAATCACGTCCATAAGATTGTATAAGGTTCGTAAAGCTTCATTCGTTTGAAATTCCAGTTATTTTTAATTACTAATAAAAAAATCGAGTCTATGTCTTCTTATATCTATGACATCGAGATCCGTTCAACAGTTTAGTTTACTAAATCTAACAAATATCCATCCATATAAACTTACGTATTTATACTTGGGGGGTATCTAGCCTAGAGAATCGTGGTATTTGAAATATTTTTCTCCTCCTCCTCCTTCTAAAAAGACCAAAAGGAAAATTTTAAGAAATCTGCCCCCTCTATAAAATACCAAATTAAGAAAACCGCCCCCTTCTATAAAATACCAAATTAAGTAAGCTGCCCCCTTTATAATAGACCAAGTAAAGGAAACCTGTTCCCCCTCTTGAAAACCAAATAACGAGAGCTGCCACCCCCCCCTCTAGGTAAGACCAATATTAAGAAAGTTGCCCCCTTCTAGAAAAGACCAAATTTAACAAACCTGTCTCTTTTACCATCAACTGGTTCACATTACCATCTACCTCCCCACTTAGAGTTCGTAGTTTACCCTAAGTTGATGACTGGACGTCTTAAGTATACTTAACTTGCGCTGTGGGTTGGTTTGACTTGACTAACTATAGTCAATCTGCACTTTGTCCTGATAGAATTTCCTTTAAAACAGAAACAACTTGGGTATCACGTCGATACCGTTCTCTGTTACTCCGTACATATACGTGTGGGGGCGCGCTGTGCGCGGGGCGCGGCGGCCGCGCGCTCGCGCTGTGGCGCCGTGCGCGCACTGCGCTGTGCGCCGCGCTGCGCCCCGCTAGTGCTATCATCACTGCGGATATATATACCGTTTATATAGATACTAATGCTGTCGATGCAGAGGTAAGTGACACACTTCATAAGTCGGTATAAAGCCGACTGATTGTTTACTTTTTAGAAAATTGCCAATGAAAAAGCTGACTGACTGGTTGTTTGCGTTAGTTGAAAATGCCGACTGACAGATTGTTTACTTTTTAGAAATTTTCCAATGAAAATGCTGACTTATTGTTTACTATTTAGAAAATTGTCAATAAAAATGTCGATTGACAGATTGTTTAATTTTTAGAAATTCGTCAATGAAAAAGCTGACTGACTGGCTGTTTACGTTGGTTGAAAATGCCGACTGACTGACTGTTTACTTTATAGAAGTTTTCCAATGAAAATGCTGACTTATTGTTTACTTTTTAGAAATTCTTCAATTAATCCGACCGACTGACTGGTTACGTTTTAGAAATATGTCAATGAAAATGCCGACTGACAGATTGTTTACTTATTAGAAATTCATAGTTCATTCGACTGACTGATTATTTACTGTTTACAAACTTGACAATGAAAATGCCGACTGACTGATTGTTCACTTTTAGAAATTCGTCAATAAAAATGCCGACTGACTGGTCGTTTATATTTTAAGAAATCTGTCAATGACAGTACCAACTGACTAATGTATTACTTTTTAGAAAACCTATTTGCTCTTCTAACACTATTTGTCAACTCTACACAGGTAAATATAGATCGCATCAAACACATCCTAGGTCTGCAACCGACGAACGAAATACAACCTCATACAATACATAAAGAAGAACAACATACACCAAAACACACACAAATAGAAACAATGCTAAAAAGTACTACGTTTAGAAGATTACAGACCAGTCCAAGTTCTCCCTTAGTGACGTCATCATTCACAATGCCAGAATTCCTTAAACATAATAAAATCTGTCAATGCTACGCCTGCCAAGTTCCTTACAGCTTCTTAATAGCAACCAGAACTTGTCTTCTAGAAGCTTCTATGTACTACAGAAGTAACGACTTTCATATAGCAAGGAATTACTTCGATGGTGCAACAGAAGCTTTGAAATTAGCTAAGGAGAAACTTTTAAATAGCGTAGAATTGAAGTGTGAAAAATATATAAGCGAAATAATTAAAAATTATTGGAATAAAGAAGTTGGATTGATTGAAGCAGAAATATTGATAGAAGAGAGTTATATGGAATTGTCGCAGAACGATTTCACTAATATTAATAATAAACTAATAAGATTGGACGAAATTACGAAAGAAATCAAAATTGATCTGTATTTACAAACAGAAATTAATAATCTACTGATAGCAACATCTAGACTGAAAAATGCGATACAGAAGCAACAAGAAGATGCGTTAGAAATAGAGATGGAACATTTATCTCTAAATCCTAATACGGAATTAATAAAAACACCAGAATCAAAGAAAATACCATTAAAAGGGACAAATAAAATTGTCAAACAAAACGAATTGCCCTCATTGAATTATAAAATAAGTAAATTGAATTTAGACGGTGAAAATTATGATGAAAAAGAGCCAATAAAAGAAGTAAAAAAATCGAAATTTAAAATACCAGAGCCGGTGATAAGTAGACCAATTTTGGAGACCCTAACTCCAGGACCAAAGACCAGAATAAAAGCGGAGACCACAAATCAACTAGCAAAGACCAGAGTAAAAGTAGAGACCACTCCGGTTCCGAAGACCAAAGTTAAACCAGATATGACTCCTAGTCTAAAGTCAGATTTAGAGACCACAGCAACGTTTCCAAAGACCACGCAAAAGTTTGAGACCACAACTCCTTTGCCAACCAGGGTAAAGATCTTACTGACTCAAGCCAGTCAGGACCAGGGTACTCCAGTTTCAAAGACTGAGGAGTTTTTCACCCCATCTTCAACCCCTTCGGAACAATTTTTCACACCGATGTCTTCTGTTAAAACATATACGAGAAAGAGGACGGCTATTGTGAAAAATTTAGAAAATGTATTTTCAACGACTCAAGTTGATATTGAGAAAGAAAACAAAGTAAGTCTTTTATAGATTTTTTCCGTTTATTTTTCTCGATAATTTAAAATACCTCCGCGATGTATTCAATTAAAATTTAACTAATAATTGATATAATAGCTTTTGCCCGCGACTCCGTCTGCGGGGAATTGACAAAATCAAAAGTAAGTAGCCTATGTGTTCTTACAAATCCTCTACATCTATACCAAATTTCATCGAAATCCGTTCAGCAGTTTTGGTTACAAACTAACAAACATCCATCTAAACTTTCGCATTTATAATATTAGTGTGATTACGTCATAAGCTTTCGCACGCGAATCCGTCTCTCGTAATGAAAAAAAGCAAAATTAGGTATCCTATGTTCTTCCAAACTATCTACATATGGCAATTATCAAAATCCATTCAGCAGTTAAGGCTACAAACTCTAACATCCATCTAAACTTTCGCATTTATAATATTTAGTAATGATTTATGTTTTATAGACAGGTGTGCGAACAAGACGCGCTGTCAGCAGTCGACTGAACCCGCGCTGAACTAAATAATTACAATTTGACTGAACAAATATAAATTTTATTTATACATTATTTCATTTGAGACTTAGGGCCTGTCTCACCAAATTGTAAATTGCCTGATAACAATCGTGTAAAATGTGATGAAAATATCGGATTTTGTTATGACAGTGACGTTTTTCAACTATCTGAGCCTCTATCAGCCAGTAGTGGGACAGGCACTTAATTTTGTAAAAAATATACTTTTTGTCACTAAAATTACAAATAAACAACTATATTTAACTGTTTAAATCCAAACGAATCAAACTGTCATTTCTAAACTATTTATTTATATCTGTACTAGCTTTAGCTCTCGACTCTGTCCGCGTGAAATAAAAAAACAAAAGCAAATAGCCTATGTGTTCTTCTGGACTATGTTCCACATCTGTGCCTAATTTCATCTAGATCTGTTCCGATGTTAAGGCTTTTTAACAAACCATCTAAATTTTCGCATTTATTATGTATGATTGTAACTTTTTTATTTTCTTTTGCTTTTCTATGATTTAATTGTGTAATTCCGAACGAAGTTACATCACATTTGGCTAGATAATTTTCGTAATATAGTTTATTTTATTTCCGAATATTGAAACGAAGGTTAAACAGCGACATATGACGTCACTAATGGAATTTATAGAAGCGTGGCTTTAACTGTTAACGGCGTTTTCATTATTCGTCTGTTATTTGTAACTTTTAGTTTTTAAGCGCTTATCTGATTGTGTTCGTATTGTTAATGTTTTGCATTGTAAGTTTTTTTAATAATAAATGTTTTGTGATTTTTATGAATTTTTAATTGATAAATCCCAATGTGATCCAAATTATTAACTTGTGCTGTTGTTTATATTGTACAATTATTATTACTTTGAAGTCGGTGTCAGTCAATGTAGATTCATTACTTAATTGTTACTATACTTTCAATTGTTAATTGTTGTGGTAAAAATGTGGAAACCCTTACGTAGAAATATCACTGCATACCTCGGCTGACACCGACATCAAAGTAATAATTGTACAATATAAACATAACAGCTACAATAAAGGAGGTTTACTATTTTCAAGGAATTATTTCGTTACTTATTAGTGTAATTTTTTTGGGGATATTTTGTTTTTACTTTTGATTTCGCCCGAACGAAGTAGCAGACAAGAATTCGAATACAGAATAATAACAATAATTTATTTATTGTCTCTTTTGCATACATTTCATGAAAGTCTTGGCTCCTGTAGTAGGTTGCCCTATGTCACAGGAGCCAATTCCTTCCCCAATACTTCATTATAATTCTTTTAATAAAGTATTGGGGAAGGAAGAAAACAAAGAAATACATTGAAATTAATTAGTTATTTTGAAACTATTAGAAAAGGTACAAGGAAATATAAGGTATTAATAACATTTTCGAATAAAACAGTTATAATTAACAATTTGATAGTTCTTTGTTTTTCATTTGTTTCTCGCGTGTATGATGAATTATGTGCGCGCGTGTGTGTGTTTGACGTGTGTGCGCGCGTGTGTGTGTTTGTCGTGTGTGCGCGCGTGTGGTTGTGAATTGTGTGTTATGTATGTGCTCGTTGAATATATTAGCCTCTGCATGTTGTATGTAGAATACAGATATTAGAATAATAAATAAAACAATATTCCGTCTATAAACAAAGTTTATTTTCTATACACATAGCAGCCTTCAACTAATTTTAGTCGAATTTCCACTAAAAATACACCATTTAAGCTAAATTACATACATAGGCTTCAGTTCATACCTTTTAAAGACCAGTCAAGTTTTACGGCCAAATATTGAAACGCTATTTCATTACGTAACCATTCATAAGGCTATGCAAAAACTTTAAAATTCTGACATCTGCCAGATTGAAAACCTGAATAGGTCAAAACTGCGTGTAAAGAAATTCTATCAATTGAACTGTTCAGTTCAAACTTGCAACAGAGTTTCGATATTATTTATAACCGAATTTAACGTCATTATACCCGATTTTCATCAAAAACAAACAAAACCGAAGCCCATTTCTATATATTTTAAGATCTTGTCTCTATATACTATTATATTTAAAATACAATCTATAATACTTGCTTATTGTATGTTTGTAAATATACAAAATACAACTCAACATAATGTGTCAATAATTTTCAACTAAAATAGAAAAATCAATATATTTTACATGATTTAAAATTACTTAATTTACTAACACTAAATTTTCACAATAAATATTTTCATTATAATAAAATTTGTTCGTTTTTCATCCAAACAAACACACACACACTTTTAAAATCTCATTACTTTAATTCTAAGTATCATCACCAGCTCACTATACGTCCTCACCGAGGGGCTCGGAGCCTACCCTAAGTTAGGGTGACTAGGCCATAGTCAACCACGCTGGCCAAATGCGGGTTGGTTGACTTCACACATATCTTTGAATTGCTTCGCCGATATGTGCAGGTTGCATGATGTTTTCCTTCACCGTAAGAACGTCGGGTAAATTATGTACATATGAAAATTCGAAAAACCGATAATCACATTGGTACAGCGGGATTCGAACCCAAGACCTGTAGATTACAAGTCAAGTGCATAATTTATATAATAATTCTAAGTATATTCTAAAATAAAACTTATTATTCCAATTCCTTACTTTTAACATAGTACTAATTTTAATTCATAGTTCCTTACTAAGAGCAAAGAACTTTAGCCCCAAGTTCATTCCTACCAGCAAAGAACTTTAGCCCCAAGTTCATTCCTACCAGCAAAGAACTTTAGCCCCAAGTTCGTTCCAACCAGCAAAGAACTTTAGCTCCAAGTTCATTCCTAACAGCAAAGAACTTTAGCCCCAAGTTCATTCCTACCAGCAAAGAACTTTAGCCCCAAGTTCATTCCTAACAGCAAAGAACTTGACTCAAAGTCTAAGTTACTAAGAGGCAAAGGAGCTTAACTCAAAGTTATATGAACAAAACTACTTTTCTCCCTGTCCATTCCATTCCATTCCACAGGGCGAAGATTTTTATCTAAACCAATCTAAGGAAATTGTCATATTTCATGCAATTGGTGAATTAAATTTGTTAATTTAGTTTAGCCATAGCTCAAGATATGAACTACAAGAAGATTTGACAGTAGTAGAGCCCGCTTTAACATCTTCGCACGAATAGGCCGGCTCACCCTAGCAATACCTCCAGACAGAAAACAGGCGTGAAGTAGAAGCAATTCCGCATTTCATCTGATAAGTGTGGTGCCAGAGGCCTAATTTTAATCACTTTCCCTTTCCATCCTTTTCTTAAGAGGAAAGGGTAGGAAAAGTGGATTTGACAATGGAGACGCATATGAAGGGGAAATGTCCTCTTTATGTGCATCTCTGTCAATGAAGGGTAGGCACACTGCAATTGCGGATGTTTATGGGCAGAGGTTGCTTTCCATTTCGGTGGATTCAGATGGCCGCTTGCTCATTTGCCATCTTATATTATAAAAAACGTATAACTGCTCTGTTGAATGGTCAAAGTTTCCACATCTCTAAGTGGAATTTTAGTTCCTTACTTATACAAGTTATTTCCTAACTTATTCTAGATATTTTAGTCTACTATAGATTAAGTTTTAATTGTTCAGAAATATACAATTTAACCTATTTATTTACAGATTATGCACATCACATGCAATAGAAAATTGCATATAAAACTGCTTAGAATTAAAAAATAGTAGTTTTGTTGCTTTCTCTAATGTACTTTTAAGTGTTGGCTGTTTTAAAATATCCCAAATAGTTTATAGTTAAAATAAATATAGATTGTAATAAAGTTTTTTCTATAGTTTTGTCATATTTGTCTTTTACACTGTAACATATTAAAGAATTTGCAAAAATCTACATAAATTATTAAAATCTATACATAACTAGTACACTTTCATATAATTTCCACAATATACTATCGACCCACCCTGACTTCGCACGGGGGTCTAATACAAAAATGTGTTTATTTACATTATGATAGAAATCTTTAAAATTATCTGATTTCTTATTATTTAGTGGCCTACAAATTGTAACCATAGCATTTCTAAGACTTTTAAAAATCTTCAAAGATATTTAGTTTTCTTGAATATAGTTTTTAAAAAAACCAGATTTGGCTTTTAATTTAACTACATTCATATTTACGTCTTTTTATCGACCACTTTACTAAATATCAAAGTTTAGCCAAAAACACACACTTTGTCCATTTAATTGGAGCTACAGTAGAACATCAATAAGTTAAAGTCCAAGGGAAACACAAAATATTTTAAGTTGGAGGTTTTAAGTTATCCTTGATAACTTAAAACCTCCAACCTTAAAAAAAGTTATCCTTGATAACTTAAAACCTATATATAATATTTTTAAAACCAACATAGACCCTTGGGTCTATATTGTAGGTTTTGGGCTCTGATGGGAAGGGAACCTACAATTTTTTGAAGTTATAGAGGTTTTAAGTTATCAAGGGTCTATTATGGAGGTTTTGGGCTCTGATGGGAAGGGAACATATTTTTTTTTGAAGTTATAGAGGTTTTAAGTTATCAAGGGTCTATATTGTAGGTTTTGGGCTCTGATGGGAAGGGAACATATTATTTTTTGAAGTTATAGAGGTTTTAAGTTATCAAGGGTCTATGTTGTATGTTTTGGGCTCTGATGGGAAGGGAACACATATTATTTTTTGAAGTTATAGAAGTTTTAAGTTATCAAGGGTCTATGTTGTAGAGGTTTGGGGCTCTGATGGGAAGGGAACATGTAATTTTTTGAAGTTACCGAGGTTTTGAGTTACCGAGGTTTAAGTTATCAAGGTTCTACTGTATAATAATTCTATTTGTCCATACATATTACGCAAACATCTAACTAGAATAAAGTAAAGAATACACTTGTATTCTAAGCACAGTTAAGGAAATTTGTAATATCCTACCAAAAAACTCCCTTTTCCTTATAATAACCAATTAGGTAGCTGTTAGTTGTACTAAAGTGTATTTTTTTTAAATTCCCTTGCCAAGTTATTGCAACATTATTTTTGTATACTTTACTACTATAAAAACATATTTGGATAGATTTTTTTATAAAACGTGATTTAGTAGCGAAATTAATTATCTTTTTTTTAAATTTACATACCAAGTTCAAGCAATGCTATTGGTTGAAGCAAGTTTTATCTATTATGGCGACACGACATTGTCAATACAAATTTAAATTTTATATAGAAATGCATTTTTTTTAGTATTTTACTGTAAACACAATACCAAAACTACCAAAAGGTGAATTGTCTGTATTTTTTCAAGCACTTATATTCCCCAACTGCACTTATTTACACTTGTACACTACACTATAATGTCCGTTAGCTCATTAGAGCCCTAAGCGGAGCCCCCAGCAGCGCTATGTGCAAGATCAACAGCCAGCACAGCTGCGGGGGCGGCGCGCCCTCAGCTGCGGCGGTGGCGGCCGCCCCGGCGTCGGCGCTCCCGCCGCGTGGGGACTTCGCCCTCCGCCCACCTCTCATACGCCTGCTCCCGCTTCAACCACTCCTGGTATTTATACCACCATTCCTCCCACTTCACATAATCCGGTAACGAGAGGCCTCTTAGATAACCTCTTCTTTTATAATGTTCGTATCTCACTCTGACGTCATCCCAGGCGGGTAATCCCGCGGGTGCTTCTAGATCGGTAGGGTAACTGCCTACAGGGGCAACGGGTGCTGCGGGGGCAGGAGAAGGGGTGCGGGCACCTTCTATCCTTACATGTAGGGTAGCTTCTCTTCTTGTTATCCGCATATTTTCAAGCCGAGCCGATCTATCTAGAGACCATTGTGCCATTTTCCCGAAGCGTTCAGATAATGTCAGCCGTTGTGGTGCTGGAGAGGCACTTCTTTCTGACTCTGAGTCGGAGGAGGAGTCTGCTAGTGCTGCTGCGATGGCTGAGGGGGAGACTCCGCCCTCGCGTGCGGGTCGTTCAGGGCGCTCCGGGCGCTCCGGGCGTGGTCGCCGGCGTTCGCCCTCGCGTTTTATTCCGACCACATCCATTTGTGTGCGCTGCCATTCCAACACCTGTAATTAAAACATTATAAGGTCAAATACAATTGATATGAGACATATGTAAAGAAATTAATTTTTCTTTTATTTTAGAATTGTGTCAAAACACTGTTTCTAAACGAATGTCATTGCCTATTGGTGATTGGTTGATTCTAGAAGCCATCTTAAGGCCAAAATTGGCGTCATAATTATAGTGAGTCAAATGTGAGGAAAAGGATGATAATATAGTAACATAAATGTCGTTTCTTTTTGCAGGTGTGTATTTTGATGTGATTCGTAATTTAGTTGTTAAGGTATTAAGTTAATTAAAAAAAAAATCTTTTTGCAGAGCAACACATTTATTTGAGAATTAGTAATCCGAAATAGAAATCTTATATATATTTACCTGAAAATATCATCAAATGTGTATGGACTTATTTTTAATATTTATTGTGTAAAATTACAGTATCCTAATTGTTCTTCCGAACAATCTTCTACATCTATGACAAATTTCATCGAGAATCTAGTCATTTTAAAGATATTTAGTAACAAACATCCATCCATCCATTTAAACTTTCGTAAATAAGTTTCAACGTTTCGATCATGTTTTACTTGCTTTTTACGACTGGTCGAAGGGAAATGTATTACAAACAAAAATAATTACTAATATGCGAATTTTTAAAAGAATGGATGGATATTTGCTTCTCATCGGAGCCCAAAACCTCTACAACATAGACCCTTGATAGCTTAAAACCTCTATAACTTAAAATTTTGCGTTTCTCTTGCACTTTAACGGACGGAGTCACGGGTAAAATCTAGATAATATAAAGCCAGTTGAGATACCTTCTCCTCCCTGGTCCTCTTGCTGGCCTCCCTTGCTTTGAGCAGTTCCCTCGTTGGCTGAACCGCGCGGGGCGCTGCGCCCACAACAGGGCGCTTCGCCACCGGACGAGGCGGGGACTTCGATCTGTGTATATTAAATATATTACGTTAAAAACAAGTTTTATTAATTAGAGGCCTAATTTTAGTCCCTTTCCCGTTCCACTCTTTTCTTAAGAGGAAAGGATGGGAAGGAAAAGTGGATTTGACGGTGGAGATGCATAGGAAGGGGAAATGTCCTCTTTATGTGCGTCTCCTCTGTCAATGAAGGGTAGGCAGCGCATATCCGATTGCGGGATGTCTATGGGCAGCGGTCGCTTTACATTTCGATGGATTCAGGTGGCCGCTTGCGAATTTGCTTATATTAAAAAAAAAATTACTATAAGCGATTATCCAATTGCTGTTCCCATGCGACTTCACTCGTATAAGAACTTTATTTTACACTAATTTTCGCCCGCGACTCCGTTCGCGTGGAATTAAAAAACATTAAAAGTGAGTAGTCTATGTATTTTACCAGACTATCTATATCCATAACCAAATTTTATCGAAATCCGTTCAACCATTTAAGCTACAAATTCTAACAAACATCCATCTATCTAAACTTTCACATTTATAATATTAGTATGAAGTATGACTAGCTTTCGCCCGCAACTCTGTTCGCGTGGAATTAAATAAAAATCAAAAGCAAGTAAATGTGTTCTTCCAGACTATCCTCTATATCTATACCAAATTTCATCGAAATCCATTCAACCGTTTAAGCTACAAACTCTAACAGACATCCATCCATCTAAACTTTCGCATTTATAATATTAGTATGAATTACATTTGTAAAAAATTTCATGCGGATGAAGTCTGGAAACAGCTTAGTATAGATAGAACAAAAAATACAATATGTTACAAACTCTAACACTGACAGATACCCTGATAGTACAAATTCCTTACCCTGGTTTCACCGGTTTCTGTGGTGGTGCTGTCTTCTTGTTCTTTGCGGAGCACACGGAGCAGGATTCATCGGAACAGCTGCTCCCTGACGACCCTGATGGTGATGACTGGAAATAATAATTATTAATATTATAAAGAGGAAAAATTTGTATTTTTTGTATTAGAAACTCAGAAACTACTGGGGTAATATCAAAAACTATTTTACCAGTAAAAAGCTATGTTATGAATGTGTAAAATAGGATATTGTTTTTTTTTTAATTCCACGTAGACGGAGTCGCGAGCAACAACTAGTCTACACTACTATTATAAAGAGGAAAGATTTGTATTATTGTATGTATTGAAATAACTCAAAAACTACTGGGACAATTTTAAAAATTCTTTCACCGTTATAAAGATAATTTATCTGTGAGTAACATTCCACGCAGTCGAAAGACGAAGTCGCGAGCAACAGCTAGTTTTTTAATATGTAAGCTTTTGTTAATTTTTCAATCTTTAATATTCATATTTTATTAAATCCGTCATTCTTGACATCAATTTAAATTTTAAAATGTAATAATTTACTTTAAAGTTAATACAAGTTAATATCCAAAATTAAAGGCGTTTCCACCTCTTTTCTATACATATAAACTTACTTTTCTGGGATCTGGCGGGGAGGGCGGGCGCGCGCCGCGCGGCGGCGGGGGCGGAGGCCTAGGCCTGCGCCGGGGGCTCACTCGACGCCGGGGACTGCGCACCGGACTGCGTCTGTTATAGACATTGTATTAAAAACATTTTCTGATAAAATAAGTGTCTGGAAGAACACAGGCTACTCAATTTTTATTTTATTCAGTTCAACGCGAACGAAGTCGCGGGCGAAAGCTCGTAAATAAATATTATAACACCCTTCTCTATTTAAACATTGGAACTGTAGTTATTGTATACCTGATAGGGCTTCGCCTCGGAGACCTGCGGGGGCTGCGCCGCGGGGAGCGCGAGCGAGACTTGCGGGGGCTTCGCCGAGGTGAGCGGGAGCGCCGCGGGACCGGAGTCCGGGAACGACGACCCGGTATTGGTGATCTAAGTAACATAATAAAAAAATAGACATTAAGTAAATCTGTATGTCGCAATCAGAAGAAGACATCAATTTGAATTTAAGTCATGCGACTTACGAAAGAACTTAGATTATTCTGAAAATAGGGATTGTTGCGAGAACATAGTTTGAAGGATATGAGTTTGTAAGTCGATGATATCCTGACTGAGGAGTATTGTGAATGTGTCCCTGACATCCGACTTTAGCCATGGCCGCCCACATGTCATCTCAAGTAGTAATTCTGATATCGTGCTAGCTCAAGACAATATATAGATGGGTGAAAAACTTTTTATTTTAAGCGCCATTTGATTAAATGTTCAGGAGAGCCAGTTAAAAGTTTACATTTTTAGAAAAAAAAAACCACACCTACATTTTGATTTGTTTCGAGCGTAACAGTGCTCTGATCTTTATGAAACCCGGTTCAAACGACGTTATCGTTATATATATCGTTCAAACAATGTTCTCGCATCGATCCCTATTTTCAGAATAACCTCATGTTCGAATTATGACTTAAATTCAAATTGATGTCTTCTTCTGATTTTTTTTTTATAACATAAGGTGGAAAACAAGCATGCGGCCACCTGAATCCGCCAAAATGGCGAAGCGACTACCCATAGACATCCGCAATTGCAGATGCGTTGCCTACCATTATCCAACGGAGGAGGAGACGCACATAAAGAGGATATTTGCCCTTCCTATGCATCTCCTCCAGTCAAATTCACTTCTCGTTGCCATCCTCTCCTTTAAAATAAGGGTGGCCAAAAGAAAGGGACTTAAATTAGGCCTCCGGCACCACACTCATCAGACTGTACATGGAATTGCTTCCATTTCACGCCTGTCTTGTGGTCGTGGTATTACTGGGGGCGAGCCCTGCAGTGCTAAGATGTTAAAGCGGGCACTACCATTGTGATCGCGACATATATATGTTTGGTAAGTTTAGAAGGCTAGATTTAGGTCCGCTGTTAGTATCAGTGTGTGTTACATACCTGGATCGCCGCGGCGGCGGGGAGCGCGAGCGGCGCGGGGACACGGAGCCTGCACCATCTAGGTACAGCTGCTTGTACCCTGTGTGACGCCATCTGAAATACAAAGTTTTTATCTTAATCTATACTGATATTATAAATGCGAAAGTTTAGATGGATTTTAGAGTTTGCAACTACTGAACAGATCTTGATTGTCTTAGATTTAGAGGATAGTCTGGAAGAAAGTATAGACTGAATAGCCATTAACAAAGTAATTACTTTGTTTACTTTTTTTTTTTCATTAAAATTGGGGGAAGTCAGACGATAGTTCTAAATGCAAAAGTTTAGATGGACAAAAACAGATATCAAAGAAATTTCTAACAGATTTAGAAGTAAATTTTTTAAAAGTTTCTATTATATGTCAATATTTTATTGGAAGTACTTAACGTGAAATAAAGATGGGAAATGGAAGAGACTACAAAATTGATTAAAGTGTAAAATCCATCCATTCTCCATACTATTATAATAAAGTAAACACAAACTTCTTTGTTGCCTAAAATGTCAGCAATCACAGCATATATTTGAATAATTCTTTAATAAAAAGCCCTACACTTACATCACACTTTAGGCTATATATTTTCACGCCATTAAACTTAAGGAGTAAATATTTTGATTAAAGACCCTAATGTGGGAAAGAGACCATAAGTTGCTGCCAACATCAAGAAAAAAAGATTGCTAAGGTTTGTCATGTCATGTCATTTAGACATTATGACATAAGTTTGGAAACCTCTGGTTATTTTAGGCTCTACCACTGTTAGAAGATTCTAGAAGAGAAAATTTCAATATAAGCACAAACCTATTGGGATCCTTCTCCTCAACTTCTAGAAGTTTCCTATCCCAGCTGCCGGGCGAGGCCTGGCGCGCTCTCTTCATCACATTGTCGATTTCTTTCCGTCTACCAGCTGGATTTGATGGATCTGTTAAGTTAAATTAAGTTGAGAGCATCTTTAGGTAAAATGTTAAGCACATGACTTGTTATCTTCAATCTAAATTATAATCTTGCTGTACTCATATTTTTATGTTATGTTGTAAGGAAAACATGGTGATGTGTGGACTAATTCTTGCACCAATAAAAAGTTATGATACTAGTGAGTAATATTTTTAATTTTACATGGACGAAGTCACGAGCAACAACTAGTATGATATAAAACTACCTCAAGGAGCATCGGTGGCTCGCGTGTTTCAGTACTTGACTTGTATCTACAGGTACTGGCTTTGAATCTCAAATTCCTTAAGTATATAATATATCCAACATTCTTACAGTGAAGGAAAACATGATGTCTGGACATATTGGTAAAATTCAAAGATATGTGTGAAGTCAACCGGCTATGCAGCGTGGATGACTGGCTGTCATCCCTAATTTAGGGCTCCGAGCCCCTCAGTGGGGATGTCTACTGAGCTGGTGATCAAAACTACTGAAAAGGAAAGTCATACCAGTCATCCGTGAATGTTGAGGATTGCGATCCATATGCAGCCGATTCTTGGAGGCTGTCTCCGCCGCACGCGACACCGACCCATTGCGACGGGAAGACATCCTGTACAAACAAATACATTATTACTGGGTTTTTCTAGACTTTGTTGACATAGAAATTGAAAAACACTGGTAATAATAATTACTAAATGATCTTACTAATATTATACATGCAAAAGTTTAGATGGATGGACAAATAGATGGATGTTTGTAGTCAAAATGGAGGAACAGGTCTTGGTGAAACTTGGCATAGAAGATAGTCTAGAACACATAAGCTATTTACTTCTGTTTTTTAAATACCCGCAGATGAAGTCGCTGTCAACATCTAGTCTATACTAATATTTTTTTTTTATAATACTCGGTGGCAAACGAGCAAGCGGTCACCAGAATCCACCAAGTGGAAAGCACCACTGCCCATAAACATCCGCAATTGCAGATGCGTTGCCTACCCTTCAGTGATGGAGATTTCTCCTTCCTATGCATCTCCTCCACTGTCAAATCCACTTTTCCTTCCTATCATTTCCTCTTGAGAAAAGGGTGGAAAGGGACTAAAATTAGGACTCCGGCACCACACTCATCAGACGAAACGCGGAATTGCTTCCACTTCACACCTGTTTTCTGTATGGTCGCGGTATTACACCGCGCGAGCCGGCCCATTCGTGCGAAGATGTTAAAGCGGGCTCTACCACTGTTACAATATTATAAAGATTTGTATTTTTGTATGTATTGATATAACTCAAAAACTACTGAGACGATTTCAAAATTTCTTTCACCATTTTAAAGGTAATTTATCTGTAACATGTAACCTTTTATTATTTTTTAATTTCGCAGGGACAAAGTCGCAAACAACAGATAGTAGTTAATATTTATAAAGTGGTCAACACTCAGTTGATAGTTCCAGGTATCGCTATAAATGAGTTAAAGAACTCAAGGAACACCCCAGGGTTGAAAAAGGTGTACTGGAGACTCAGTCAGAGTTCTTAGGTTGCTTCAATTAGTTTACTATTTTAAACCTTTTGAATCACTATTGTTTTTTAGTTACTGTAATTTTATTACATGTTATACCCTAAAATAGTTGCTTTGCATTTATAAAAATCTTAAATTGTATTTTTTTAAATTATTTCTCAGTTTTATTTACCTAGTCTTTAAATGCAAATAGTGTAAGTAAAGAGCCCAGCTGAAAATCAATGCAGAGCCCCAGCCATACTATTCTATTGTCCCAGTTAATATGCAGGTTTAAATATTTTTTAACAGAACCAACCAATAACTGTCTTTCACTGGTCAATACAGTAGTCTTGGGTAGTACATGTATGATGTACTAAAAAGTAATGTTACTCAGCACTGTACTAAAAGTAATGTTACCGAACGGCTTCTGTTAATCGGGCATTTGGCACTTTTAGTACAGTACACGGTATCGGTGTTCGCCTCTTCGTTGTTTGATTTGAGTGAATATTTGCATGATTGAAGCATTCACCTTCTATAATGAGAATTTAGTCCTGGCTCAAAAACCTACGCCAGTGGTATGGTAAGAGCACCCGTTCACTCTTCAGAGCCGCAGTGTCAAGAACGAAATTTGCCCTAATGGATCGCCGAACTTCGGAAGAAGATGGCACTTTAAGAAGAAGAAGAATGAGAATTGGATGTGAAGTAATGTATAACCCACATAATATTATATTCGTGTTATTCGGTTCTCACTAATCTGAGGTACTAAAAGTGTGAACTAGTATGTTTTCCCAATTGTACTAGTATGGTGCGCACTTGCAGATGTCCGATTAAGCCCAAGACTAATACAGCCTTATTGATTATTTTTATTTGTTTTTTTTTAATTAAGATCTAAATCTATACTAATATTATATGGAGGAAAGATTATGACTAAAGATTATTTGGGGTAGTAGATTATAAGGGTATGACTTATGTCTTATTTTTGTATTCATCATCCACTTGCCCTTATCCCTTATGGAGGGTTGGCACAGTATTTGCTGCTCTTCTATACATCTCTATCAGCCGTCATATCTGAATCCACTCCTTTCTTAATCATATCTTCTTTCACACAATCCATCCATACTTTCTTCAGTCTTCCTCTTCCTTTGTAGCCATCCACATTCAATCTCAACACTTTCTGGTTTATGTCCCCATCATTTCATCGCATAACATGTCCATACCATGCTAACCTTTTGCTTCTCAATTTCTCCACCACTGGCGCTACTTTCAAACTTCCTCTAACATATTAATCTATGTCTTATTTTTGTATTATACTTTGGAAATAAAGAAATAAAAAAAGAATTTTGTATGAATTGAAATAACTCAAAAACCACTGGGCAGATTTCAAAAATTCTTTCACCATTTAAAAGGTGATTTATCTGTTAGTAACATAGGGTATTTATATTATCATTTTTTTTATTTCACATGGGTGAAATCACGGGCAACAACAAATTATAAATAAACTAACACTTAACCATGATCCCACGTAGATTTAAGTAAAATATGGTCGAAGGATGGTACTTGCTAGCTATGTTTATGCTGACTGGGTGTCAAATATGATTGTAAGTGGTATGTTTGTCACATAACTTAAAGATGTAAGTTTCATTTTATTTTTAAAGTGATTTACTCTATTATTTTAGTTCATTAATATTATATTTTGTGTCTTAAACACATTTAATTGTATTTGAGCGATGGTGATGGAAAAAACTGGGGCCAATAAAGTTGTCAATATCTCTGTTATTGTTAGCTCAGAATTGAATATAAACAAAATGCGTACTAAACATATTTACTGTATTATGAAATAAAATTGATTTGGGTGATGCAAACAGTTGCCTGATAATTTACAACAATAATTACGTAATGTGTGAATTACAATGTTATTCTGTAATTAAAAAACGTTTTTATTATTGTAAAATACTTACCTTTGCATCTAAATAGTGTTAGAATTTGTATCACAATAATAGTACTACCTATATTACCATAAGATGATAAAAAAGCCATTTTGTCTCTTGTTTAATGTAATTTTATAATTTCTAATAATGTACGTAATTAGTGCCTTACAATTCTATTTTTACTTTCACAAAATGGCTGCCGGGAATATCGATCGCCTACAACTCACCTGGAATAAAAAGCTTACCTTTAATACTCCGATAGCGGTTTATAAGGAGCGAGGGCTCCAAACGCGCGCGACGAGACGCGAGGGGCGAAGCCCCGAAGCAGACGCGGGCGTTGCCACGCGGCGGGGCTGACGATACGCCCGGCGCCGCTGTAAGACAACCGATACGCATAAGCATCACGAAACGCGGGCGCGGCGGATGCTGTGCGAAGTCTCGCTGTCGCGCGAAAGACGCTAGCGCGAAGCGTCTCGGCCTCCGGCCTCCGGGGCGGAGCGAGCGCGGAACAAATACACGGCTGCCGGGCCTCCCATCCTTTGTCTCCTCCAGCGGCTGAACATCAAACATACTTAATCCACCTTAATAAATCACAAAACAAAGTTACGAACCAGTAATATTATAACACGATAACTTTCACTGAAGTTCAGATATTCCCAGAAGATACTTGTTTTTCACTCCCGAGACACACCTTACACCTTTCTCGAAGCATCGGCCATTTTGTTTTGCAAAATGAAAAGTTGACCCTTTTTGCTTTTCTTACGGGCGAGACGTTTTGCTAAATGTGTGTATGGACTGTTTTTATTTTAAAAACGTAATTTCTGTTCATCAGTTTTTCCACATTTAGCAAGTAAACCTCTACAAAATAAGATAGTGAAATTAATTTTAAAATAAGTCTATTAGGTAAAAACAATACATTCAAGATTTTAACAAATTCTACACACACAATGTTTGCAATATCAAAACGCAACGCAGTGACATGACCTTTTTACTTCAGTGCTGCCATTTAAAACCAAATTACTGTTATGGTACGATCACAAAAATTGATGCTCGGATGCTGAATAGGAGCTGAAAGGAGTGTGTCCATTCATTTTAACATCAAAAATTTAAGTAGATTAATAGAGACAGAGTGCTGCAGTCTGTATTAATTTGTAACGTTGTACATAAACCAGAAATCTGAGTGACCACGGTTTTAACTTGAGGTTTTAAATGAGGTACTGAATTAAATGAGCGGTTGTTGTAAATTTACATCAGGTTTATTTGGAAGTGCTAAAAAGAAAACAAATAGATTTTATAAAAATCTTAATTTATTTAAATTGTTAGGAATATGTAAAGAATTAGTAGTAATTCCACGGAAGAGTGTCCACATTAAAAGTTGTTTGATAAAAAAATCAGTGCATCGTCATCTCTTGAGCGGCGTTGGTGTGTCGCCAGCACTTAGAATTTTAAGTTAGTTTTATTTAGTAAATGTTTATTTTATAGATATAAAATACAAAAACATACTTTATAATGAATAAAATTTAAATATAACAAAATTACCTTATAATGGTACGATAATCATATTAGAAAGCAATCCAAAAACATAAAAAACACAATAAAAATAAATAAATAACATCACTAAAAATACAAAGAACAGTGATACAAAACACTTTATAACAACGAGTTACACAATAAAAAAAACACCGGCTTGGCGATTTCCAGAAATCAGTAAACGGAAGGTAAGTTTAAAACTTTTTTTTTATTAAACAAATGTAAAATGACGTTCAGCCAATTTTTTTTTAAATCATGTTTGTTTACTTTTGCCATAATTTCTTTGACCTTCAAATGATCTATGATGCCACGCACCAACGTTTATTCAATTTGTATCCGCAGTCGACCTTTCCGATGGAATTTAAAAAAAAATCCCAATGACGTTATGATTTTTATTCTTTGTTTATTGAAAAGTTACCTAGAGAAATATTTTTTAATCTTTGTCATTGTTGTAAAAAATAGTTTGTTTCTAATATAATAGGAATTAAAATTATACAATAATACCTAAATAGCAGGGCGAACCACTGGCACCCGTGCCATAAATACACGACGTATATTTTGGCCACGTCGATTATAACAAAAACACTATGAAAAGATTATGAAGTAGATACCATGGAGTTGACATAATAATCGTAGACAAAATCATTCTATGGCACGCCTAACCTTATGATACATTTCTTCTTTCATCTCAAATTAGTAAGGATAGTAAACCTATGTAAAAAATTGAACCGATCTTTATAGAGTTTTACTTTTGCAATTGGTTAAAGAGTAGTTGAGCGTCGGTGGCTCAGTTGTTTAAACACTTGACTTGTAATCTACAGGTCTTGGGTTCGAATCCCGCCGTACCAATGTGATTTTCGAATTTTCATATGTACATAATTTATCCGACGTTCTTACGGTGAAGGAAAACATCGTGATGCCTGCACATATCGGCGAAGAAATTCAAAGATATGTGTGAAGTCAACCAACCCGCAGTGCAGCGTGGTTGACTATGGCCTAGTCACCCTAATTTAGGGTATTCTCCGAGCTCCTCGGTGGGGACGTATAGTGAGCTGGTGATGATAATGAAAGATATTGTAAAATTAAAAATACTATAAAAAATAGTATATCGTCTGTTCAAGGAGTTTTTACACGTTTTTAGAGTCAAGCCATTAGAAAAGAAGAAGAAATTGAATTATTCAAAATTAGAACACATTGTCGACGTCATCACTTTTTTATAGTCTTTTTCTGTACATATTTTATCATTACACATGTCTCCGTTAAAATAGTTTGATTTCTAAATCTTTTACGATATACATCGTCTTTGCGTTATTTTCCAATACATTCAATATAATATCTAAAACATGTCCACTATGAGAGATTATTAAAAATGAAACCAAGTAACATCACGAATGTCCATTCCGTACGTGCCTTTATCGTAAAAAAAGTAATCGTGCGCGCGCTTACACGACTTAATTCCCGCCATATTTGATGTCATTTTTTTTTTCCTTATTGAAAAACTAGCGGTTCCCCTGCGGCTTGATCCGCATGAAATTATAAAAACTTTATTTTATTGCTTACATTTGTGAAATTCATAACTGGAAATGTCAAAATTCCCATAACAACCTTGCCTAGTTGGCAGCTTGTAGTTTATGGTCCCTTGCTCACAAGTTTCCACTTTATTTACCCCCTAATTTTAATAGCGTGTAAATATATAGCCTAAAGCGTGTCGTAAGTGCAGGTCTTTTATTAATGAAAGAATTATTCAAAAATATGCTGTAATTGACACCCTACGCCACGAAGTAGTGTGTGTTTATACTTTATTATCTATACTTCTATACTATTATAATAAAGCGTAAACACACACTTCTTTGTGGCCTAAGATGTCAGCAATTACACCATATTTTTGTATAATTCTTTTTACAAAAAAGCCCTACACTTACATCACGCTTTAGGCTATTTATTATCACGCCATTAAACTTAGGAGGCAAATGTTTTGGATAAAAACCCTAATGTGGGAAAGAGACCATATGTTGCAGCCAACATCAATGAAGCAAGACTGTCAAGGTTTGTCATGTCATGTCATTTTGACATTTGTAATTGATAATTTGACAAATGTAAACAATAAAATAAAATTTTCATAATTTCATGCGGATGAAGTCGCACGGGTACAGCTAGTATTAGTATATACAAACACAGCTATGTTTTACATACCTTTTGTACATAAGTATCTTTATCAGTGCATTATTACATGTTTTCTCTGACCCTAAGTTATCTTAGGGAAATATCACTTTCTAGACGAATGTCACATAAATAGTAAATAATTATATTTTAATATGAATGTTCTAGAACGTTATTTAGAGGTTATGTAAGCTAAGTAATATAATACGAACGTTTAGATGGATGTTATAGTTTATGTTTACATCATATTAGAAACTAAAATCGAACTACTATTATAAATGCGAAAGTTTAGATGGATGTTTGTTAGAGTTTGTAGCCTAAACGACTGAACGGATTTCGATGAAATGCTACAGATATAGAGGATAGTCTGGAAGAACACATAGGCTACTTTACTCACTTTTGTTTATTTACTTTTTTTATAATATAAGGCGGCAAACGAGCATGCGGCCACCTGAATTCACCGAAATGGAAAGCGACCGCTGCCCATAAACATCCGCATATGCAGATGCGTTGCCTACCTTTGATTGACGTAGGAGGAGACGCACATAAAGAGGATATTTCATCTTCCTATGCATGTCCTCCATCGTCAAATCCACTTCCCCTTCCCATCCTCTCATAAGAAAAGGGTGGTAAAGAGAAAGGGACTTAAATTAGGCCTCCGGCACCACACTCATCAGACGAAACACGGAATTGCTTCCATTTCACGCCTGTCTTCTGTGTGGTCTTGGTCTAACACCGGGCGTGCCGGCCCATTCATGCTAAGATGTTAAAGCGGGCACTACCACTGTGAATTTTTTAATTTCTATTACTATTCTGAGTTATAAATGGTATTTAATATGCAAATAATAAACACGCGATATCTGCATGATCGGACGGGTTTTGTCAACCTAAGGACGTCGAGACGTGTTCTTCAAACTCGATTTTTATTTATTTTTACTGTTACTATGTTAGTCAGTGAGAGTGTCGTTGGCGCAGGAGTAAAGAGTTCTGCAGGTCCCGGGTTCGAATCCAAGCATTCCAATTCAATAAATTACCCAATGTTATGATGAAGGAAAACGTAATGCATTACGAAACAAAGCTATACAAGACGTCAACTTTAAACTCCTAACTTAGTTAAGTTTGTCCCTTTACAAAAATCCGATAGTTAGAACAGGCAACAAACTTTGACTAAATACTCAAATGTGTGCGATTGTCAATTATTTCAAAGCCAATTTTACTGTTTAGTTGCACAACTATAGTTTGTCTAAATAAGATAGATTAGTTTGATAAATGACTTAAGACAGGTATCGTAGTGGCGAGACACGCAGCGAACAATTATGAACTATCGATATTCGGTTTAAATATTTATCGAAAATTATTATTTACTTATTAACTAATTTGAAGGACAATTTTAGTATTGATTATAATGTAGAGAATTTAGCGATGACAGAAATAATAGCGAAATCCAATTCGATTACGTACAGCTGTAGTAATAAACATTATTTTTCTCTCGTTATTTGTAATGGTTCTGCAGGTCATTATTAATTTGAGAAAACAGTGTTTTTTTCAATTCATAAGTTTTAACAACGAATCTATCGATTCCAACTTCTATAAGAATAAAAAGCGAAAATCGATAAGATTCATGACTGATTACACAACCCATCCCTACTAAATTTTAAATGAATTGTCAAACTAATCTAAATTATTTAGACACACTATAGAAATCGAGTAGCGCACACCTCTATATAAGCTCATAGAAAGCGAGACTAGACAGTTGTGCGATAGTTTTGTTGCAGGTGTGCTGTTAACCTTACTAAACCGATTTCAAAATAACGTAACTCATACTATTAAAACATTTTTAACATTGACTATAAAAAATGGACTAAGCAAAGCACACTTGAACACAACACATATACACGAGAATGCAAGAATCGTTCGTTTGATTTCACCGTAGAACTGCCGCTTGATTAATCCTGTCCCTTAAAAGTCGAAGGTTTGAAAGTAGTAAGAGCATTAATATAAATTACAATATCTGTCAGTTTGTAACCGCCTAACAATGCTATCGATACCGTTATGAAATCTGTTTATATTTTTAATTTATTTATATGTCATGGGAAGAATAAAAACTAGCAAAGTTTGTTAATAACACACATAAAAAACATACAGACGAATTGAGTACCTTCTTTTGGGAAGTCGGTCAAAAAGGGATAGTAGTATTTCTTCATTCGTTTTCTATCATCTGTCATCTCTGTCACTCCCTTCTTGATGTTAGATTTCACGCAATCCATCTCTTTCTAGGTAATACCGGTACACTCGCTAAAGCGCTTGTTTAAACGCGTATTGAGTGACAGCCCAAGCCGAGGTCCCTTCTCGGGGGCCCTTGTGCCTAATCACTACAAGGAGCGTCCACCGAAGCGATCTGACAGTTAGATGGCCTCCCAATCCGGTAATAATAACGAAGTAACGGCTCGTGCTGAGGCTCCTGAGGTAGCCCTCGAGCTTTACTCATAAACGCGGTTTAGGCTAAGCGCCATGCGCTCTGTCTCCTCAAGCCTGGTGAATCTATAAATGCCTCTTCAAGACAAACAGTGGCCATTCAGTCACGAAAAAAAGCTCTTGTTAAATGATTCATCCCTCCTCATAAAAGGATGCTAACCTTTTATTCCTTCACTAGCTGTTAGTCGCGACATCGCCCGTTTAAATATAGCCTATATTACTCACTGATAACGTAGCTAAACAATGGTGAAGTAATTTTTGTAATGGTCCCAGTAGTTTTTGAGTTATTTCAATATATAAAAAATACAAATCTTTCCTCTTTATATTAGTATAGATTTCTTTACCACTGAAACTACTCTTAAACTCTAATATACTTGGTCTAGTTTTTTTTTAATTGACGAATAGTGTTGTAACATCGGCTGTAGAGTCAGAAACAGAACAGAACAGAACTGAACTGATTATTCCTGTTTACACTCTTCGTTATTATCGTCGTGATAAGGTTAGTCTTCAGACAATTCACTAACCTTCAATAAAGATAATGTTTTAATTTATT